CATCCTACATGTAAATTAAAAATTTTCTATCAAGAATAATTTTTTAATAAAATTTGTTGAGATATAGAAACTCAATTTATTATTTTAATTATATAGAAAGTTGACATATTACAGAAGTTAAAACAGTGAAGACATCCATTTACATTGTAGTAGATTGAAAGTCAATCGACATCATCATCATCATCATCAATTGATTAGGCATATGAATAGAAGTTTACCTGAAAGTCTGTGTAGTAGAAATTTCTTTAGAATTTGACAGAAGCATCTTTAAAGTGATAAACTGGAGTCAGTTTGACTATTCTCTATGATTTGAAACCCAATGTTTTTTTTTATAACTAGACAGGATCTACTTGGGTTATATGTGAATTGAATTTCATAGAATTTGAATGAGACTTCTATGAAAAGTGTAAAACAATTCTCAATCATTTGAATACAAATATTTTACTTCTTCATGTAGTACAATGTAAATGTCTTACTGAATCACAGAGATATGAAAAAAAAACCTTTAGAAACATCAACTTAATGCATGAAACATCATGTATAAAATTCTTAAAATGTATGACAACAATGAGGGCAGGCAAGACCTACTGGGTTAACTGAATCCCTCAGGAATTTTAAAATCCACCACTAAGTGTATACATGTGTTACATGTAGCTGCAAAATTTTTTAAAGTCCCTTTTTTTCCTATAAGAATATTATCTTGGGTTCAGCTGATTAGACAAAAGTTACAGATGTGGGTAAATAAGACAAAAGATAAAATGTAGACATGGTAGAAGATAATAAAACTAATGATTTATAATAGCAGTGATGAGGATACACACAAACATATATAAATATATAAATAAATAATTTGTAAACAAATCAATGTATTCATAACATAAAAGACAAATGATGTGCAGATATAAAGTACAAGATGCACAACTGATTGGTATATTTTCTGTTGATGTAGATATTATTTAGGGTTTACCTATTGACTGTTAAAACATCTGCCAGTGAAGTGCATGCAAGATATTTTAGGATCATAAGATGAGTTTATTGTGTCAGTCTACTGTGTGATATATAGAATTAATTCCTGATCATCAGAGAACTGTTCTACAAAAACTGAGTAGGAGTTTAAACAGAGTTTTTGTTGTTATGTAACCAGCATGTACATTATGTAGTTTACATTTTCCAAAATCAGGTGGTTTTATATTAACTACTAGTACACATCATATGATGTCAGAGCAAAGAGAATTAACTTGGTCCATGTAGACCAGTTTATATTAGAAGTCTCCATTGTGAAAGGAAAAATCTTTAACTTTTACTTTTATATTAAATAAAATAAAATGAGCCCAGGCCTTCATTTCATTAAAATTTTGCAACAAAAATTACCTGTTAGTCATGAACAACTTAGTATACTTATGATAAAGTTTAGCTGTAAGGTATTTTTTGGAACATAAACCAGTTACAGTAAATATAAAGGTTTCTGCTATAAAATACAAGTACATATAGAATTTTTATGCCCCCACCATAGCGGAGGGGGCATTAAGTTTTACCCTTGTCCGTCCGTACGTCCCGAAGTTGGTTTCCGTTCTCTAACTTTAGATTGCCTCAACCAAATGTTATGAAACTTATACACAATGCTTATTACCACAAAATACAGATCAAGTTTGAATTTTGGTGGCATCACTTTAACCGTTCTAGAGTTATCCCCCTTTACAAATTGAAAAATTGCAGAATTTTTCGTTTCCGTTCTATTAACTTAAGTTTGCCTCAACCAAATGCTATGAATCTTATACAGAATGCTTAATACCACAAAATACAGATCAAGTCGGAATTTTGGTGGTGTCACTTAAAAGTTCTAGAGTTATGCCCCTTTACAAGTGGAAAAATTTCTAAATTTTTCGTTTCCGTTCTCTAACTTAAGTTAGCCTCAACCAAATGTTATGAAACTTATACACAATTGTTATAACTACTAAATACAGATCAAGTTTGTTTTTTGGGGGTGTTACTCTTATTATTCTAGAGTTATGCCCCTTTACAAATGGAAAAATTGCTGAATTTTTTGTTTCCCTTATCTAACTTAAGTTTGCCTCAACCAAATGTTATGAAACTTATACACAATTGTTATTCCCACAAAACTCAGATCAAGTACAAGTTTTGGTAGCGTCACTTTTACCGTTTTTCAGTTATGTCCCTTTATAACTTTATATGATAGACAAGCGGGGGCATCATCTGTGTCCCATGGACACATTCCCCATTAATTTTTACAATGAGTTGGTGGAAATCTGGACAAGAATTACTATCAACATTTACACATTAGATATACATTTGTACACATTGTTAACATTTACACATTAGATATACATTTGTACACATTGTTAACATTTACACATTAGATATACATTTGTACACATTAGATATACATTTGTACAGGTTGAAACTCTTATGTGCATGATGTGGTAATGAAGTACTTAATCTACTGTTTAATCCTTTAATTCCCAGACCTTTATATAAGATGAGGTTTATGATGAGGTTTTATACAGAACAAACAAGATTCTGCCTTTTGTATATTTTCTTTTCATTACAAAGTCTTGATATCAATACCATTAGGTCATTTTATACATTTTTTTGTTATTATGACTAATTGAGTATAGACACCAGGTTTTTAGTATGTTATTAATCAGACAAAACATGCCTTACAACTTCTATGAGTGTTTTTATAATCCAGTAATCATATAGAGATCATTATATGATTGAACATATTTTCTTACAATATTTTTAGAATATTTACAATAAAAACGAGAAAGAATAGGATGTTCTAAGACTAAGCAATATTGATTTTTTACAGAATTTATTGGAGAAAACCATCTATTTAAGGTACTCCCTGGGGTCAAATTTATAAAAATGTTAATGGGTTTCAGTCTGGTACACACAATGAAATGAAATTGTAGAATGAAAAAAATGTTACTCCCCATTATTATTCATATTTAATGAAGTTACGAGTTGCCTTTGTTCTGTTGCATATATTGCAACAAGATAATTTGTTTAAGTTAATTGCATCTCAGATTTTCATTTGTCATAGACATGTTACTACATTAATTTCAACATGTGTTTTCATAAAACAATGTGATGTTAGCTAATGGAAATTAAAAAGAGAAAAATAGGAAATGTGTTTATAAAAGCAAATACAAGACTAGACTTAAATTTTCATGTTTATGAAACTCATGATATGAAAATTCTCATAAAGTCTAAAAAAATTTAAGATGGTTTTGATAGACTAAAAAATTGCCTTACTATATATTTATTTATCCTAAAAAATTGCCTTTCTATATATTTATTTATCCTTGATGGGTTTATGTCATTAAATAAAACATTAGTCTACTCCACCTCGACAGTTGTTTCTTTTTATCAGATCACTTGTCAAAAAATGGAAAAGTAAGTGAAATAAATATTTTTAGAAATTTTTTATCAGATAAGTTTTTCTGTAGTAAATTCATTGAACTGATTTTAAAAGATGTTATCTTACATTCTTGTGTAATTTCTGCCAAACTATTCGTAAAGCTGTATAGGTTTATTGTAGGGGAGAAATTGAAAGAATTATTAGGGAATACTGATTTTGTGATAATAATAGTTACAGTGATGCACCATTAAACACTTACTTTTTTGTGGTTAATGCAATAAAATAGCTACATGTCAGTAAATTGGTATGTTTTACAGCTATTTATGAAGTAAATTGTTACATAATAGTATAGTAGATTAGTATCGAGGAATAAAAGCAGAACTTAAACTTTAAATATCTTGTAAGGGTCTTTGGGAATGTAGACAATGTAGATACATGTAATTTAATTGATAAAACTGTATCAAATTTTTAAGTCATTTTTAGTTGTGTTTTTTTTTTTCAATAAATGTTTGGTAATCTTTATTTACATTTGTGAGAAAGTACATGTATACTGTAAATGTTATAAGTTATATATAATGCCTCTAGTACACAAAAGTGTTTATTTTGTTTGAAAGAATTTTTTTTTTTAATAAACCTTGCTTCTTTGCAAGTTTGAAGTTCTGGCTGTAAACCAAGTTCTGTTAGCTATGAAAGTTGAAAAAGTATGGAGCACATATGGGCCAAAAATGAATGGCTGTTGACATCATGCCTTAAATTGGGAGACCAGGGCAAATGTGTTAATTATCTCTCCTGGAATTTAACACATTTGTGCAAATGCTACTTCCCCATGCATACTTTGATTAGAGAATAAATCTAGATTTGTTGTGTATTTCTGCAATAAATATTTCTTGAAGAAACAATAACATGCTTCATACATAATATTGTTTGTCTTAGAAAATGTTAATTATTTTTGTGTTCTTACATACTGCTTGCAACTATTAAGAAAGATACCCAAGATGGCAGTCCACTTTAATATATGCTGAGTTTTATAACAATGCATGTCTATTTTAAAACAATATGTAGTAGGTATGATTTTGTAATGTTGAATTCTTAAAGGGGCTTATATTTTGACAAATGTCAAAACATTGAACTTATAATAATTTGAAAATACTTTACATGTAGACGATGATGTAGTATATATTTCATAGTTATATATATAGGGTATAGTATTTCATTGCAGGACAGGAGTGTCAATGTATACTATATATATAGGGTATAGTATTTCATTGCAGGACAGGAGTGTCAATGTATACTATATATATAGGATATAGTATTTCATTGCAGGACAGGAGTGTCAATGTATACTATATATATAGGGTATAGTATTTCATTGCAGGACAGGAGTGTCAATGTATACTATATATATAGGATATAGTATTTCATTGCAGGACAAGAGTGTAAGTGTATACTATATATATAGGGTATAGTATTTCAATGCAGGACAGGAGGGTAAGTGTATACTGTCACTTTCTATTCATTCCTACAAATTACTGGTAAAAATTGTGATGAATGTTTTAGTTCCTGTGATGTATAATCTGTATACTAATATTCTAATGCAATATTATTTTATATATTATAGACTATACATTGGTGAAAGTGACATTAACTGTAAAGGATGTCAATGACGAGAAACCAAGGTTTATCAATGAGCCTCGACCTTTCCTGGCTACAGTGTCCACCAATCCAAGTGCCGGAGAGCTGGTGTATGAACTTATGGCTGATGACGCAGACACAGGATCTAGTATTACATATATACTGGAGTCTGGTGAGTAAAATAGTCTCCAAACATAGGATCTAGTATAACATGTATATCCTGGAGTCTGGTGATCTAATACATTATATATATTGGATATCAAAATAGGAGATGTAGGGTCTATGTCAGTGAGACAGTAACCCAATAACAAAAAAACACCAAAGAAATGTTTATAGGTGATCTTACAATATATGGTTTTCAACATTTTATGCAAAGCTACTAAATCAGCCAATGTCTAGACAAGGTTTTGAAAATAACGGAAATTGATGATTTGCCTTCAGCAGAGATTCCAATGATTTGCCATTATAAGAGATGTTTAATATTATCCCTTGACATAGGAATTATTAAATGTAGGTTGGAGTCAGTAAAAAATAGTACTGTTCTATGTTTAAGGCCATGTACAGAAGGTTTTCATTTTGTTACATCAGTTTTATATTCTTACATTCTAGTATATTCTTGCTGCTGTTATTTTTTAGCTGGGGAAGGGAAGTTTGCCATCCAAAACATCATTGCTGCTGGCCGCCATATTGGTAGGATTGTAACCACAAAGACAGGACATGGACAATATGAGAAAGGACGAGAATTTTCATTGGTTGTATCAGCTCAGGACACATCAGTAACACCAACAGTTATACAGAAATCTAATTTTGAGATTGTAAAAGTTTTAGTTGGATCCAGACCTCCACAATTCTTTGAAGACCCCTATATTGGATATGTGATGGAAAATAATCAAGCTGGCTACAAGTATGTAAATTTATTACATTTCTGTTAGTATTAGATACAACCATGAGGGCATAAGTCTGATTGTGTGTATCTTATTTACACCAAGATATGGTCAATGCAAAAGGATAGATTTCAGTAATTTAGGAGGAGGGTTCTTTCAGCAATTTGATCTTATGTTACAGATAAATAATTACTTTTCAATACATCTTGAGCATAAATAACCTTTACAGCAGTGATATTATTATTTTTTATGTTGTATTGTATGGTTGCTGTCTCATTGACATGAACACGTTTCCGTGATTTTCAATCCATGATGCTTTAGGAAGAACTAATGCATATCTAGGAGATTCAATCTTTAAAAGGAAAAGGTTTTAGTAGATGCTAACAGTTTGTCAATACACTACCATACATTACTTCTTACATACAAAGAAAACCAAGTTCTCTAATTTTAAGAGGGTCATTCATTTTAGAACATAAAATAAAGACAGAATTCACTCTTGTGCATTTGTGACATTATGACCTGAAATATAATCTTGCAAACATGTTACACATAAAATAACATTAGTCACTACATGGAAGTCAGAATATATTGATAAATCTATAAAATTTGTTCTTTATATCTTGAAAAAAATACTAATAGAAATATCAGTCACTCTTTCATAAGTTCAAAGGACTTGGCCTTTTGATAGTGGAATGACCCTCTTATCGGAACAAGGTAAGACAATCAGTGTGGTTCAAAGGTTTCAAAATGGTCAAAATAAATATTCAAATATTGGATTATCAGAATTATGAAGCTGGCATGAATACGATCAGCCAGTTACCCATTCCAAAACCTGTCTAGTAATAAAATTTACATTATTGTAGTATCTTGGGATACACACATCCCTTCTACTCATCAGTGTTTTGCTTGAGGGTTCATTTAATACATTTGGCTGGCTATTTTACTTATGTTTTTTACACCTGGAAAGCAGTAAGTTACATATAGACAATTCAGGTTGTGGTTAGCTAATTTATGAGCAAATTGTAAATAATCAATAGTATATCAGAATTATTGCTTTATAAAACTCATTTACATATTTCTGAAAGTGTATTTTCACATTGGATGACATATGATGTATAATTACACCTACATACACATGCAAAAAACTGTCTCATATGACAGAAACATTGATATTTAAGTTATATATAATTCCTTGACAAAATATAGTATTGCAGTAACTGTATATTCATCTGTTACCTTAAAAAATTGAAAGTAAACATAATGTTTTTTTCTTGATAGGCCTTGTGAAGAAAACTGGCTTATAGGTCCAAATTTGTACCAATTGTATAAATCATTGTACATTTATCTTAGCAGTATGAATTTTTTCACCAAGAACATTTAGTTACTAAGGATAACACTGATTGAATGTGAGCTGTTGCATCACTAACAAAGAAAGCTTTCACTCAATATATATTGTTTTATTTTGACAACATTTCAAAGTCATTAAAACATTAGTTTGTACTCTATATTTGGTTGTCTCAATTTGGAAAAGGACCTAAATTACATAAACAATTTCTTGACTTTTGGTACTGTCTCTTGTATGACAGTATGCTAGGAGTTTTAAAACCATGTAAATGTATTTGTATCTTTGTAAAGTAAGAATTTCATAACTTGACAATAATGTTTTTGAACCTTTTTGATAGACTGACAAATGATGATGGCAGCCCTTTAAGCATCAAAGCCAAACCATTCCAATCCAAAACTCCAGATGAAAATACAGATTATGATGGCACCATTAAATTTTCACTGTTAGATGAGAGGAGTCAAACATCAACATTATTTACTATGAGTGATGATGGAGAGGTAGCTACTTTACAGAGTATGGACTACGAGGCTTCCACGGCACATCAGTTTGTCCTCACTCTCAGGGCTGTAGAAGAATCAACAGGACTACAGAGTACCACACAGGTATTGTAAGATAGTTAAATCGGGGTATGGCTAAGATAAGTATCTTCTGAATATAAAATGTCAGGGAAATTGGGGGAAGTTTTCGCAGTTCATCAGTATAAAAATAAGTAGATGTTGTATGATTGCCCAAGAGACAACTCTCCACCAGAGAACAAATGAAGTAGTTAGCAACTACAGGTCACAGTACGTCCTTCAACTAGGAGTAAAACCCATACCACATAGGTAGGTTTAAAAGGCATATATAGATATACAAGGTCAAGGGACGTCAATACATTTTCAGTTGATATATAAAGGATAACAACTTAAAAAGTGCAAGACAGGAAAATCTTAGACATCCTAGGGAAAGATTCCCCCTTCTTGCAAGGCTTGTTTGAGTCATGACCTTTTAAGTAGTACACACTATAGCATATAAGACAAACTGCAAGGCATTTGTTACACCTATTCAATTAAAAACATTCCAAGATTAATGGTAAACATCTATGTTTTTGCAGTTTGTTTTAATTTGCTGAGCTTAGAGAGGATTTCAATTTTTACAGATTAAAAATTTTAAACCCAAATTTCAGAAATAATCAAACAGATGGCTTTAAAGTTGTCTAAGGCTTATTAGCTGTAGAAAGTCAAGTGAGAGAAAAAAATATGACAGAAGTCATTAAGACAACTAATTGGCAATTAGAAACTTTACAATTTCTGATAGTAGTAGTTTTGTTTTACCTGTGAAACATCAAATCTGATGATTATTGTATATATAGATGTAAACTGATAAGGCCTAACAACAGTGAAATATAGCACTGCTAAAATAAATAGAGTACAATCAAAATGTGAAATGTGAAGTACTTATATTTTACCTCACTTGTCATGTTCTTTTCATAATTTATTGCTGTTTGGTACATTTTAACAATAAAATAACTTCCATAAAAATTTGATTTCCATGGCCAACTTCAGAAAAAACCAATAGTTATTTACACTAAAGAAGAATACCCATATCAGTGTTCCCGCCTGCCCTAAATAGAAGGGCGGCCTGCCCTAGGTGCCCTTACCCCGCCCTTCTGCCCTCCAAAGTAAAAGAATGATCATCTCCTGTCTCACCTGTTATATTTATAAAACTCCTTACTGAGGAGCACTTTGGTGTGCACTTAAAAATACTTTTTTGTAACAATTCAGATGATAATAAATAACTCTCAATAACATATATACTATATGTTTGAACAAGTAATTTAAATGTAGATAATTTAATTACATTAAAACTTCAATTTTGCATGTATAACTCCATCTTTCAAAGCTACTTGTTTATTTTGGTATAAGTTATAAAACATTGAAATTTCTGATGATTATTTTCCTTACCAAATGTACAAGTTTGTTTAGATTAACATCAAAATGATATGCTTTGCTTCATGGTATGATAATTTGATAAAAAAAATTCTTACTGGAACCAACATCAAGAACACATTAATTTCTGAATATGGTTTAAATACAACTAATGTTCTCCAGCTGAGCCTAGCAATATTCAAGGTAATTTATACACTGTCCAACATTGCCCTTAAAATCTGGGTTATAACGCTAAAGTGCTCTTTCAGACAACTAGCTCCCTTCTGCCCTGAGATTCAAGCTGGAACACTTCATATTAATGAGTTAGCATAAAATTTCCCTTTTTTAGTGATATCCATCAATTCAAAATACTGAAATGTTAGTTTTCATCAATGTAGTAAGGATATGCTCTTTAAAAGTACCTATATACATTTATGCAAAATGATCTAATATATATATGGTATCTGATTTCAGCTGAGAGTCAATTTGATAGATGTTAATGACAATGACCCGACCTTTGAACTATCAACCTATACAAATACCACCTCGGAAGGGACACCTGTCAACACCACATTGTTTTCTGGTAAGGTCATAAATGATTTAGATTACATTCTAAATATATAAATTACATTCTTGGTGGTATATTCATTTATTAACAATTGAGTCAGAGCCTGAGAGGTGTCCTGTTTTGGAACACCTTTACTCTTTTAGTAGTTATGTAAACACATCAGTTCTATGAGAAAGCATATAATGTATGGTAAATTGAGTCTGTAATGATGCATCAATTAATTTGAACTAGATTACTAGATTCAGGGGTGTTGCGGAGACGATTTGAATTGTGCAGTGGAATAAATTGTTCATATAAAGTTCGACGATTTGGGATTTGGGAGTTCGACGATAATGTTATACCAATAGCATTATTATATCCATAACATATAACTAACTCGAATGTTTGCTAATAACTACGTTTTAATCCAATATTTACAATATTTACAATCATTGCGCATTACAATTTCACAACATTGTTTTCGATGTTAACTTATCGCATGATAAAGACGATCTGTTTACGTCTGAACATTTGACATAAAATTTCACACTAATTTAACCTGATTCCCAGAAATGATCAAAACAAAGTAATTAAATCGCCACAGCTGCATTTGCAGACGACTATTATTTGAACTCTAACTGACTAGACTGACCTACTGAAGGTGTCATAAAATTTAGGAATCCCGTTAAGATTAACAATTAACTTTCTACACTGTAATAAATTCTTTGGAAAATACTATTATCTTTAACTGATCTTAGCAGACGAAAATGTAACTTTATTTCAACATAATTGTATTGAAAATTAACGATAAAATTAAACTTGCAAAAATATAAGTGCAATTAATAAAAAACAATTTCTACTCTATTAAAAATCATAGCTAAAAAACAATCATACTAATAAAAACTAAAAACTATTGTCTTCAATCCATTCTCCCCCTCTTGATTGCTCTAAGCTAATCAAACAAAACAATTATTAAACGATATAAAACTGTCTCTGATCTAAGTTCAAATTATCAAATCTAAAACTATTTCAAAATATTTAACTGTCTAGATTAAAATGAAACTATATGTCCACATTACTTCAATTATTTATCACTGTCATTTTCGGAGGTTTCGATGTTTAACGGACACAGTTTTGTTATCGGTCTTATTAATACAGTTTGTCCAAGTGAAACTTTTGCAACTCGAACATGTCCATCTTTTCCGGGGAAAACTTCGATTATTCTGCCAAGCGGCCAATGTCCTCTCGGAACGTTCGGGTTCATGACAAGCACAATATCATCGGTTTTCATGTCCCTTTTCGTTTTAGTCCACTTGTCACGTTTGTTTAGTCCCGGCAACCATTCTCTAATCCAACGTTTCCAGAAATGTCTAATTAATTCCTGTATTCTTCTCCAGCGTTTTCTCGGGTTAAAATCAGTAATATCAACTGATTCTGGAGCGAAATGACCACCTAATTGTCCGTGTAAGAAGTGATTTGGTGTTAAAGGTGTATCATCTTTCGGATCGGCTGACTGGTACGTAAGCGGTCTCGAATTGATCAGCGCTTCAGCTCCGGTAAATGCTGTTAAAAGTTCTTCATCATTAATATCTGCATTTCCTAATATTGCATAAATAGCCCTTTTTGCGGATTTTATCATTGTTTCGTGAATACCACCAAAATGCGGTGCAAGCGGTGGATTAAAATGCCACTTAATCCCTTGGTTACTTATTGAATTCTGTATTTTATCATTGTCTAAAAGCGCAACTAGTTCTTTCAGTTCTCTATTTGCTCCAACAAAATTAGTTCCATTGTCTGAAATTATCTCTTTAGGAAGACCTCTCCTATTCACCATCCGATAAAATGCGTTAAGAAATGAGTCCGTATCTAATCCAAATGCTACTTCCAAATGCACTGCGCGTGACGCTAAACATGTAAATAGACATAAGTATCTTTTCTGACGTCGTTTTCCTCTCCCCTGAACTGTTATGAACGGACCTCCAAAATCAACTGCAGTACGAGCGAAAGCATGTAACGGTGTTTTGAAACGAATTTCCGGTAACGGAGCCATAACTTGCTCGGCAACTTTAGCTTTCCTCTTACGGCACGTAAAACACTCATGTTCATATTCTCTTATTTCTTCTCTCCCTGAAATAATCCAAAAGCGTGACGATAATGCTGAAAATATTTGATTTGTCCCACTAACATGTTTACCAAGTTCATGATAGCGTTTCACAATAAGCTTCGTGACCCAATGTTTTCGTGGTAATATAATCGGATACCGAGCATCGAATGATAGAAAATCGGCGTACTCTAAACGTCCATCACATCTGATTAATCCATTTTCATCAATTCGCGGTTGTAATCCTAATAATTTGCTAGTTTTCGGTAAATCTTTACTTTTTATTAGAGCGTTATATTCGTCTGAAAATGCCTCCCTTTGTGCATTTTTAATTATTTCCAGTTCGGCATCTGCATATTCGACGGTAGATAAACTTCCTTGACGACGTTGTTCTTGCTTTAGTCTGCAATTGTCAATAAATCTGTATACATACGCATGTACACGAACTAGTCTTACAAAACTTGAATAACGTACGGGATCTAAACGCCAATCTGAATCACTAGTGTGAATACTTTTCAGTGTAGTACAGTTAGTTAATTTATCGCTTGTTTTCTTTTTACACTTAAGTTCGGTATCACGTACGTTTTCTATGTGAATGTTAGTTTCCGGCCATTGCGGTTCCTTTTCTTGAAGAAATTCCGGTCCATTCCACCAAATTACGTCCGACTGTAATTGTTCAATTTTCCTACCTCTAGATACTAAATCTGCTGGGTTAACCTTTGTTGGCACATGTCGCCATTGTTTAGGGTGCGATGAAGTGTGAATTTCTCCGATTCGATTCGCTACAAACGGCTTGTACTCTCTACTCCTACCTCTTATCCAATACAAAACGTTCATACTGTCTGACCAGAATGTCATGTTATCCTCAGGTACTTCTAATGCGTGTTTAACTGAAAGTGCTAATCTTAAACCCAAAACTGCAGCCATCAACTCAAGTCGTGGAATGCTAACTGAAGTTAACGGAGCAACTCTCGATTTCGCTGCTATTAATCTCGTAGATATCGTGCCACTCTTATACTCGTGTCTAGCATATATCACTGAACCATAAGCCTCCTGAGAAGCGTCGCTGAATGTGTGAAGACTCGTTGAAACAATGTCATCGTCTAACTGCAAACATCTCGGTATTTTAATACAACATAGTTCATCAAGTTCACGGAACCACTCTCTTGATTTCTCAACAAGTATTTCGTCTAACTGGTCGTCCCAGTCTAGTCCTGCTGTCCACATCTCTTGTAGTAGTAGTTTTCCTCTTATTGTGTACGGCGCAATAAATCCCAACGGGTCGAATAACGTAGCAACTTTGCTTAGAATGTTTCGTTTAGTAAATTTGAAATCATCTGCCGGTGGGTTCGCTTTAAATGTGAATATGTCATTGTCTGCCTGCCATATAACTCCTAGAGTTTTCACGGACGGTAAATATCCCTCATCGAGATCGACTTGTGACGCACGATCTTCTTCTGGAATACATTGCAAAACTGCCTTTGAATTTGAAAGCCATTTTCGTGCATACATTCCTGCTTTTTCCCATAACTGTGATAGCTGATTATAAAGTTCGATGCCTTGTTCATCGTTGATTACAGAGTCCATACTGTCGTCCATGTATGTAGATTTGAGAACTGTTTCGGCGGCTCGCGGATATGAATCTTTCGTCATTTCGGCATGTTTTCTAGAAACAAACTGAGCTTGAAATGGAGACGAATTTACTCCAAAAACAACACTATTGAATTCATATTCCTCTGGTACATGTTCAGTTTTCATTGCACGCCATAAAAATCTGTGAAACGGTCTGTCGTCTGGTGCAATTTTAATTCTCAAATACATTTCGGCTATGTCACAAACAAGTGCAACTGGATTCTTTCTGAAGCGTAATAGTACATCAAATAAATCCTGTTGTAACTTTGGTCCTTGATGAATAGTGTCATTTAGCGAAATCCCCTGAAACTTTGCAGACGCATCAAATACAATCCTCGTTTTAGTAGTTTCCTTGTCCGGTCTAATCACCGGGAAATGCGGCAAATACCATTTTCCTGCTACGGTCTCCTCCTTTGCCGACACTTTTCGAACATATCCTTTTTTAATGTATTTCTCTATGGTTTGTGTGTAATCTTTTGCAATACTCGGGTCTTTCTTTAATCTTTTTTCTGTGTTTTCTAATCTATGCAAAGCCATGTTGTAATTGTTCGGTAACAATGGTGTGTCGTCTTTCCACGGTACTTTAACTTCGTAGTGTCCGTCCTTAAATTCCAAAGATTGCTCTACAATAGACAATGCCTTTCGCTCATCACTATTTAGAAATACGTTATCGCTTGGTGTTTTGACATTTTCGATTTCCCAAAACTTCCTTACAATGTTATCTAAATCATTTCGATTCTCATGTCCACGAGCAAAATACGTTCGGTTAAATAGTGTCTGCTCCTGTCCGCTATTCGGATCTCCGATGCACGTCCAACCTAACGGTGTTAGTCTAGCAATTGGTTCTCCAGGTTTACCACGTATATCTCTATAAGAATAATGTAGATCCGGATAGTCCAGCCCAATCAACATATCAACGGTAGGTCTTTGTCCTAGATTCGGAAATTTAATCCCTGCAAGATGCTCCCATTTCCGAGCGTGTTGTTTCCAATCAACTGGTTGTAAACTTCCGGTTACACGGTTAGTAGTGAATGCGACTATCTTGGCGTCTGTTTGACCATTATGACTTTGAAGTCTAACCTCGACTGGCATAGTTTCAAATGTTTCGACATTGTCATTTAACACATTAACTGTCACTTTCTGAACTTGTCCCTGAAGTCCTAATTCAGCGGCAACATCAGCGTTGATATACGTTTTCGTACTTGCGTCATCCAGTAATGCATTAACGCTTACGGTACGGTTTCCATTTTTCAATATTACGGGTACTGTTCTAAGCGTAACGAAGTTTGATTTTCTGTCTCGGCCGATCATTGTGCGATTCTGACTCTCCCCCTCAGTGGCGGCGGCTGTATCTTCCTTCTTTTCAGTAGCATAGTTCTGTTTTGTTTTCGATTCGGTTCTCACTGGAACCTTTGGCTCACTGAACGATTGTTTATCCCTATGTAAAAGTCTGTTATGCACTTCTTTGCATCCACCCAAGTTACACGCTCTACTTCTCGGACACTGTCTGCCAACGTGATCATGTCCTAAGCAACGATAACACAACTGAAGTCGTTTTGCGGTTTCCCATCTCTTGTGAACGGTTAATTTCCGAAATTCATTACATCTCCAGACTCCATGATGACCGTTACAACACTTGCACAAATGTTTTATTGATTCCCTATTTCCGATGTTCTCTTTATTTTGCGATTCTCCAAAAAATGTTCTAAATCCATCCCTACGATTTCCTTTATAATTCCGCTGTGAATTGCTGCTGGTGTTCGCACTTAATCCGTGTATAGTTTCTGATGCTATAGTTTGAAACTCTGCTTCCTGTAAAATCCATTCACGTAGACATTCAACTGACTCTATTTTTCCGCTTTCAAATATCCAACGATGATACCTCGACAACATAGATTCTGTCATCTTTCGCTGCAATTTGTTGTATAAAGAACCATTCTTTAACTCCTCAAAACGACCTGCTTCTTTCAAGTTCACAACTGCTATATCCAGTAAATCTGCAAAATTTTCTATGTCTTTAGCGAATCCTTCTCTCATAGGTTTAAAGTTTTCAAGTTCTTCGATATACAATGTTATTTGTCTTCTTTGTCCTCCATACTTTCTTTCTAAACGCTCCTTTGCAGCATCGTAAGCAACTGCTGAATGTCCTAAATTTTCTATAACTTGCAAAGCTTCACCTTCCACATATTGTCTCAGTTGTAATAATTTATATTCCTTTGTTGCCGGTGCTTGGTCAATACATGCTAAGAATGCAGCTTTCCAGCTCTGATAATTCCTTTTATTTCCTGTGAAAACCGGTATTGAAACTCTTTTCAACTGTTTCCACATATCCTGTCCTAATTCTGAACTAAATTTCGTTTCATTTAATTGCTTGTCGTTATTTTCTTCTTTCGTAGTTTGTTCAAATTCTGGTTTAACTTCCTTTTCTTTATTTATAGGTTTACTTTCCACTTTATTTCCGGAATTCACATTAGCCCGTTTCGATATTCTCGATACACTAGAACCAACGCTTGACCCAACCTTACTCTCGATCAAATAATCACGACACTCATTTTCTGCGTCCGTAAATTCCTCTTCCATTTTTTCCATCTCTTTTGTTGTTTTCTTCATATTTAGTATATCATTCCTGTGCTTATATTCATCACAAATATTCCCCATAATATCCATCGCTTTTTCTTCCGCATTTATCAGTTTCTCTTGAAATACTTTTATTTCTTCACGATCCGGAAAATCTTCTTCAAGAATTTGTAGTAATGAATGTCTAGTTTTTGTGAATGTCGATTTTGCTTTCGCTTTTTCCTTCTTTAGATCTTCTAATCGTACACTTTCGTCCGGTTTAGCAATTACGGTTTCGTCCATTTTGTCTCCTTCGCTTGCCTCTGCTTCTATTTCCAAATCCCAATTACTCATTTTCTCACAATACGATTACGATTACAGTTCATTGAACCACGCTCTGCTACCAAAATGTTGCGGAGACGATTTGAATTGTGCAGTGGAATAAATTGTTCATATAAAGTTCGACGATTTGGGATTTGGGAGTTCGACGATAATGTTATACCAATAGCATTATTATATCCATAACATATAACTAACTCGAATGTTTGCTAATAACTACGTTTTAATCCAATATTTACAATATTTACAATCATTGCGCATTACAATTTCACAACATTGTTTTCGATGTTAACTTATCGCATGATAAAGACGATCTGTTTACGTCTGAACATTTGACATAAAATTTCACACTAATTTAACCTGATTCCCAGAAATGATCAAAACAAAGTAATTAAATCGCCACAGCTGCATTTGCAGACGACTATTATTTGAACTCTAACTGACTAGACTGACCTACTGAAGGTGTCATAAAATTTAGGAATCCCGTTAAGATTAACAATTAACTTTCTACACTGTAATAAATTCTTTGGAAAATACTATTATCTTTAACTGATCTTAGCAGACGAAAATGTAACTTTATTTCAACATAATTGTATTGAAAATTAACGATAAAATTAAACTTGCAAAAATATAAGTGCAATTAATAAAAAACAATTTCTACTCTATTAAAAATCATAGCTAAAAAACAATCATACTAATAAAAACTAAAAACTATTGTCTTCAATCCAAGGGGCTTTATATCAAGGAATCAATATTGAGTTTTACCCCCTAAAAAATGACCATCCACCATGCCTACCCCAAAAAATGGGTTTGCTCATCGTTAGAATTGTCAGCATGAGGCTTTTAAAGTAGTCCACAAAAATTAAATCCTACAAATTAGGAAAGGTCTTTTGAAAAATTCAATTTGCAAATAACTTTAATCAGTTTTTGAATAAGAACTTATTAAAATTTTAAAGTTACCATTGTTTGTTTGTGGACATGCAAGTTTAAGAGATACAATATATGAGCATAATTCAACTATATTATTATACATCCAAATTACCTGAAAAAAATGATTAATAATGAAAATTAAACACTCACTGTTTGGTTGAATTCCAGTTTAGAAATAAGAACTCAAAAGAAGCATACACCATTATCGGTAAAATACAATAATTACTCTTTTTGTTGCCAGTACAGAAATTTGACTGAAAACCACTTTTCAGGTAATAAGGGACACACAGCAGATTATTTACTTTAACATGTTGTTTTCTTCTACAGTGGCTGCCACAGACAGAGATTCCGGGGACAATGCCAAACTGACCTACTCTGTTAGTGATGATCATTTCTATGTGGTTACCAGACAGGATAAGAGGGGACGATACATTGGAGATATCAAAGTAGCAAAGTTAGTTTATGTTCAAATTATATAGAAAATTTTAGGATGTAAAAAGTCTTATAACGACAACACTTGAGTGATTGCTGCATTTTATTCATTGACATGTTTCGTTGCCTAGGGCACCATCATCAGGTACCATTTCTTATATAGAATTTTAGGATGTTTTAGGGAAATGGTTTTAAGGAATCTCATTTTTTTCAAATGAAGCATGTGGATATTTGATTGATACATACAAAAATGAAATACTTTGCACTTTGTGAGCAAGATTTATAAGTATACTCTAAGTTTGGATGCAAATAGTTGAATTTTTATATTCAATTCAATGAAACTTGAATAAGATTACCTTAAAATACTTTGTCTTTTTCATGATTTATAATGCCAACTTTTTGTTTTTAGGAGACTCGATTATGACTTCCGACCTGATCGTTTGTACAAGTTCAATGTAACAGCCACAGATGCTGGACCATTTAAGAAATCAGGTCTAGCCAATGTTGTCATATATGTTACAAATATTAATGATGAGCCCCCAGAGTTTGGTAAAACTAAGGAGGATATTCATACCTTTATACGTGAGGACCAAAATGCTGGAAGCTATGTCAAAACTGTACAGGCAATCGACCCAGATGGTGATAATGTGGAATATTACTTTACAGGTAAGCTTTAAGTCTCTTGAGTTTAAGGTATGACATACTTAGCAATGTTTTCATTTTGTTAGGAAAACAGCCTGTATTCACATTTGATGTATGGATTTATTGCCAGCAACAAAGTAGAGTCTAACGTTAAAGATGTTCTGAATTATTTTAAGGGCCTCATATATAGAAGCTTTGAAAGTCTTGCACTTTCCTGTACATTCCAATGTCACAATACTTATGTTATAACGTCACAGTAAGTACCAATTGTTCAATGATATCATTTTCGCTGGTTGACCTTGGGTCAACTGGGGTAACTCATTCATAAAAAAAAAGGGCTAGAAGATGGTCTTTAGCAAAATGATACATGTAGTTGAAAAAGATAGATGATTTCATTATTTATATTCTAAGTTCTTTGTAGTCATGTGACATGACGACTGAATATAATCAGCAATATTGCCAACATAAGGGTATGTCATTAAAGTTGCTGTATTCGTAATTTGTTAATTCTGCATATTCAGAAGAAATCACAATAGATACATTGGGAATATATAGAAATATTTCAAAAATACCAATTATAATTTTTTTTTATAAAAATGTTTTGTCTCTTTTAGATAAATTGTCAGTTGCACCAAATGGACCATTCAGAATTGATGCAAGATCTGGTCTCATAACATTAACAAACATAATACCAGCTCATATCCCTTCATACACATTAAATATCACAGCTTATGATGATGGTAGCTGTTGTGGAGGTTTTCCTAAACTTAGGAGTGATTCCTATGTTGTGGTAGAAATAAAGGATATCAACAACAACAATCCAAGATTTCCTAGTTGTAGCTATGCTCCTCATATCATGGAAAATATGGCTCCTGGAACCTTTGTTGTCAGGGTATAATAGATATTTCTTGTTTAAATAAATGTACAATAAGGAATAGAATTACATGTGCATTACAGTTTTCATATTATGATATCAGTTTATAACTTTGCTTATCTACTTATAAAATTTGATAGAGCTTTATAGTCAAAGTTAATGTAAAGTCAATTAAAATGTTAGAAAAAAGCTTTTTATGCCCCATTTATGGGCATTATGTTTTTTGGTCTGTGCGTCCGTCCATTCGTTTGTTCGTCCTTCTGTTCGTCCGTCCGTTTGTCTGTCCCGCTTCAGGTTAAAGTTGTTGGTCAAGGTAGTTTTTGATGAAGTTGAAGTCCAATCAACTTGAAACTTAGTACACATGTTCCCTATGATATGATCTTTCTAATTTTAATGCCAAATTAGAGTTTTGACCCCAATTTCATGGTCCACTGTACATAGAAAATAATAATGCGAGTGGGTCATCCATGTACTATGGGCACATTCTTGTTTATCTATATTTTAAAAGATTTTTATTTATCCGACTGAAAATTGTCTCATCTTATTAAGATCAGGGTTAGATAGTTTGTGTACATTCTTGATTACAAGATGTGCATCCAATTCGATAACCGATCTCAACAAGATATTTCTACATATGCAAACCACAATACCAATATCATTACTGTTTACTAGTTCTTCCTTTTGATTTTTGTATGAATAAGATGAGTTATGGTTTTATCAATGAAACAGCAACCCAACAACACAAAAAAAACCAAGTGACATCTAATGGGTCACACACAGTCTTCATCAGAAGACAGGTGTCTTATATAATAAGTCAAACACAAAAACTCTAGAAGCTGAGATTAAGTAATTAGTATATCAAACAATTGGTTTCTGTTTCATGGACGATTCTCCACACATTTCGTATTTATAAAATGACGTATTTGCAGTAAAGTAGTTTGATCTTAATGGGTTGAAGTAAAATATGTTATACATTGTATTTGATTTTCAGGTACAAGCAGAAGATGATGATAGAGGTTTTAATGGTAAAATAAAATACCATGTTGTAACTCCAGCTGGTAAGACACAGAGCTTCAATGTAGATCCTGACAATGGTACTGTCACATCCAGGGTAATGTTTGATCGGGAATCTGAACAGGGCATGAGAGGTTATCCTCTTACCATCATGGCTGAGGATCAGGGACAGACCAGGAAGTTAAATAGTTTGTGTACATTCTGGGTCACGATTGACGATCTGAATGACAATCCACCAAAGTTTGATTCGTCAGTTTACACACCAACAATCGTGCGAAGTTTAGATGTGAACAAAGTTGTGACATCATTATTAGCAACAGATCAGGATATGGGTACAAATGCTGAAGTCCAATACTCACTTATAGAGAACCCAGAAGACAGGTTTAGAATCGATCCTGATACTGGTACAATCTTCCTCACCAAGAGTTTGTCTGATGTAAGTATTTAATGTAGATATAAGAATCAGGATTGATCCTGATGCTGGTACAATCTTCCTCACCAAGAGTTTGTCTGATGTAAGTATTAAGTATAAAAATAATGAAATGTGATGTGATTGCCAATGAGGCAGCAATCCAACAAAGATCACAGAACATAACAATGAATATTATCTTATGGAGAGGTAATTTTTCCAACTTTAAAATGATGGACAGACCCATACCTTAAAGAAAGCTATTAGAAGACAATGATTAGTGATCTCTGCATACTTCAAAAGGGACAGTAAAAATGGCTTTTAATATTTCTTCAGTCAATAAATTAAGAATTAGTACAAAAAATCCAAGTTTTAAATTGGATTGAAGGCACTAGTAAACCATTTTGATCTGAACAGCTCTTAAAAGACTGAACAATTATTTATTCAGTCTTTCAGTATAATTTTAAACTTCTCCATTGCCGTAAATTCAGTACTGTTTAGATAATTAGCTTGAAGTAAATTAAAATATGTTCCTTCTATGTTAAAACTTTTCAGTAGTTTTTATTTACCTGTATACATCAACATCATACTGAATTGTCTGAAAAGCTACTGAACAGTACTGAATTAACAGAAGTAGATAAGTCTGAAAATTGACTCAAAGACTTAACATCACTGAATAGTTTATGGTTCAGACTTTTCAGATGATGTAAAGATCGAAATGACCATTTCAGACTTAAATTCGTCTACTAGTGAGGGAAAGTGCCAAGCATGACAGAATTGCTTCACATACAGGGAGACTTATGTTTGTATGTCAAAAACCAAATAAACCTCTACAGCGTGGATTTCATTAACAGCAGCCCCTGGTTAATATTAACTGTTCCACATAGTATGTATGAAAATCCATATATTTTGCAGGAATAATGTTTATCCTGTTAAAACAAAACTTATTGAAATCACTAATATAGTTGACTGTTTTCTTTTCCAGTTTTTGGATAGTTCAATAAGATTACAAGTAAAGACAGAAGACAAAGGAATTCCCCCACTTCACAGCACAGTACTTGTCAACATTGATGTTACGACAGGTGATCAGCCTGCCCCAACATGGGATGACAACTATAATGGTCAAAGTTTTAATGTAAATGAAACAGAACAAGTGGGATACAAAATAGCTACATTTTATGCTTCTTCTAATGTACCACCACCACTAGATGGAGTTTCATTTGCAATAGTCGACTCCAATGGACAACCTAGGCAATCTGCAGGAAACTTCCGTGTTGAAGGCAGGGACAATTACATGTATTTACGACTAAATGGACCATTGAATTACAAGATCAACAATACTTATACACTACGTCTCAGAGTAACTGTAAGTTTAAAGAAATGTCTATATTAAATTGAAGAAGTTATTTAGATAGGACTATTTAGAGAAATCAATTAAACGACAGAAGATTAATATATGGCAAAAACAATCAAAAATTAAAAGTAACACTCAAATAAATTCCAGTCCAGTATAGTTTGATAGTTTATAGATAACAAGTTCTACTTTTTATGCCCCATTTATGGGTATTATGTTATTCGGTCTGTGCGTCCGTTCGTTCGTTCGTTCGTCCGTCCGTCTGTCTGTCCCGATTCAGGTTAAAGTTTTTGGTAAAAAAAAAAAAGTAGTTTTTGATGAAGTTGAAGTCCAATCAACTTGAAACTTAGTACACATGTTCCCTATGATATGATCTTTCTAATTTTAGTGCCAAATTATAGTTTTGATTCCAATTTCACTGTCCACTGAACATAGAAAATGATAGTGCGAGTGGTGCATCCGTGTACTATGGACAAATTCTTGTTTGAAATTTAATGATAGATAAAAAAAAAAAAATGTAGGTGCACACAACACATGTTTTGAATTGACCAGTCACCTTCATCAAGTATAAAAGCTTTAGGAACAAGTTTGAAACTTTTTAACCGATATTTTCTTTTTCAGAATCAAGGCCTGACACCACTTTCACAGGAAATGCGTGTAACTATCAGTGTCCGTGACATGAATAATGAAGTACCACAGTTTGAAGGACTTGACCCCAAACTTGCTAACTTGTTCCGTGGTAGTGTCCCAGAAAATGAACCTTCTGGTGTGTCAGTGTTTACAGTGAAAGCTGTAGATGCTGATGCAGATCTTCCAAATAATCTGGTGAGTTATTTCCCATTGTATTGATTTGAATATTATAACAGATACTTGTTCAGTTCTTTGAGAACTATTTTTTAATACCATATTTTTGTTTCTTTGCAAAAAATATGTGAATTAATGAATAATTTCAGTGAATGAAACACTCATTGGAAACTGTCAAAGATGTTAATGTCATTTTGACATAGGAAAACTTTTTTAAATTAAATTTTTTTCATGATAAAGTACATTTTCTAACTTGTGACTTTTGAATTGAAAACATATTATTTCTTTATAAAATCTAAAATTTTATTTTATTTTACTAGGTATACTATAGCTTGGTAGCAGATAAGAATAATGCCTATCTGAAGTTCAGAATTGACCAGCAGACAGGTCTAATTACCACAAATACAACTTTTGATAGAGAGGAAGAGAATGTCTACTTTATAACTGTAATGGCTAAAGATGGTATTAACTCTGATATCCCATATCATGAACCACCTAATTCACCTAATAGTGGTAAGTGGTTAAAAAATATAAGACAAAGGCCTGTTAAAGAACAATGATTTGTAAGGTACCAGTTGTCATGGATTAAAGGTTAATCCAAGCCAGGAATATAAATCTTAGATTGATCTTTTATTAAGGATGTACTTTAATAGGTGAAATTAAAAAAATCTAGAATTTAAAATTGGTACTATAAGTCAGAAGAGCATTAGTTAAGGAACAAAATAAGCTAAAAATATTTATAGGTTATGAAGCACCTTTTCGTGATATTTAATTTTAAAAAAATGGCGGGAAAAGGCTGACTCGGACTTTTACCTTGTATTTGCATTGGTATTATTTGGGTCTCAAATCAAAATAAAGGAAATCTAGAATCTGCTTAAATGTTGGTAAATGACCTTTTATGAGCTATTGAAGTTTTATATCAAAAGAAAAATGGGTGTTATGGGGCAAAATATTTTACCATGTATTGTAGGAAAAAAACCAAGGAGTCCGAACAGTTGACAAAAAATTCCTAAACCTCACCTAAGTACATCCTTTTCCGGAACAAAAAGTGGACTTTGTCATTTCTATACAAATGTGGTAGCAGGGTGTGAATTTCTGAATGCTATTCACATGTTTATGTCCTGCCTACAATATTACTGAGCATTGTGTCCTATGGACACGTATTCTTGTTACTAGTTTCATATGACAATTTGGGGCTTTGATGAACCAACAAAATCCATAAAAGTTTGTGCCTCATTTATTCACAATAATTGAAGTTCAAGAACTGTTTTATAATGTTACATTGTGAAGAAGAAATAGACCTGTTTCTTTCATTTTATTGCTTTAATGATGATAAAAATTTACACTGAGGTAAGTTTTGTGAGAAGAAAACAAAGCTAAAAATCTGATGTTATAAATTCAGTTAGGTTAAAGAAAGATAAATGTTTGGTCAAGAGATTTCAGTCAAATCAGATGTATAAAATTTAAAAAGATTGGATGCATGAGAAGATAGATACTAGGCTCTATTCCTGTCCCGGTGAATTATTACATTTGGAGCAAGAATAAAAGTTTACGATTTTTTTGCAGCCCAAGCTCAAGTCCAGGTTATAATTGGAGATAAGAATGACAACCCACCAGTGTTTGAGAAGCCTCTTTATGAGACAAATGTATTTGAACAACCCCCAGACAGTAGTAAATCCATAATCAGAGTACAGGCCACTGATAAAGATATAGGTAAGTTAAGATAAGAATTGTCATAAAGGGATGATGGCCTAAGGGCAGTTGGTTGTTGAAACTAATGGTTCTAGCACTAACACCCCATGTGTAAGCTGTTACTTAAAATTTATTCATTTTGAAGTTTTGTGCTTCTATCTTAATTTTTGAAATGTATTTTTCATCAAAAACCACTTATTGACATTAGTGGAACATACAGTAGAAAAATTCTGAATGATCTTAAATCCACAGTAAAGCTTTTATAAATGATATAGGTTCTGACAATTAATATTTGTATAGTGGAGATTGACATCCAGAATAATTACTGATACTATTAAAAGGCATAAGAAGTAAAGCTGTACTATTTCATCTTGAAGTGACAATAACTGTCATCCTGAATAGTATAAATAACTACTTTATATTGTAGCTGATACCTTGACATACTCCATAACCAGTGGTAATACTGATGGTGTATTTAGTATACGAGGGAAGACTGGAGATATCTATGTAGCCAGAGATCTGGATTATGAAACCATGTCACATGTAAGCTTTATACATGGGATTGCTTGGTTATTAAATGGTTAATGAACAATTTTGATATTGTCAATAAAATAAAATGATACCAGAGTCAGTACAGTATAGTCTACACATGTTTCTATGATAATCTTTGTCATTGAGTTCACCTAGCAACTCTTAGGCCAAGCATAAAATACAATACTGTTATCTACATTCTATTGCAAAACTAACAGATATTCAATTTAAGACCTTATTTAAAAGTAAAATCATGCAAGTCATTCTTCTCATCTTTGGAACCTTACAAGTATTACTTAACAGGATAATTTCTGGTAAGACATCTGCTCTCTTTGTTTATTATTAAACAAATCACATACCAATATATTCTGGAATTTAAAATGATGGATCATTCCCCTCAGTTACAGACTGGTAGAACGTGGAATCTAGCCCCTCAAAATGTATGATGTTGACCAATCAATATAATTAAAATTGCATTAGAATTACAAAGTTTTTAAAGGAAAATCTTGAGAAAAAGTCATTAGTGGTTAATGTTGAAACATACTTAAAGTAAAAAGTATGGCAGGACTGCTCATTCTGATGTAATCAAATGAAGTTTCAAAATATTTCAAAAAGGTTTTTTTTTTTTTTTTTTTTTTATATATTTAGACTGGTGTTGTTATTTGTCACTGTAATACGTATAGCATTAAGTGACAGATTCCACTCTGTTTTTTTCAGACCTTTACCCTAACTATAACAGTGAGTGACAGTTTCTATACCAACATGACAACAGTGATACTCCATGTACAAGATGTCAATGATAATGCACCAGAATTTACAAAATCAGAGTATGTTATAACATCAGTCGTGGAAGAGGAAACCCCACCCCAGGGAGGACAATTTCTTGTTCAGGTAAATATATAGTGTGCTCATTAACTCAAATGATTTTGAAGAAATATATTTTATCATTGTAGTACTCGTACAATTCCAATGTATAATATTACAGTGTTGACAAATTGTACCATATGTAGTAATGGCAATATCCATATTTCCTATTGGAACCACATAAAACAATTTAATAAATAATCAAACATAAGGTGCACAAATGCACATGAAATGAAACTATTCTTGTAATGTTTCATCCTATTCCAATGTTAACTTATAACAGATTTCTGTGGACAAGCTAATTGTGACAGGCAGGCAAGTGGACAGTTAGGACAAAAACAATATTATTTGGAAATTATTTCATGACTTAATGGGCTAAATGTTTGTTCTTAGGTTGGTGCAACAGATAAGGACACGGCCAGAACCACAGATTTTGTATACAGCATTAGTAGTGACGACAACAAACCTAATGATCCAACATTCTCTATAGAGCCTAAAACTGGTAGGATCTATTTACTGAAGTCCTTGGATAGAGACTTGCCAAAGGGACGAGCAGAGTTCCAGTTTAATGTTCTGGTTGTGGATGAACCGAACTCAGCACAGTCTCTGATAGGTTATGCTTATGTCAAGGTCAAACCTATTGACATTAATGATAATCGACCAGAGTTCACCACAAACTTGACAGGTTATGTTCCAGAAAATTCTGCTAAAGGTAAGTGGCTGTATATCTTTGGTTAAGTAAATCTTTATTAAGCTTAACTTACATTAGTAAATCAAGATTATAATGGAGATATTTTGGGTTATAATATATCTATCTGAATAACATTCTTGATCAACTTCTATAGCCAGAGCACATTATAGCCCTGAATATTAATGTTGCATTCAAAAACTATAGTGAATGTCAAACACAAATATATCATCACCATATAAATTATAGAATAAATGTCATATCATAAATGCATATAAACATCAAACCATCATTTATATCTGCTGTTTGCTGCTTGTTGTTCATGCATTTCTGTGTAGGAATATTACATCTGTTGTGTCAGGTGGCTTTAGACATTTTGAATTTTTAGATTTTAGAGACAAAGTGTACGGTATGTATGGTGTTGTGTGCTTTTCAAGGTCAAGGCAGATATTTTTACTTATCAATTGATTTTGATTTTTTGTACAAAGAAAGTGCATTGATTTTTTTCATCCCTTATGTTTATTTGACTCCGTCCTGATTTTGCTTATTGTCATCTTTAACTCGCCATAAATTTTTCATCCAACTTTATTATTTGTTGAAAGAAATGTTAATGAAATGCTTGTACATTTTAATTTTACTAAGTAAATTAATTTTTGTGAATGTTGCTTTTATTTATTCATTTATCTAAGATAAGATCTTTCCAATATGCCATCATCTGTTTCACTAATATGTCAATTTAGCCAAAATAAAATTTTGATTGCTTGATGTTGCCTATCTACCCACCTAAAAAGCATCAAACCCCAAAATATTTATGACACAAATTGTTCAAATTTTATTTTAAAGGATTTTTCCTGCTAACACGTTGTTTTCTTGTCTACAACATGTAACTTATGCTGTTGGCCAAAAAAAAAAATCCCTACCTACCTCCCCAACCCTAGATGGCATGGGTAAGCAACATCAAACAAAGAATTTCTTAAGGGTGGCCTTAAATATTACTCATATGCAATATATATATATATATATATATATATCATCTAAAACACATCACTTCATATCAGTTTTACACAATGTATTTGTGCACATTGGTTTTAATGGTTTATTTGATTGTCACAAAAAGTACCTATACAACACTTACTTTTTTTAATTCATAGTAATTTAATCAGAGATCCTAAATTTAATCAGAGATCCTAAATTCCAACAGTTCTCTAAATGCAACAGGCCTATATTTTTTCCAAATGGCTGTTTATCATTCAAAAATATGATGGAAAGACCAAGATTTCTGTAAAATATTTATCTTAAGTGAGTAACCCACTTCCAACATAAGGAAAATCTAATTATGATTTTTTTAGTTTTTCATGCAAAGATTACTGACAGTATCTGTTGATTAGTACGGCTCAACATTATCAATGAATCTATAACTATAAATGTTTGCATAAAATGTCTAATTGTAGGTAAGAATGTGATGACAGTGCGTGCTAATGATGTGGATTATGGTAGAAATGGTACGGTACATTATATGATCGGGGACAATCGTCCCGTGGATCCAGAAACTTCCATGAGTCTGTTTCTAATTGATAGAGAAACTGGTCTGATTACGTCTAACACTAACAAACTGGACAGAGAAACGTTAGATCGTTATTATCTCCCCATTGTGGCATATGACAATGGTGTCAATCCACAAAGCTCAACAGCTACAGTGACAGTAGTGGTTACAGATGAAAACGATGAAAGGCCCAAATTTCTACAGAAGATTTACCGTGTTGATTTGTCTGAAAGTCAGTTAAGTGGTCCTGTTGTTTCTGTCGTGGCAACTGATGATGATGTTGATGACAATGCTAAGCTGACATACTCAATTGTGACACAGAACGATCTGAATTTCTTCTCAATTATAACTTTACCCTCCAATGATGGAGTAATAACAGTCTATAATGTAAGTTGACATTATATATTCTGATGAAGTTAAACTCAATTTTTTCTGCATCATAATTTCAACTTTCCGTGATGTGGATAAAATACCATAAATAAACCTTCCTGAAGTCTATTTCCAAAAAATCTTACAATAAGAATCCATTTATCAATCAGCACAATTCAGTTTAAATTTTTATGATGCTAATATTATTGAAAAAATTATGATGAAAAAAAGTATCATATGAATTAATACTCTTTATTTTTAATTCTGAGCCTGTTATTTGTGTGCAACATTTCCTAAAATGACATGTTTTAACTCTTGGATCATGAATACAATGTTTATATAAACCAACTTTTCTCAGAATAAGAAGATATTAAAATTAAGATAAAAAATAACAATTACATACATACTACAACTTTATCAAAGACACATATTTTAGGAAAAAAAGGTTTGTTTAATAATTTGATTGTATGAAGAAACGCACAATTGAATTAATACTGTTAATGTGTTTTAGCCTGTTGATTATGAAAACAGAACCCAACGTTTCTTCAACCTGACAGTAAAAGCCAGAGATGCCAATCCTAATCATTTTGATATTGCCCATGTTGAGATTACAGTAACTGATGCTAATGATGAAAAACCAGAATTCCTGAAGAAAGTAGAAGTCATCACAAGGGATGAAAATATCCCAGAGAATTCATTGTTACACACCTTCTCAGCACATGATAAAGATAGCCCGCCAAATAATGAATTTACGTAAGTTAAAAATATATCGGGGAATTCACTGCTACATACCTTCCTATTGCATGAGAAAGATAGAATGATTTACCGGTATGTAAGATTGACTAGTAACTGAACGTTTTCAACATAAGGCCTCTAAGGCCCAAATTTTTGGTATAAGGTTAATATCATTATTTTGACTAGTAGCTGAACATTTTCAACAAATGGCCAGTAAAGCCCAGACTTTAAGGGTAAGGTTAATAACTATTGATTTATTTTGACTATAGATTTTCAATAGCTGACCATGCAGACAGGTTTTATGTAGAACAGCATGGAGACTATTGTATGGTCAAGATACAGAATGGACTTGATGGTCAGACATTGGACAGAGAGACTAGTGACCAGTATACAGTTAAAGTTCTAGCAATCGATAAAGGTCAGAGTTCCTTTCATTGAACCAATAATAATACTACTGTACTTCAGTACATGTGCATAAAGTACTTAATGATAGAAATTACTTCAGTACATGTGCATAAAGTACTTAATGATAGAAATTACTTCAGTACATGTGCATAAAGTACTTAATGATAGAAATTACATGAAATTTTATCTTAAATGTAAATTCTGAATTAGTTTCCATATGGAAAACAGGCTTTAAAATAAAGCAATCAAAAACAATGGTTCAATGTAAATATTTAATCTGCAAGAAAATCATCACAAAAGTTTAAATTATGTGACCAATCAGAATTTTCTTTTTAGGAATTCCAGCACAGACAGGAACTGCAACATTGTATATTAAGGTAACAGATCTAAACGACGAGGCACCAACCTTTGCCAAACAGTATCGTCCAATTGTAATGGAAGATGAGGACCCGTCCCATGAACCAGTCATTACTTTCAGTGCCATAGATAGGGATACCAAAAAATATGGTCCTCCCTTCAAGTTTGAATTACCAGTCTGTAAAAATCCTACTTGCAACGAGAACATCAATCATATGTTTAGTTTGGAATTTGATCCAAGTAAGTTTTAACTATTGTTGTTTACCATATAATTTTTATACCCAGATCACTTCACTTGAAAAGAACTATAAGTATATGAATAGAGGGAGATATGGCTATACATCAATGAGACAGAAACCAAATGACACCAATAAACAAAGATCATTTACAATTGAAGAGAGTCTTCTACAATAGACCCGTGTCTATAACATTTGTCAAGCTCTAAATCAACCCTAGTCGAAAAAGATGTGAATAGTTTAAACAGAGATGATCAAAGATCTGCCATAAATACATAAGGATCCAATAAAGAAAACTGACCACTGAATTAACATAAATATTTCTTGTCAAATTTAAGGTTAGAAAACAATGGCGTTTCATTAGCAGAGTAGAGTTTATGCTCAAATTTAATGTATTGACTTAAATGATGAAAGGAGATGTTAGGTAATGCAGATGAGAAATTAGATGGACAATTACCGATTCCATGTTACAAACCTGCCTGCCTTAACGGTCACCTCGTTTCAGTGGTCACCTGCCTCTAGTGGTCACTTTCAGACCTTCCCAAACAATTTCTCTATATAATTTAACTCGTTTCAGCATTCACCTGATTTCGTCACAAAATCATCATTTCAACTTTAAATAACACGCAATAGAAGGTGAATTCGGGAATTCCCCGTGTTCCTGTCCTTTCAGTTTCCATTGAAAACCTTACCAACGACTTATTTCTCCACGAAAATTAATATCTTTCAAAGTTTTCTTCATATTTACAGCACCTGAATCTGCTATTTTTGATTTTACTCCTCGCAAGTACAATAACTCTACCGATTGAAAACACTAAAGCAATTTGCCCCCATCCCAGGAATGGGCGAGGTTGGAATTAGAATTTATTGGAACCTCGTTTAAAAGGTCGCCTCCCTTGGGCAGTCAATTTTGATACTTCCAAAAGTGGTTGCTTAATACAGGTTTGACTGTACATGTATACTTATTATTCATTATTATTTATGGGGTACCAATTTTTTTTTTATTTCGTGGGTATAGGGAAAGCACCAATTGAAACGTTCAACAAAGTGTAAATTGTCAATAGGCTTACAAACTTTTGCATAACCATGAAATTGAAGCCCTCTAGTCTGCTACAGCTGCTGTCAACTCACTCAACTGCAGACTAATTTTATATGCAGTAAATTGGTTTATGGACAGCTTGAAATTGCAATTTCAAAATGTTTTGAAAGCCCTGATACAGTCTAAGATCAAAAATTACAATGTAAAAAAATAATTATTTCTTCAAAATTTCCACAAAATAAGCTTCAAATTAAAATAATTGACTGCTTAGAAAATTGTATTAAAACATTGAATATGAGAATTAACTTTTAGGACTTATGTCGTAAGCTTTTCTTTACCAGTTTTATAAATTTTGACATTGTTTTGTTACTTATTTCTTTACTCTATTTGTTCTTTATTTATTATATTAGCTGGCGATGGGGGAAATGGAACAGGCAAAGTAATGGCCCTTGGAAAATTTTTCCGTGAAGAACAGAAATTTTATTATTTACCAATTATAATGAAGGACATGGGAGGTAACAACCGATTGTCCCAGACAGGAACCAGTACACTGACCATAGAGATTGGAGATAAAAACAATAATCAACATTATGATGGATTCAAAGAGATATTTGTATATAATTATAAAGGTAAGTAATGCCTTTTGTTATTAAAACTGTCGTCTGTAGTTGTAGAATTTTAATACACTATCTCATAAAAAAACATTTTTGAATTGTTAAACACTGATATTAAACGCTGTATCATGGACATTGTAAAATATTTCAGAAATGAATTGTTAACACTTTAAAAGAAAGTTTAACAATAAGAAAATGTCATTTGACACATACCATAAAGGCATATACTGGTACTTTTTATGCCAAATCTACTTTTAATTGTTGAATTGATAAAGAACCTAAACCATATTTTGTGTTCAGAACCAAGGCAAGCTATCTAGCAGATATAGATATGAGAAGATGTGGTATGAGTGCCAATGAGACAACTCTCCATCCAAGTCAAAATTTATAAAAGTAAACCAATATAGGTCAAAGTACGGTCTGTAAAAATAGATATAAGAAGATGTGGTATGAGTGCCAATGAGACAACTCTCCATCCAAGTCAAAATTTATAAAAGTAAACTTATATAGGTCAAAGTACAGTCTTCAATACTTATTTACCTCCTTGTCCATCCGTTTTATGAATCTTTTGTTGCATTTTTCTCAGGAACTATAAATCAGAGCTTTTGGTACCAAGCTTCGTTTAAGCATTTAATACTGTGTAATACATTCTCACATTTCATTTATCGCTCATCAACTTTCTATTTACCAAAGTATTAATTATTTGTTTTATATAGCCGGTTTGTTTGGAGACATAGACATAGTCCGAAATTAATGCTGAAGACCTCGATGATTGGGGTCACTAAAGTGTTAATTATTTGTTTTATATTGTAGGTTTGTTTGGAGACATAGAAATAGGCAGAGCTAATGCAGAGGATCTTGATGATTGGGATCATAAAGATAAACTCTACGTATTCAAAGGACCAAAAGCAATGACACAGTTCTTCAGGTAATAATATATTTACTAGGGAACACTATTCTTAAACAAATTTTAACAAAAGATTGTGTTCATAACTTTTTATGCCTCCGCCACGGCGGAGAGGTCATTTAGTGTTACCCTTGTCCGTCCATACATCTATTTGTCCATCCGTCCGTACATACTTCCCAAAATTAGTTTCCGTTCTCTAACTTAAGTTTGCCTCAACCAAATGTTATAAAACTTAAACACAATGCTGTCTCATGGACACATTCTCCATTTATTTTATTCAATCAGAAAAAAAAATTGTGATGAAAAGAATGTATAATGAAGAATAGTTTAAAACAGTGATGCTTTATTTGTATGTTTAAAACATACACATATAACTATCATATTTTGTTATGCTAAAAAGAAAATGCTGACATAAATTTGGAAGTGAAAAAAGTATCCAACATGAAACTGGCAAGCTAACCAATGAATAAGTTTCATAAGAAGAACTCTTTCAAGACCTTGTGCCATGCAACATATTTCCATACAGTGCATGCAAACTGTCCAGGAGATCCCAATCCTTACCATTAAAATCCTTGGTATGAATGATAAAATGAATGAGAAACCAAAAACCAAAACCCTCAACCAAAATGAATGAGAAACCAAAAACCAAAACCCTCAACCAAACAGAGAACAAACTCTTTCCTAACTAATGATGAAACTACTAGTGAATTTATTTTGTGGATTGATGAAAAATTGTATTTTCGAGGATATTTGATTTCGTGGTTTTTAGGCCCCACCGTAGCGGAGGGGGCATTAAGTTTTACCCTTGTTTAAAGTTTCCATTACCAGCCTATAGAAAATATGTACTTCGTTGATCATTTAAATTTGTGGTTAACCTATTCTCACGAAATCCGTTAACATTAGTGTCCTACAAATAATAATGAATCCACAGTAACATTTAAGAAAGGGGAAGAAGCATGAACATCTAACTGGAACAGTTACTTTTTTCTTTCAGTGTAAATGGAGAAACTGGTATGATTACCATGAAAAAAGGGGTACCAGGAGGGGTATTTGATTTTAAGGTGACAGTGTATGATCATGTGGTGTTTAATAAGAAGAATGCAACAGCCTCCATTAAAGTAACTGTAAAGGAAATATCAGATAACGCTGTGTACAGCTCTGGCTCTATTAGATTGACAGGTAATTGTAATGAACTATCAGAAAATGCTGTGTACAGCTCTGGCTCTATTAAAATGACAGGTAATTGTAATGAACTATCAGATTAGATTGACAGGAAATTGTAATGAACTATCAGAAAATGTTGTGTACAGCTCTGGCTCCATTAGATTGACAGGTAATTGTAATGAAATATCAGAAAATGCTGTGTACAGCTCTTGGTCTATTAGATTGACAGGTAATTGTAATGAAGTTGAACTATCAGAAAATGCTGTGTACAGCTCTGGCTCCTTTAGATTGACAGGTAATTGTAATGAACTATCAGATACTGCTGTGTACAGCTCTTGGTCTATTAGATTGACAGGTAATTGTAATGAACTATCAGATAATGCTGAGTACAGCTCTGGCACTATTAGATTGACAGGTAATTGTTATATCATTAGAAAATTAGGTTAATTTGCCATTATGCTAGTTTAAATTTCTGGACAGAACTTTGTACTCCTGTCAAAATGTTATTTATGTATGTAAACTTAAATTATGCCAGAGTTTTATCGCATTTATTAAGCGATAATTTTCAATTTGCAGCTATATTGTTTAGACAAGACTGAATGTCTTTGTATGCAGTTAACAAATTTCCAGCTAAGAAATTCAACTCTAGCTGAAAATCTACATACAAGTGTTGAGAGTTCTTTATTTATTACATTATGTTTTTGTAGCTCATTGACATATTCCCCACATCTGTTTTTACTGTATGTACAAATCTTAAAAAAGAGCAAACAAAGAACTTTACAAAATCCTGTTCGTTTTAGGTATAACAGCAGAGCAGTTTATGGAAAAATCCTCCTACATGGACTCGGCAGGTAATACACAACATTCAGAAAGTAATTACGAGAAGTTTCAGAAGAAGTTAGCAGAGAAATTAGGGGTACCAGTAGAGAATGTTGATATATTCAGTGTGATGGACAATAAGACAATGCAGTATTTAGATGTAAGATATGCAGCTCATGGTTCTCCTTGGTACCCTCCCAGTAAAATAAATGGCATTGTTACACAGTATAAGACAGAGGTAAGTTCTGTAAATTTAGAAATTATTGCGTGCATTTATTATTGCAATTTTTGAAGAATGAACGAAAATACGAGTTAAATTATTGCTATTTTATGAAAAGCTACATACAGATATATATATATCAGATATCAGAGTGCAAGTTCTTATTATTGTGATACTCAAGGTGTGGCATTATTCGCATTAATAAACCTCAGAATGATTTGTGAATTTATAGAAGTTTATAAAATATCTACTTGTTAGAGTTCAGTAATCTGTGACACAGTAAGACCTATACTATGAATGTTTGCTTATGAACAGTTATAAGATCTCTTGTATCATTATAGAGAGTTTGTTTCAAGATTATTCTGTAGCCATAAATAAAATTTGTCTTAAGAATTGTAAGAACATAAGAGAAACAATATACTATGGATTTGTAAACGAAATACAAATTTTCTATAGGCATACATGCAGACTTCATCAAAATCAAATATCCATGAAAAAACAGTTTTACCCCTCAATCCATGAAAATTGGTATCCTCGTAAAATAAATGAATCAGCAGTACCATGATACAACAAAGAAAAGGCTTGATCCTTATTTAATTTTTAAGCAAAATATTTTTAATTGGGTAATATCTGCCATCAAATCCATAGTAATTGTCATACTACAGTTTTATTTTGAATGAGCAGCTGTATTCAATAATATGATGGAAAAAATAACAAGCCACCTTCGTCAAACACAGTTTTAATGAGAAATTATAAAAGTTATGTTTCTACTGGGAAAATAAATTGAATTGAACATGTTAATCTATATGATATTGTGTTTTTCCTCGACTATAAAGCTGCAAAACATTAAATACTTTGTGGAACATTATTCTATAAGGACTTTATATCCCATTTAAAGATTATTGAAATTATTTATCTCATAATGTATTGGAATAGGAATAACAATACTGCATTTGAAGGGTTGACAAAATTTTCAAAAATAATTTTGCTGTTTTTTAATTTTAATTTTTTATAAGGATGCTACAATAAATCACCTAACACTTTGTTTTTTTTTATTCCATTCTATAGTTTGAAACGGAATCTGGAGGTAATGTTGCCATGGTGAATATAGACGAATGTCTGAAAGAGATATGTGACAGCGGAGGGTGTGCCAATATTCTGTATGTGGATGAGCATGCTCCAGTGATGATCAACACTAAAGGCAAATCATTTGTTGGCATAGGAACAAAGATCGTAGCTGAATGTCAATGTCTGGCCAAAAACTTCTCTAAGCCATTGTCATGTACAGCTGGTTATTGTTTCAATGGAGGAACTTGTTTTAAAGATGACTTTGGTGATCTGAGGTATTCAATGCTGTAATTTTTTCCTAAATTGTAATGCAATCTACAAATATTCTGTGTACAAATTACTAAAATTTTGTTGCTGATTTGGAACAAGAAATATTCATAAGCAGTTTAAAAAATGAGTAATGGTCAGTTATAAGCACCAATTTGGAGTTGGAGGCTTTGAACTTGTTTACAAAAGAATCACTTTTAGTCTTGTGACATTAAATATTTTCTGATATGATTTGCCAAAATAATACAGGAAAACACTGATTCCTGCAATGGCTGACAATCTCAAACATGTTGAATTTACTAGGGACATTTCTCTATGTTCAGTTGACTTTTAATGGGCAAGTGAAAATATTTAAAATTTTTGACAATATATTTGCCAGGAGATATGGCTCGTTTCATATTGACTATTGAGAAAATTTTATCCCCTATGTATTACAGATTTGATAGAAAGCTAAAAATGAAATACTGTGGATTCATTATTATTTCAGGGATACCAATTTTTGTTGAATCGCAAATTTGAATGTTCAACGAACAACAATTTTCTATGGGCTTGTATGCAGACTTTTGCAAAACCATGAAATCAAATATCCATGAAAACACAATTTTCCCTTAATCCACAAAAATAAATGAATCCACAGTAGTCAAAATAGTTTATATGGTTAACTCAGAAAGAATCTATATACTTATAGCTGTTCGTGTCATAGTGAATTTAATGGTAAACGCTGTCAACAGACCCACCATAGTTTTAACAGTGGTTATACAGTATACCAGCCATTGGCCCAGTGTGAGGACAGCACAACTAGTATAGAATTTGTCACCAAAGAAAAAAATGGACTATTGTTTTATAATGGTCCTGTGGATAAAATCAGTCCAGATCATCCTAAAGATTTCATATCCTTGGAGTTACGAGATGGTTACCCTGTGTTGTACATAAATCATGGAACTGGTACCTTAAAATTACAGTTGGATGGGAAAGGAAAAGATGGTATAACAAGAATGAAAGGGTTAGATGATGGAACCTGGCGTCGTATCGATCTTATTAGGAAAGGACAGGTCAGATTTGTATTCATTTCAGATGTTTTATCTTTTGAAATACATATGAGTTTGAATTTTAGTTTAATGCAAATTGTGGTTCTTAATATCTATTTGGGACTTTTTTCTAGTAGAAAAATTTACAAAAAGACATGAATACTTTTGTGTTAGATTGGAATGGAATTGAGTCAATCAATGTTTTTCTATGAACAAATGTAAAAGGGAGTAGAGATTTATAATTTTGTTGTCAAAATTCATTAAAGACACTAAAACTATATCAAACTATGAAACCATTTGGATAGAAAGGGCATCAGGGATGGTGGTTAAAAAGTAATTTGAAAGAAAATAATGTAGAACAGGAATACAGTCACATAAACAAACTGGTAAATAACAGAAAGACTGTATCATTTGATAAGTGAAACTTTTAAAAGAAACAGATTGTCGTAAAAACAGGATACATCACTGATCTATAATTCAAAAAACCTTACAATGTTAAAATATTTTTTTGTAGCATGTAACTATGATTGTGGACCATTGTGCATCAGCCACCACAGGAAGTAGCCCATCTCAAGACAGGAAGTCATGTGAGATCAGTGGTAAGACACTGGGACGTAACAAATACCTGAACGTGAACACAGTATTACAGATGGGTGGACGATACAGTGTACCAGCCTTTCCTACGGGGATTACAAACCACAGATTTAATGGATGTATAAAGAACTTCTACCACAATGGAGAGGTAAATACTAAAGAATAAAAAAAAACAAAAAACATCACTTTATAAATTTCATGTGTCCAAAGCACTTTTCTGGATTCACCTTCATCAGGAACGCTCAAAGCTGAATATTTGAAAGCCGAGGTTGTATGAGAACCAAAACTGTTGAAGAGCTGTATGACCATAAAGGACCTAAAATATTAGCCAAAATCCATCTATGGTCAACTTTGCCTGAGGGAGAACTCAGATTACTTGTAACAAACCATAGAATGATCTTCTGATAACTGATGTGAATAAAACACTTGATTACAAACACAGTGAAGCAAGGAAACTTTTATAATTCATAATAGACTTAGATATATTATTGTAGTTCTACTAGATACAAAGAGACCATATAAAAAGTGAGAAAGATTTAAAAATAAAATTTCATTAAAATGTGAAGAATTTAGATCCACTTTTTGAAGGAACAGGAGCTTAAATTGTTGCTGATCAAGAGATGTTCTTCAGTTGATTTAAAATAAATTATTATTTTCAGTATTATGATATTATACATATAACATTTTTAGTATTATGATATGCATATTACATTTTCAGCTATATGACTTACATACAAGTAAGAATCACCCTGGAGAAAATCACCAGAATGGATGTCAGAGAGAGGATGCTATATGTGGTCGTGCTTCTATCAATAGTATATCTAAATGTGGACAACATGGAACTTGTGAGATGGTCAACTGGTACGACAATGATGTCAAATGTGTTTGTCATCCTGGATATAGGCCTGCAGATAAAAACTCGATTAGATGTCAGCTTGGTAAGTGTGAACTCTGTTGAAAGTATTCTATCAAAAATTTAATACTGTGGATGCATTTATTTTTGTGGGTACCAATTTTCGTGAATTAAAGAAAAAAATTATTTTCGTTGATACTTGATTTCATGGTTTTGCCAAATATTGCATACATTCCTATAAGAAATTTATACTTTGTTGAACATTTAAATTTGTGGTCCACATTTACCCACGAAATCAATGAAATTAGTTATGCAAGGAATGATAATTGTTGGAGGAAGCCAGAGTGCCCAGAGAGAAACCATCCACCTTCAGCAGGAAAACTGACAATACTAGTCAATTAAGATTGGAGTGGAGCACAACTGCCACTTGCAGGGTTCGAACTTGCAACCTCAGTGTTGTCATGGGCTAGTGATACAGTTGATGATATACTTTGACCAAACTGCAACTGAGACCCCTCATCAACTTGAAGTATGATATCAGATATAAAGTCTTTCATTACTTTGTTTCTCTATTCTTTTATGAAATCTCTGTTTATAGATGAATTGGACAGTTTATCTATCTAGCTGGTCTTGTTCCCTGCCATTAAAATACAATCTCGAATTAGTCACTGTGGGTTCATATGGCTTAAGTTGTTAACGGCAACAAGTATAGTTCATTTATTGTTTTCATTTAATTGACTGGGAATGCTATGAATATTTGTATACCTTTTTTAGAAACCACTGTGAGAGATTTCAATACATCAGCTTTCATGGTATGGGACTTGAAGGACCAGTTTTTAACGAGTAGACATCCACAGAAGTTAAGTCTACAGCTGCGATTCAGGACTAGAGATTTTGATGGAGGAGTATTATTACATCTTCCTTCTAATGGAAATGAATTTATTACGCTTGAGGTAAGATCTTGCTCTTCTTAATATTCAAAAGGGATTAGCTAACGTCCTTAGTCAAAATTATTTCAGTCTTAATGCTGTTACATGTTCAGATATTGAAGAATTACATGTAGAAAAAAATTAGTACACTGACAACCAGCTTTTAACTTGCATGTAAATTCGATGATATATTGGTATGGATAGAAAAGACTTATTTTGCAGTAAAAACCATTCCTGTGTTAACCAATTTTCTTACATTTGGTCATTTTCAATATAGACTTTATCAAGACATATTTGAACATTTGTTAGTTGTAGAAATTAGTTTTATTATTCAGATGACTGTACACGTTATTGAATTGAATAGCAGTAAATTAATTTTTGTTTTAATACCCAAATACTTATGCCCCCCCCATAGCGTCCATACGTCCCGAAATTGGTTTCTGTTCTCTAACTTTAGTTTGCCTCAACCAAATGTCATAAAACTTATACACAATGCTCATTACCACAAAACACAGATCAAGTTTGAATTTTGGTGGCGTCACTTTTACCATTCCAGAGTTATGCCCCTTTACAAATGGAAAAATTGCTGACTTTTTCATTCTGTTCTCTAACTTAAGTTTGCCTCAATAAAATGTTATGAAACTTTTACACACTGCTTATTACCACAAAACACAGATCAAGTTCGAATTTTGGTGGCGTCACTTTTACCATTCCAGAGTTATGCCCCTTTACAAATGGAAAAATTGCTGAATTTTTCGTTTCCGTTCTCTAACTTAAGTTAGCAGCAACCAAATGTTATTTATGAAACTTATACACAATGCTTATTACCACAAAACTCAGATCAAGTACGAATTTGGGTAGCTTCAATTTTACCGTTCTTGAGTTATGTCCCTTTATAAAGTTGTATGCAAGTGGGGGCATCATCTGTGTCCCATGGACACACTCCCAATTTATTTTTCAAAAGCTCCTTGTGAAAATCAAAATAAAGTGTTTCCAAGAACATTGGTTAGTCCTTCAATGACTTTTAGTGTAATAATATTTTTTGAAACAGCAACTAGAAAAGAACAATCTCCACGCTTGGCCACATGTTACCAGACATGTGGAATTTCTATAGGGCTTGTAAGAATTTGGAATCCGTACACGATTTTCCAAAAAATAAGCATAGGGCATGTGGCTGCAAAAGGTATGTTGTGACGACTGAAAGAGTCTATGATAATCAACTTTTACAAGACAAACGTAAGTAGCATTAATGATTCAGATCTTAAATGTATATACACCTTTTTTCAGATTGTAAATAACCATGTTCAAGGTAGATATAACCTAGGAAGCCATGATAGTTCTGTTAGTAATGTTATAGCATTGTCAGAAGCCGTAGCTAACAATGGACAGTGGCATACTGTTACACTGACAAGGTCTGGACAGTGGATTCAACTCAAAATGGACAATGGTGAAGGCCGCTTCTTCAATGAGACATTTGACAACACATATAATGGAAACTTTTTTGTGCTAAGTAGAGACCGAATTGTGTCTGGATCCAGAGTAGTGTGGGATCCCAATGCAAGATTTGAAGCTAAAGGTCTTAGTGATAGTAAGTTTAAGTTTTGATATATGATTTCAGGTGAAAAGAAAATGTTTAGGTCTTTGAAGTATTTTTTCTAGAAATTTTGGGAAAGGTCATTTCTGTTAAAATTAAAAAAAACAAAGCTTTGTTGTAGAAAAATCCCTTAATTAGATAATAGATTTGATGAAAAGAATCTTTGTTAATTTTAATCAGCATTGAAATCCTGTGATTTCATTATGTTGCTACACCAGAAGTTGGGAGATTTGCAATCTTAAAATGAGGCATTGATTGAACTTCATTAGACTGAAAAATACTGTTGTGCATGGTCAATCAAATTTCATATGTATACAATACTTTGTTTCCTTCAGGATAGAATTATATTTCTTGTCAGATTCCCTTCAAATTAGATTTAAAGTTTGCTCTTCTTCTAACCTCAGATAAGTTTTTTTGTAAGAATTATCTTATCATATCATATATTTGTTTCTTTCAACACAGCCTGTGTAACTGACATTCGAGTAGACAACAAATGGTTCCCTATGAAGATGGAAGAGAGTACCGAAAGTCCTGCAGCTGTGATGACAATTAGTTCTAATGTGAGAATGGGATGTTATCGACCTGACTGCAATGGTGTTGTATGTCAAGCGGGCAAACCAATAAGAAAAGAATGTTACCCATTGTGGGGCACCTATGAGTGCAGGTAATAATACTTTAAAATACTACATAGACATTTATATAGATGTATACTCATGTTTAATAAGCAGTTGTCATTGGTTTTTACCTCATTTTACTCATGGACACAGAAAGGTGCTCCATAATTTAACGAGTGTTTGTATTGTGGAGTCACTTTTTAAAGTTCTGAACTACCGATAATTTAAGATGTTCTGTTATATAAAAGATTTCTTTGGGAAAATGAACCCACCCACCAAATTGCATTTTTAAGTTCACTCAAAACACCAACCATTTCCTATAAGCTATAAGCTGTTCAAAGTGGTTTTCAAATGGTCTTAACAGACAGAATTGTATTGAACTGTATTGCTGGATCAAAGAAATAGATATCCATATTAATTTTATTCGTGGGTACTTATTTTCATGGATTGAGGAACACTTGCATTTTGATGGACATTTAATTTTGTGGTTTTGCCTCACTGCATACAAGCCTACTGAAAATGTGAAACTGGTTGTGAACATTTAAATTTGTGGTTCACCTGTACCCATGAAATCTACAATGCATAATAATGAATCCACAGTAGATGAAGAGAAAGACATTATTAAATAAACATAACACCATACAGAATGAATTTGTAAACAGTAAGACGATATCATTGCATCAGCACTATTGTTAAGACCATATGTTGACTTGTAGATGTCTTTTGATTTTTGTGTCATTGGGTTGCTGTCTAATTGACATACACCAACGTCTTTTTTTAATATCATTAAAAAAAATACAAATCTTCAAAAAACGTTTGGTTTGTTTTACTGGATGTATTTTTACTTTGGTTTTTTTTTTATCTTTAGATGTCCAAATCACAGTACACCAATATCTAGTGTTGCCTGTGATAAGATTCTTTATTGTAAAGGAAAGAATCCCTGTTATTCAGGAGGAAAGTGTATAGAGCTTCCATTCCCTAAGACATTCCGTTGTAAGTGTCCACCTGGATGGACGGGAGAATTATGTAATCAACAAGCCATTGCAGAAGTAGCACAAGGAGGGGTCACAACAGAACTACTGGTCATTATATTTGTCAGCATATTTGCAGTATCATGTAAGTATAATATACCTCTATTACGCAATAATACTCTTTATCCTAGCATATATAAGGCATTCTCATCCACCAGGTTGTAGCATCATAGATCTACTGGTCATTAAACACAGACTTCGAAAGGACAGTATATTCTTGTTTACCACTGTCTGGTTATGTGACCTTAGTCTGTCCTTCCTGTTAGTATCGCAATAATAAGAACAATCTGATATCTGATACATATCTTCATGCAGATTTAGCCGAAACTGCAATAATTGATCTACCATTCCATTCTTCAAAAATCACAATAATTTATGCATGCAAACCAATAATTTCTGAATTTACTGTTTCTTGAATTTCCATCTCCATTGCTCGTCAACCTCCTGTTAATTCAAATACTATAGGAGGGTATCATTAGTGAGCAACTTCTCAAGGTTCGTCTTGTTATATTTATCAGAATTATTGCAGTCATGTGTAAATATAATATAATACATCCTATTTACTATGGATTGAAGAACTCAATCTAAGTATTGTGTTTTTTTAAACTATACTAGGCAGTTTATTTCTTGATATAAATATCTCACTGTCTTCTACCAATATATTGACAAGTTGATTGTTGTTAGTATTATTGTATGAAAACAATGCATTAAACTTATTTATTTCTGTGATAATGATAAATTGTTAAGAGTTCTATTGCCAGTGATAGGTTTAATAGCCTTCAGTTTATAACAAACTTAAATTTATATTTTCAGTGATAGCTTTTATAGCAGTCCTGTTTATAACAAATTTAACTTTATATTTTTAGTGATAGCTTTAATAGCATTCCTGTTAATAACTCGGTGTAACAAGAGAGAAGGAGACAAGTCTATACTGTACGATGATCAATATGATGACATCAGAGAAAATGTTATTGATCATGATGAGGAAGGAGCAGGTAAATCTAATTTGTTCACCTTCCATTTTTGTCTCAATTATCTTTTACTGTGGAGTGTTTTGTTGACTTATTTCAGCAATGGTGTCTGATTTTCTTCGCCTTGTGGTTTTTCAGTGCCCCTTTTTTGGTATCTTCTGCCCCTTTTTGATTAAAGGATCATTAATTCAACTCTAAAATTTGAAGCAAGTTATTGCCCTCTTTTATTTCATTAAAACAAAATAACCAATTACAAATTCTTAGTATATATGAAATTTTAAGACTCCATAACTATAGAATTACTTGTCAAATATGTTTTGTCTTTGGTTCTGACCGTGGTCTCTTGGTAGCATGCTTGCATCAAGTGGGAGAGGTCGTGGGTTCTATCCCTAGCCAGATCAAACCAAAGACTTAAAAATGGTATTTCATAATTGTTGTTTCTCTGCTAAGCATGCATAATTTAGAAGTAAGAGCAAAGACTGGTCAGCTCAAGAGTCAGAATATGTGTCTTGGTAGGGCGGTCTGTTACTGTTTGAACAAGCATGTTAAAAACCTGGCTCTGTGTGTTAGTCTTGTACAAAGCAGGGTCTATATTCCTATCACATTATTATGCTCTCACCCTGAATAGACATGTATTTGCCAATGGACATTAAACAGGCATCTATCATCTTATTTTCTGTTATCAAAACTTTTATTTAAATCTGATGATCACATTTTAGACAGTATTACATAACTTCGCTTTAATTGTTCTTAAGGTTTTGTGTTTCACTTTTATTTTAGTGTTTGTATCTATGATCATTTATAAAATGTTTTATTTGTTTTACTTTTTGCTACATTGAATATTATTTTGATTTTTATAGGTGAAGAGGATAAAGATATTTATGATGTTTCTAGATTACGTAGAGCAGATATGCCGTACATGGACAAAGGTTACATGTTACTACCTAATGGGAAAGGTAAAATCAGATCCTGGTGTCGGATAAATAGGTCAAAATAATGGTCAGCTTTATGTAGTTCTTGAAAAATTTTCTATGGATGTACTTTCAGTTAATCTATAAAAGCAGTTCACTTGTGCCATGTTTGTTAAGGTCACGTTGAAAATTAGATGTACCTTTACAAAAAAAAAAAGAAGGAAAACCACATACTTAGAAATTGTCATGCTATAATGTGGAATATATTCACTTTTCATTAACAACATCTGCATCCTATTCTATACCTTAAAGCGTATTTATATATTTGTTTTTCAATAGTATGAATGACAAAAAACTGATAAAAAGAATGGCTGATTTTGTTGATTGTTAACTTTCTATATGAGTCAATTGACAAAAAATGTTGAATAATTTCATATGCAATCAATCTTTGGTTTAAATCTGGTACTGTTTGTGTTGTAAGAGTTTCTTGGTAACCGTTATACATGATATACAGTGGTATGAAAATAAAATGTACCGCTTTTTCACAGAAACTACAACAGTGCAAATGTTGATATTTCTAAAAGAAATTATATGTTCAGTTGCTTAAAAGTTGATTTTATTTTGTTTTAGGACCTTATGGAGAGGGCGTGGAGCACTTTATTCATGACAGACTAGACAAAGCAGATGAAGATGGTCCTCCACATGATAATGTTATGGAGTTTGCTTACGAGGGTGGGGACACTGATGTTGGTTCTCTTAGTTCTCTAAACACATCTACTGATGGAGACCAAGACTATAACTATTTAGAAGACTGGGGTCCAAAGTTTTCTAAGTTAGCAGATATGTATGGAGGGGGAGAGGAAGATTTGTAGCATGAGATGACCAAAGACAGTAGCATCCCCTAATCATTACATTGTATCTAGAAGAGATTTAATCTCGGACCATCTTTAATCATTTGTATTCAACTTGTGTCTAAGGACATAGTTGGCGTTTACACACGAGATCAAATCTCACTAAAAAAACTTTTATGTCATAATCAACCAGTTCATACATGTTAAACTTCAGGTGTGACTTTAATATAGAAATACACCTTTCACTTTTTTTACATGAAAAATTCCTTTGTAAATATGTGATGCAAGAAGATAAACTGTTCTTATGTAAAGAAATGTACAAGCAACATTAGATCTATGATACTAGATATACCAAAAAGATGATAGAAAAGTATGTCTTCTTGTATCTTAATATTTAGTCATTGTTACATAAAGTGGGAAATTTTGATAACATTCCGAAGTAAATGACAAGGGAGGCAATGGATGCCATATCTGTTACGACATTAATTACAGCTTTTCTGTAAAAGCATGCAAAGCAAACCTTTGATCAATTTGCTTGCTATGTTTGTTTGGATGTTTGTAAACAACAGGTAGGTAGTCTATTTCAGTCTGTTTACTATATACTGGAATTTGATTGGACAATAAACATTAATTCATTTAAATGTTAAGTTTCACATTGTATATCAATGTTTATTGTCCAATCAAATACCAGTATATATTAAACAGACTGAAACTCCGCCTACCCTTTTGTTTACAAACATCCAAGCAAACATAGCAAGCAAGTCGATCAAAGATTTGCTTTGCATGCTTTTATAGAAAAGCTGTAAAGATAATCTCAGTTCAATACTATGGGTATTTTATATCCTATCATGTTATATTTATTATATGTAAAACAATACTGATTTATAGTCATTTAAATCCTGTGAAAAATCAGTCTCTGATAAATCAAAGCAGTAATATAACACTTAGTGTTTTAGAATATTTAACTCATTATATGACGTCCACTTGTGTAATGACATTTATACAAATGAATTAAATACTTGAAAGTTTTTGTGCAGAGAAGGGTTGAAATGTATATTATTTGGCATACAAAGGAAGTCTTAAGAAGCAAAGTTATAATTAATCATAAATCTTTATACCATTTGTTATATGTGATAAAAGATTTTTGGTTAAGATAAGTAATTTTTTTTACATCAGTTATGTTTGTTAGAAACATAATATACCACACCAAAAATAATCACATATATTTGAAATCAAATTAATTGTGATGCTGTGTTACAACATATAGTTAATCATTATTATTATCATGTCCAAATGTTTTCTATTTTTGATACCATCATATCATACATCGAATGAGACATTTATGCCTTCCATAACTTGTTATATGACACCTGATTAACTATCCTGTTTCATGTTCAGATTGATGGGTATTTTAGCCAAATGTATATGGGTTGCAAGGATTTTTTTCACATGAAAATTTGATAAAAATACTAAGTATTAGTTTTCAAAAAAGTGATATAAAACCTTAACTATGGATACGTTATTCAATTTAAAGCCCTGCAACCCTTCCATGCATTGTTTTTTGGAAATAGCCAAGTTTGATAACAATCAGAGAATATGTCTCCTTTTTGATTATTATATCCCACCTAGCCATTGACTAAAGAGCCTGATAATTTCTTGCCTATGATTACCATGGTTTCTATATATGTCGTACAAGTAGTAATGCCTTTATCTGAATGTTTTTAGCCAAAATGTTACTAAAAATAGCATTACAAAAAAGTGCTGTCATTTAGCTAACTATTGCTGTATGATTTTTTTTTATATCAGTAAAAGTTATTTATGAAAATGCTCTTCAGATAATATTATTTTTCTGCTTGGCAACAATTGAAAATTTTTTATTGCCGAAATAGTGTAGGTTGTGAGAATAGTGCAATATCACATAGTCGTGTTGTGTTGTATATTTATTATTGTAGATTTTTAGTTGCAATAACTCAGCAATGTCAGATGTCTCTTTAAGTCAGTATTATTTTCAAGGTTGTGGCAATATTTTACATTTTTTTCTAAACAACTTTTTTTACAGATTTTCATATGGTTTATAAATGCTAGATCTGTTTGCCTTGGAATAGCTGAAGCAGCATTAAACCTTCGTCAATCAATCTGTTTTTAATATTTTGTTCTTTAAATTTATGTTAAAGTTGTAGTTAGCTTTTATAGGTACATGTTATAATCTCTAATGTAAACCATGATAAAAAATCTGTATTTATAGAAAATAAAATATAGTATGTAATCATGCTTGAATACCAAAAACGAGTACATGTGTCAAGAATTTCATTTGCTGTTTGAAATTATCTGATTCATATAGGGATATTTAGCATTCTTCATATACATATCAAGCTGTCAATTGCCAAAATGTTTAGAATTTTTGTCACTGAGATATCATTGGTTGTTGTATTTTATGATGTATGTATAGTTCTGAAATTCTAGACTCTGCGGTTCTTTACTGGGAGAATATATCAATATATGTACCATGAGAATGTATACATGTGGGAAAAAAAGGTTGTGAAAAGTTTGAATTGTTAGCATCATGTTTTTTTTCTTCAGATTGTATTATTGTAGTTAAACCTTGGCTTTTTCTATATTTTTAGATTTTTTCATCTGTCCTTGAACCTCATATCATAAGTTGTCATTTTAGCAAGTACCTGAAACTAAATTTCATATTTTTACATTAAATTAACATAAATGTACTTTTGAATTGTTTAAGACTGTATCATGATCTCTACATGTCTTTTGGGTATTTTGTCATTTGGTTGTCATCTTCATTTATTCATAGTTGTACTTGAATTAAATGAACTTAAATTTTGTTCAGGAAAGTCAAAATATTTTGTCTTAGATTTTTAGTGCTGAAAGTTATTACAGAACATTTGACTGTTCCATTAATTAGGCTTTTAAAATAGCAAAATTCCAATGCACATGTTAAGGTTTGAAAACAGTATTGGATTTTTTCTTTGTATACTTGCTGTGTGGTTAAAAACAAATTTATATATTATCAGAATTGGGAGCAAGTTAAGTATGAAAGAAGTTATTAATATAAACAGTGTGTGTTTGTGTAATTGTGTGCTTTTGTACATAGGAAAGGAAATATTTTGTGAGCCAATCAAAATTATCTCTGTTTTCATTAAAACAAAACTCTCTTATTCAGATTGAATTTCTATCTTTTGAATTTAAATGTTTTTTCCATCAATAAAGAAGACTGAGCACAATTTTTGTATGATGATAATTTTTGTGAAAACAGAGATATTCTTGATGTAAACATGTTGAGCTAGATATTGTGCAAGTTATTGTTAAATCATTTTTCATATCTTATTAATAATTTATTCGTTTTAATTATGATTTGCATGTTGTTACTTAAAATCATCTTGCATTCCACTTTGTAGTTTAAAAAAAACATGTCCTCTCCTACTTTACTTTTAACTTCTGGGTCTATTTTGAACATTATTTTTGTTATTAACTGGATTGGTATTAGACTAGTTGTGTGAACATTTAAGGCTATTTTAATTAAATTATTTATATTGCAGAAGAATTAATTTCTAAAATAGAATAATGGAAAAATGTTTGTGAAGATAACTTTTTTTCCTTTTAAATTTAAGGAAGGTACACATTTAGTGAATGATGAACTATTGCTGACTGAATTAGTCTTCCAAGTAATTCTATAAAGAGAAGAAACTTTTCAAATTATCTAAGTGTGTAATAATCGAGTTATCTCCCCTGTACTGTGTATCATTTATCATCTTCCATAATCCTTTCAGTATAGAGGGTAATAATCCAGTTATCTCCCCTGTACTAGGTATCATTTATCATCTTCCATAATCCTTTCAGTATAGAGGGTAATAATTCATTACAATCTAGTCATGTACAAACTTGTGCTTATTTTACCGTAGCCTAAATGGTGCTTCCATGTTGATTGTGTTTACATGTTCAGTGCACATTGTACAGCACACATATCACATTTACATTTTGTATACATCATCACGACTTTATATCAACACCCCCATGACAAAAAAATCAGTATTTCATACTTTTGTAGTGATAAATTTACAATTATTCCATTTTCTAATTTTAGTTTTTTTCACAGAATATTTTTCCATTTTATATACGTATTAATGAAAATGCATAATTTATTCAAAGTATTATTCCATTGTTTTCATTAACAACTCAATTGTCTTAAAATGTATATGCTTGAAATTAAAAAAAAACCTTGTCGCTAATGTCCATTTCAAAATATTGCATTACAGAACCAAAGTTCTATCATTTATAATATTTGTAAATATAAAATATTTAATAAAGCTGTTATAGTTTCATTCATTTGAAGAGGCAATATTCATTTTTTGTAAAGTGGGGTTTTTTTTAATATGACATGACATAAAAAATTCCTATAAGAAATAAATTGTGTGTGTGTGTGATTACCAGCTTAACTCAAGATCATTTCTGTTGTCATGGGGATGTTGATATGTAAATTAAGTTAGGACCTATTTTTAGTATCTTAATTTTTCCACATTTGGAGTAAAATAAAGTGATGAAATAACATATTTGACTTGTTTTTTGCTTCAGTGAAATGTATTTCTAGTGTAAATCAGTGAGGCTGAGGGTGGTTACAAGGAATACTGCATCTGTTTTAGCCCACCAGGACCAAAGGTCCATGTTAACTATGTTAACTACACATGGTGACATTTCAGACATTTTCACCAATATGTACTGATGTGTATGTTTTCATTTACCTACATGTACTTCGTCAATTCTGGAAATCAATCTTTATTTTTTAGAAGTAATCATGAATTATAAATAAACTGTTAGCACAGAGATATGTCTTGCCTCTGTGTAATTTTGATATAAATTGGTGGTAATGTAGGCTCAACTATACATGATGGCAAGCAGTCCTATCAAGTATGGTCAACTATACATGATGGCAAGCAGTCCTATAAAGTATGGTCAACTATACATGATGGCAAGCAGTCCTATAAAGTATGAAAACTGTCAGACATATGTTATCAGAGGAGTAGAATTCAGGTGTCATACTAAAATAGGACAAAAATAGACCCAAAGCCAACAAAATTATCCAATCAAAATAATGGTTAAGTATGGACAACAACACATGATGACATAACATAACCCTACCAAGTATGAGAGCTCTTTGTTAACCAATCACTGAAGTGGGATTAGTGTTTAACAAAGTTTAACTGACTAAACAAGACTATTACTACCAATGGGACAGGAGACAATTCATGTTGTAGAGGTTTTACAGTTGTAGCTGCAATATGAACAAGGAGTAGATGTGGAGTATATATCAATGAAACAGCAACCCAACAAAATATAAAATAGCACATCTAGAGATTGATATACAGTCTTAAAAAATACACAAATTCTTTACCAAAATGAATTGAAGACTATTATACAATAATTTTACCATAAGTATTATTTCCTGGTTAGAATCAATGAAAGGGGTCTCGTTTTTTCAACCTTGGGATTCACCAGACCGTTTCTTTTCCAATTTTTGTCTTGCCTTTGAGACAGGGATTACAATCCAGCGGCAGGAGCAGCATAAACTATTTGTAAAAAGCTTTATATTTCAGAAAGTAGAATACCTGGATGCATTTCTTTTGAGATGTGAAATACTCACTTATTATGCGTAATAGGATAACTATCTGGCCTTGACCTCATTTCGATGGATCATAGATAATGTCAAGTTTATGTGATACTTGGTAGTAAAACATTCATATAACAGACTTTCAACATAAATTCAATCATTAGTAAAGCAGGTGACACATTTCAGCCTGTGTACTCTTATATCAAAAGACTTTTAAATATTTTCAATTTGTAGTGAACATATAAGCATGTCTAATTTTTATACGCCCGTTTACGGGATGTATTATGGTATACCGTTGTCCTTCTGCCTGTCGTCAACATGTCGGACAATAACTCAAAAACACTTTAACCAATTTGCATGAAACTTTGGTGAATTGTTTATATCTATTGACGTGAGCTCCCTTTCGATTTTTATAAATTTTAGATTTTACGTTTCCGAGTTATGGGGTTTTATTTATTAAAAAAGGGGGATTTTCCAGTTTTCGGACAATAACTCAAAAATGCTTTGAACAGTTTTCATGAAACTTTTGTGAATTGTTTATATCTATATTGGTGTGAGCTCCCTTTCGATTTTTATAAATTTTAGATTTTACGTTTCCGAGTTATGGGGTTTTATTCATTAAAAAAGTGAGATTTTCTAGTTTTCGGACAATTACTCAAAAATGCCTTGAGCAGTTTTCATGAAACTTTGGTGAATTGTTTGTGTCTATCGATGTGAGCTCCCTTTCGAATTCAATAAATTTTAGATTTTATGCTTCCTAGTTATGGGGTTTTATTCATTAAAAAAGGAGGATTTTTCAGTTTTCGGACAATTACTCAAAAATGCCTTGAGCAATTTCATGAAACTTTGGTGACTGGTTTATATCTATTGAAAAAGTGACGGCGTATCATGCGCTCATGGCGCAGCTGTTTATTAAAAATATTCAAGGAAAACTCATTATTTTCTGACAATCAGTTCAAAGGCTCTTTTATACTGAAAAAAACGGCCATCGTTCATAAAAATCCAATTCTATTAGAAATATTTATTTTTCTTTTTCTGATTCAATTTCAGATTTGAACTTCCATTTCATTGGTTTGTCATATCCCAACATATGTATAAACACATCATAGTCTAAGAAATGTTCATCAAACGCCATATATGGTTTTCCTTTGATCTTTATGGTTGTAAAAATTCCAGCAACATCTGGAACAACAACATCTTTAGTAGTGTACTCGATTTCTTTTGTCCGTAGAAAGAATGTAAACCGACCAGCTGTAAATATCTTAGTTTTGGGGTTGAAGTATATGTATGTAAAGTATCTTTTGGTTACGAAATGCATGAGTCCTGTTGTTACAAACATAAAAAATCCTAATGACCCCATTCCTGCCACTAACAATGGTACGGGTAGAGTATCACCAATCATGTACAAATACGGCTGAAGTGCGGCACTTAAGACACATGTTCCAAGTGAAACAGCTTTACATACAAACACAGTTGTGTTGCTTGGTCCTGCATAAATTAAGTCTCCTTTCTTGGGATGATATATAGGTTTCTTACACATTGGATCTATTGGAATTTGTGTTGCCATGGTTCTACAAGTGAGGGAGATAACTCTACACAAAGATGGCTGTAATTGAGAGGAAACATTCTGGTTGGTGGCAAGTTTGTATAAGACCCTTGTACCATTTGATATCAGTCGTTGGACCTGCATATTTGTTTATATGAAAATCTGAAATGACAACATTATAAGTGTACATTTTTTACATATAATTAAAAAATAAGAACATTATCAATGAGACAGCATACCAACAACAGACTTTTTACAGAGTTATAACCAAACTAACACCAAGAGGTCAGTTAACAGTATAAAATAGCAATGATTTGCAAGTGTGGACACCATATGACAAAATAAATCCCTTATCACTCTTCTAACCTTAAGTTTACAAATGTAGATCCATTACTTTGTATTCATAGTGACCTTCCAAGACAAGATATTTTTGTCTTAATAAGGTATCTGATATGTTAAGATAAGATATATTATTTACTAAATCAGGTAAGTATCCTGATTATAAGGCTGGTCTTTTAGAAATGTTTCTTGATACAATAGGATCTTAGACATCTTGTCTTGAATCATTATTAACCCATCCATTTTTGTGCTGTGGGATCGTTGCTTTTTATAATCATAGGCAGGTATTACATTTTTTGTTCTTTGTGTTCATCCATCTGTTTGTCTATTGGTTCCGTATTAGATTAAAGCTTTTGGTTAAGGTAGTTTACCATAAAGCTTTGTTTACATCAAGGCTATTCTTTAGGTTCCATTTTTTCATATAGCTCCAAACGTGATTACGCATTTTTTTTACATCCCTGGCTTTCAAATTTTCAGGTTTGAGCATTCCTGATAAAAGTAAATTCAGAAAAGCCCTTCAACTAAACATGGAATATGTGATAGTGTGAAATCAGTCCATTCTCAGGTAAAAGTTTTTTTTTAAAGTAGTTTTAAAAACCATGATGTTGTGATCACATCAACTTGAAATTTATTACACATATGCATGATAGTGTGAATTTTTAAGTTACATTGTATATATGTCAAATTATTGGTAAAGTTTTAACTCTGATTTTATACATTTAAACAACTGGCAAGTGGAAGAATTGTAATTGAGAAATTGACTGAGTTTTCCATGACTTTTTTTCCTACATTTGTCAGTCCATACTAACCCCTTTTGGGATTCTGAGTCCAGAGCAATTTTTCTCATTTCTCCTCTGAGGTGGCGAAATCAGAAAATCGCTCCTGACACAGAATCCCAAAAGAGATTAAGTCCATACATGTACATGCCATATATATGTATCGGGTCCATTCGCTCTCAATACACGTTCGCCCCTTAGGTTCCTTCGCACCCAATTTTTCTTCAAATACTGGGTGAATTATTAGTTATTTTTTAGATGTATTTATCAAAATATTTAAATTTTTATTATAATAATAATCATGATAATTGAAAATTTTTAAATATTGTATACTATATTTTGAAATCATTTTTTTTTGTGACTTGATGATGAATTATTAAATGTAAATTATGTATGATTACTAGTTGTTAATTTGTATTTACTAAATTCAAAGCCAAATTTGGTATAATTGTTCTGTGTTTGAAAATCATGATTGTTATTATAACTAGCTAAGCTTTGATGTAAATACTGCATGTAGTTATCCTTGTATGAGTAAACTCAATGAAGATTTGGTATCTGCTGCCTTTCCTTTTTATACAAGTCTTAGATGAATGAACTTTGCCTTAATCTTCATGATAATCTTTTATTCATGATTCATTTCGTCAAAATTATTAAAAAAAACACAAAACGACACCTGTTTCCATTTTAAGAATGTCACTTTATTTTGAGGAAACAATAAAATAAAACTTATTTATAGCAATACACTAACTTAAACACGATTAAAAATGTAGTCAACATAAAACCAATAAAGGGTGCGAATGTGTGGGATGCAAAAGTGAAAGGGGGCGACCGTGAATGGGAGGGAATGTGATTTGGGCAAACTGACCCAGATTCCAATATATACATCTATATAACCTGTATGTCCTTAAGTTCACTTGATTAAACTAATGTCAATGAATTTACGTCACTTCTTAGGTTCCATGGTTGTCAATTGTCAGTGCATCAAGAAATACTGAAAAATTACTTATCAATTTGAAAGATATCGATCAACAGATAGTGCCAATTTTGGCTAATTAACACCAATTGGTGAATTGTGCCATGAGTGACAAAATTTCAGTGTATATCATCTGCTTTTAGTGTGGGGTAAATACTTTATCTATGGGTTTATACATCTTTGGTGTACCTTATCCTAACGTTAGCAAAAGAAAACCTAACCCTTACCTAAATCAAAAAACTCAAAAATAAAAGAATGCCAAAGCCCAAACTTTTTATCAGTGAAGAAACGACTCGAAAGAAACATACTCAGAGAACTGTTGTTTTTTAAAGTAAACTAACCTCCTCTACAGTACAGTACAGACCGTTAAAAATCTTATTTACAATATAACACGGTCTGGCTACTAGGTCTGACCTCATATGAAACAGTTCAATATTTAGCCCGGAAGTGTCAAATATAATAATCTGCCTCGCATTCGGTGTGGATACGATATATATTTTTTTAATATATTTTTTCTTTAGAGCAAATATAATGTGACGGAAATGCATATTTATGCTTTGGTATTATTTTAAAAATAATAATTTTGTAGAATTGTTTTCTCAATAATAGTTTAGAATATTTGTTCTTCCTGAAAATATAAGTAAAAAATACTGCTTCCACGTAATAGCATTACCCTGAAAAAAATTTCTTGGCGGATGCGTGGAATCTTGAGTAAAACCGCTAAAAATTGGCATCAATTCAACATTTGACCAGGAGAAGTATCTTGTTACACGTATTCCTTACACTCTACCAACATGCCTAGGATCGACAACGACATAAAATTGGATTTTAAAGATGTATTGGTTCGTCCAAAGAGAAGTACACTCAAATCAAGGTCTGAGGTAAATAAAATAAATATATGCATATCAAATGAGCATTGTAGTGGTTTAATATAAAGACTAAATATTGAAATACATTGTTTTTAATTATGAATATACAGTAGAAACAGTATTTTTTATAAATTCTTAAAAAAAAAGTTGCATATAAATATCTGATATGGCTCTATAAGGACCTATTTTAAGGATTTTGAAGGTCATTTTTGCACAAGAATTTCCACGGGAAATAAACCATTTTGTAGTAAACTCTTTTCCAAAGGAGAAAATGTTTGATATCAAAGATTAAAAATAATTGTTTTCTTGTAATCACTTAGGTCTTAAATAAGGGCATAACCTGATAAATTAACCTGTCTCAGTACCCTAATTGCACAGATTACCCAATTTGTCCCCATTTATATTAGTTAAAAAAAGCAGCAGAAATCTTATATGTTTTTTTACAGACTGAACAATTCTTACTTGACATTATGTTTGTCTTTAATTATAGCTAAATCTACATGTACATAGATATACACAAAAAGGTCACATAACATCAATAGATGAAAGTAGCCTGTTAAAAAAGAAAAAAATACAGAAATCCACAAAAATTCACATTTTATAATGTGCAATTAAGATATGTCACATGCATCCATTTCTTATAAAATTCATAGAAAGCATGAACTATTGTCAATTTGTTTTAAAAATGAGGAGAAATGAAACAAAACATCAGTTGTTTAATTTTTACAGAACATGCAGAAGTGAAGTTAAGCATGGGAGCAATTTAGGTACTCCTCATTACAGAATATTGGGCCATTTGGAGGTCGGTTCAAAACCAATTTTTCTATGATTTAGTATGGATTAAAAATTAAATTTGTGGAACTATATATGTGTAGTAAATAATCTTCAAAATAAAAAAAGAACTAAAATTGTTTCTTAAATAATTGTAGGTGAAAAAAACTGGGTACCCTCATGTTACCTTCCCAAATGCCCAACTGTCTTTGAAAATGTCAAATTTTCCAGTGCATTTTTAATCAATTCTTTATGTTTGAAATTGCACAAACATGATATAGGACTAGAATATAGGTCAACTTCTCAAAACTTCAAAGAAGGAGATCTCCCTGACAAAACATTTAAGCAATTATCAGTGCCATTAGCAAAACATTTTGTGAATGATATTAACTTAGTTGAAAGTTTTCTTATTAATTATCTCAGATTTACTTCAGATTTAGAACCACAGATTTTGAAATATTTCTTTTATTTTTAAGTCAAAAAGTAAATTTGATTAACATATGTTCATTTGATGGGGTTAAACATCACTACATACATTGCATGTACCAATTTTTGGTGGTTAGTTTTATGAATAGACATAGAACTACATGTAGTGGACATGTTCATGATGTTAAAGAGTTTGAAGGAGTACATGTACTTGTATAAACTTAATTCATCAGAAGTCTTTTTCATCTGATTGTAATTGTGTCAATAATTAAAGCATTGTGTTCATTCCTGTATTACATTTGTATTACATCAGAAACTACAATTACTATTCATGTTGATAATGGACTACTGATTGCATGTATTATATAACAAATCTAGAGTTGCCATGTAAACATCAGGAGATACGATTAATAATAAGAAATGATAAATGATACTCATTAGATTAATCTATAATTTAAAATCTTCATGAACATTCCTTTAAAAATATGGAAGCAGAGTTGCTAATGCCCAGAAAAGGTGTTGTACCATGCAACCATTTAAAATCTATTATTTGCTGATACATGTATTTAGTTATTATTCCCCCTGCAAACAAAATTCGGGGGATGTATATGTATCACCATGTCCTTCTTTCTATCCATCTGTCTGTCTGTCCGTCCTTCCTGCTTCCTAAAACTTAGCTATAGGTGAACCAAACTTGGTATGCAGTTGCATAATGGGGGGGTGTCATTCACCAAAGTCAGGTAACTCTGACCTTAACTTTGACCTTTGACCCTTATGATGGGATGGGGAAGTGTCACCTACTAAAGTCGGGTCACTATGACCTTGACTTTGACCTTTGACCACTATGATAGTAAAACCTTCTCCAATTGGTGTCTGGCTCATAACTTTTGTTCCTTTTAACTTAGGTTAACCAAACTTAGTATTCAGTTGCATCATGGGCTTGGGGTGTGTCATATACCAAAGTCATATCACTCTGACCTTTGACCCATATGAAAGTAAAACCTTATCCAATTCATGTCCTGCTCATATCTTTATACTGTAAAAATTAGGTTAACCAAACTTGGTATGCAGTTGTATCATGGGCTTTGGGTGTGTCATATACCAGAGTCAGGTCACTTTGACCTTTGACCCCTATGATAGTTATACCTTGTGTCCTGCTTATAACTTTATTTTTGTTCCATAGAACTTATATTTAGGTTGACCAAACTTAGTATACTGATACATCATGGGATGGGGTGTGTCATATATCAAATTCAGGTCACTCTGAACTTGAATTTGACCTTTGACCTTTATGTTAGTTAAACATTGTCTGATTTGTGTTGGTACATACATTTTGTACTGTAGCACAAAGATTGACAAAACTTTGTATGCAGAAGCATCATCTTGACCTTGAACTTTTATTTTTGAATTCACAGTAAACAAACCTGACTTTGTTCCTAGGTCAGTATAATTCTTTTAGATTGAATGATCAGTAACCATGTGTCAATCTAACCCAGGCAGTGATTATATAAAATGAATAGCTGAAAACCAAAAATCTCAAAAATCATTGCCCCAATACTGAATTGCACAATCATGACAGTAGCATCTAAAATAAAAGTACGGGGCCTATAAATGGCTCTATTCAGACAGTTCTGATTTATTCATAGATATTTACAAATACAAAATAATTGGTTTGCACAAAAAAATGCATGTGGAGCCGGAGGTCAGTTAAAAATGATATCAAACAGTATCAATGAAAAAAATGAAATGTTCTATAGATATCTAAGGTTGTTGCCATATGGGGATATATAATCTATGATAGTGATGGATTGGTGCTGAACGTCCTCAAACAATGTTTATTTGCATTAATAAAGAGTAAACATGAATTATACAAATATACAACCTATTCTTGATATTATTTACAAGACAAAACTGATCAGAATCTTTTCAGAATAAAATTATACATTTTGAATTATCAACGTACATACATGTACATTGTACCACTACCGTAATAAATACATTCTGGGATTGGTCTTGTAATTATTATGGTGTTGAATAACTTCCATATTTAGTTATACAATTAGTACATGTACATCCAGCAGCGTTTCAAACTGGGAGAAAGTCTCCCAGTTTTTGTTTCGCATTGACGAAGTCGAAAAAGCAAGACTTAGGGGTGCTGTTTCAGGCAGGCAGTGGCGTCAACAATGTATTAGTTTGTGATTAGATCAGTTTAAGAGGAACCACTAGTGGTAGGTCAATGATATTTGGTATGCAGTTGTTTTATCATTGGCACATCTCATTTCAATGAAGATTATTTGGCCCGCTTCCTCAGTCATGGTCTATTAACTTTAATATATCTGTGAAATGTCTTATTCCTTGTTGCTTTAATTTGTGTTTTATTTAATTTACACCTAATTAAGTAAATGTTTATGTTCGTATGAGCATAGCCAAGTAGAACATTACTCTAATCCCCTTAAACAATGTGGTGAAATTCTAGATTAGCAATTCCTGGCTGTGTAATTTGATATATATTATTTGGTTGAAGCAAAAATATAGAATATTTAAATATTTTATGTCTATTTGGTTACAGATGGATCAATATAGATATATCAATAGAGAATATCTAAAATATGCCATGACTTATTTTAACCATCTGTTCTCCAGCAAAATAAATAGTCAAAGAAAAGAGATGCCACTAAAGGATTGTCAGTATTAATAAAAATGATTGTTCTTTCATTCTACTAAATTAAACATGATCTCTTTTAGAACCTACAATGTAAGGTGGTTTGTAAACTATTGCCGAGGGAGTGATTTATTTGTTGCTCAGAAATGGAATTACAAACTGTCTGCTTAGCCACCAATGATTCCAAATACAGCATACTTTTTAAGAGAAAGTATGTGAGTCTTCCAAAGGCTGGGTCTAGATCAAACTGAAAACAAACAATAATTATAGCGAATAGAAAGAGAAGATCATAAACAAAATCTTTAAAACTGCATACATTTGTAATGGACATAAAACTGGAATACCGCTGTAAGTGTATTTGTAAAGATACTATTGTTACTAAATGTATATAGAATAAAAAAAAATGATAATATTATTATACATGTTATACGGACATGACAAGAAGATTTTTTATTTCCAATCATGGGCCCACTAAGGATATAAATATTCAACATGACAAATGACTTCAATTAGATATATATATATCAATCAATTAATAATTTCAAACTGAACATTCTCTCAAATCTATGTATAAACCTTACTTGTTATTGTTTTTAATTAGAGGTGATTTCTTTTTTAAAGTTTATTTGAGGGAAGAAATATAAAAATAAGAGAAAAATGGGCCAAATACAAATTTACTGTTTGCAATTCTTTTGGTTTTCAATTTCAAAGTTCATTTGAATGGTAATGACACTTGTATTTGTTATGGTGATCTGTTTATGGTACATGTACCTTTCATCATCATTACGGAGTCGATATTTTTATGCCCCCGCCGTAGTGGTGGGGGCATTAAGTTTTACCCTTGTCTGTATGGTACGTACATAATTGGTTTCTGTTCACTAACTTGAGTTTGCCTCAACCAAATGTTATGAAACTTATACACAATGCTTATTACCACAAAACACAGATCAAGTTTGAATTTTGGTGGCGTCACTTTAACTGTTCTAGAGTTATGACCCTTTATAAAAGGAAAAATTGCAAAATTTTTAGTTTCCGTTCTCGAACTTAAGTTTGCCTCAACCAAATGTTAATAAACTTATACACAATGCTTATTATCACAAAACACAGATCAAGGTTTAATTTTGGTTGCGTCACTTTAACCGTTCTAGAGTTATGCCCCTTTATAAATGGAAAAATTGCAAAATTTTTATTTTCTTTTAGTATCAAGTAATTTTTTGAATTGGAGTTATCTTCTTTTGTCCATGATTATAGTTGAATCAACTACAATCAATGCTTTATACAATGCAATGTTTAATTTTGACTTCCACTGATAAAACACAGATCAAGTTGAATTTGGGTAGTGTCACTTTAACCATTATTGAGTTATGCCCCTTTATAAATCGAAAGATTGCAAAATTTTAAGTTTCTATTCTGTAACTTAAGTTTGCCCCAACCAAACATTATGAAACCTATACACAATACTCGAGACACAATATTCATAACCACAAAACTAAGATCAAGTACAAATTTTTTGTTTCTGTTCTCTAACTTTAGTTTGTCTCAACCAAATGTTATAAAACTTATACACAACCGTTCTAGAGTTATGCATGTTTACAAATAGAAAAATTTCTGAATTTTTAGTTTCTATTCTCTACTTAAGTTAGCCTCAACCAAATGTTATGAGACTTACACACAATGCTTATTACCACAAAACTCAGATCAAGTTCAAATTTGGGTAGCGTCACTTTTACCGTTCTTCAGTTATGTCCCTTTATAACTATATGATATGCAAGCGGGGGCATCATCTGTGTTCACATGTGGACACTATCCACATTTATTTTAACATGACAAGCTAGTCAGATGACCAATGCATGCTTCTGACAGTTTCAACATGGAGTTGTGTTGAAAAAAATGCAGATAATATATTCACAGAATTAAATTCTAGTAAACATTGTTACATGACAAAGGATTGAATATTCATATGAAGTGATTTCTGTTATTATTTGGATGAGAATAGCTAATACACTATGTCTTAGAGGTTTTAGGTGTTGTGTTATGCATGCATGATTATAAATATTTCTTTTTTAATGAAAAAATTGAATGAAATATCTTTTTAAATGAAAAGTAAGTTATGTCAATGAGAGATCATGAAACCAGGAAAGATGTGTGAATTACAGTTGTAAGGTTAGACTTCCATTTAATGAGTCAAATATTGAATTAATTAGTTCATTTTAGATCAAACCTTCTCATTGAAAGTAAAAAAGGGTGGTCAAACAAAGGCAGTTAGCAACTGCCAAATTTGAATATTTTAAAATTATTACAGAACCGAGTTAGTTATGCTACAGCAAGTTCTTCAACAACATCTTTTACGGTATGTTGTTTGTTGTGCGGTGTGCTCCTGCATTTTTCAACCATATTTGTGGCTGTCATTTTTCATCGTCTTCCATGTAAAAGTTAAAATATTAACTGTATGTTTCATTTGTAAATTTGTTGAATTTTTTAAAAGTAAATATCCAACACAAAAGTATTGTGTTATACAGTATACACATAACAAATAATGGATTGTTAGATGTAGAAGGTGTGCAGTGCTAAATCTTGATGTAGGAGGAACAACAAATGTATGCTAAATCTTGTAAGATGTAGATAAAAACAATAGATATGGGGTATACATTGTGCTGAGAATTTAAAATAGCCATTATCACTCAGTTGTAAACATTTGTTAACTATTTTAGGACAATATTTCCAAGACACTTCAACCAACTTGTAAAATACTTTAAAAATAGACATGAGGTGGAAAATATATTGTATAAAGCATGTTCTTTGTTGGTTACTGACATCAAGTAGTCCCTTTGACTGCACCCTAGATTTGACCTAGTTACTTGGTTTATTTTGCACGCATCTGTTATTGGTGTAAAGTTATTCTCATCAACATTCAGAGACTAAAGAAAATCTTTTCATGTGAAGTTTGCTAAATCTGAAATTATATATAAAACTAATACATATACAATGTATATATATATTTATGTGTTTTATCACCAATGAAATGGACAGTGAGGATAAAAATAAGAATAAATTAAGATTTCGTTCATTTAAACCTTTTCTAGCGATTTGATAAGGTTTGAGAGAATATGATGTAACAGAGACTCATAATTTTGAAAAAAAGAGTGAAAAAGAATTGAATGTGGCCTGCATTGTGACATAAGATGATTAATCTTAATGTTTTCAGCCACCAAATGCATGAAAACTATGAAAGAAAAGGCATATACATGTATAAGACAATCATTACGTAAGCATTAATCCCCATCAATTTGGTAGAAATGGTTTGAATAGTGTATAAATCTTCTCTTGTTTATTTTTGAAAGTCCTTGCTGTCCATTTTGTTGGTACCCAATCTCTAGTGGCTGTGATACACATATTTATCACTTAAAAAGGTCTTTCATGTATTTTTTGAGGGACAGAATGCATTAAATTGAAAATCTGAAAAAGAAGCATCTTAACATTGCAATGTTTTCTTATTAGAAATCATATGTAGTAACATATAAAAGTTTCCTTTGGGATTTTTAAAGAAACCTATTTTAAAAAATTTAGGACTGAAGGTCACATATTACTGGACAATACCAATTTCAGCTGGACTTGAACCAAGTCTGACCATGGAAGTAAATGACTAGATACTACTTCCATGGTCTGACAGACCGTTGATATAACTGTACAGATATACCTTCAGTTTCCTGACAAAATTTAAAAGTGCATTTTCACATATGGCAATGTAGCACATCCTTACTGGACGTAAACCACTGTGTAAAATCTTAATAAAGTCTGCATGCATCACTTTAACAAGGTATTTTGTTGTTTAAAATAACATTTATATATTCAAATACAAATGTACCTAGAAGCAGTGAAAGCTAAACATGCAATAATGTTGTAGTCAGGAGATTTAATGATTTAGTACACTGTAGAATTCGTGCTGAATAGATATTAAATAGAGCAATGAGTTGACATACTTGTTGAAAAGATATTAAATAGAGCAATGCGTTGTCACACTTGTCAAAATTGATTTCTTTGGGTTACGCCACAGAATTTGTTTTGATCTTTGAACCCATGAGTTTTTCATTTAATAGATCCAAAAAGACCTGATTTTATAATACAAATTCAGTCATGTTAATCGGGATAAAGACAATTTCTTTTCAAGGGACAAGCAAGCTAATGATGAGTCACTTAATTGAGCAAGACACATTGGTTTACTACATGTATGAAGTGAAGATATTAATATGGTTTCCACAGCATTACTTTCACATATAGCAGTAACTAATCTATATAATATATTATCAAAATTCATCCTTTTCCTATGCCCACTTAAAGGAGCTGAAGGTTAGAAAAATTCCAAAAGTTTAAGGCTAAAATAACTGTTGAATCATTTTCCAAACAGATAAAATTATTGAGATTTTCAAGTAAGGCAGTTGTATTATGCACTAACAATTAGGATAAATTTATCAGAGTAACTTATGAGATGTAAGTTAAACACTATCTTTTTTATCTTTCAGGTTGACCTTATGCGGTCATATAACTTCAGAAACTCCAAACAGGAATATACTGGGATACCAGTTATGGCTGCTAACATGGATACAGTAGGCACATTTGAAATGGCAAAAACACTTGGAAGTGTAAGTTTAGGATTTAATGTTGACAAAATTTATCAGTCCTGACCAGGGCTTCCAAAACGGTCATATATTCCGGACATTTGTATAATGTCCGGTAAAAGTCCGGCTGGGCAAAGCATGAAACATTCATCTACTTTTTAGTTTTCAAGGCTTTAAGAGACGGTCATTTTAACATAATTCACGATCTTTTTGACCCAACCTTTTGCCTTTAACAGCCACACATTTCCAGTCATAAAAGTGACATGATCATTAAGTACTATCAAAACAACCCTTTCTTTAATACCTTCTCATTTTAATCAAGGCTTATTAGGCCTGTTCAGGTGACAGGTAAACTATTTTGAAACGGACATTGATCGGTCCATTCAAAGTTATTTTCTTACATTACAGCGGTTTGCATCTAATTTATTTAGTCAAAAAGATTTAAATTATCAGAAATCGTTTACAAATATGATTTGATGAAAAAATTAAAAAGATGAAAATGAAAAATCGTCATAACCACGTTGTTTGAACCAGAGACATGTCTCTGTTTGAACTAGTACATGTGTGCACATGTGCGCAGGTGTGAAATTTAATTATGCACCCTAATTTCTTCAAAAAATGCTTAAATTGTCATTGATACCTTTATCTCACATTTATTTCGAATATTTTCTTGAAGAAATAAAGTAGAAAGAGCTACTTACACTCATTCATGCTTTGCAAATGTTCACGGAATTTACGTCCATGGTCCATGTTTTACCATTGTCAAGATAACATCCGGTATTAGATTTAAAAATGAAAGTAAAGTTTTTGACAACGTTATTTTGCACAAATAAAGAGTCTAAGGCAGATATAAGTACGCTGATGTTGCACACCTCGAATGATGCACTGCCAATTTAACAGTTTACGTCAGAACTTCGAATTTGAATCAAAGAAAGTTTATATCGTTTTTTTTTTTAATGTCAATGGCCAACTCGGCATCTGATTACCATATTTGCCTTTTGTTTATTTAGTCTTAAGGGATTAAAATCGGGATAATATATAAAATGTCCGGCTGGCTATAAATAATTTTGGAAGCCCTGGTCCTGACTCATTAACAGAAAGCAGCCATCTCATTTTATTTCATCATAAATAGAAATTAAGAAATGAATGGATATAACTACTATTCCCGGGTGCAGGATTTTCTCGCTGCATTGAAGACCCATTGGTGGCCTTCGGCTGTTGTCTGCTCTTTGGTCGTGTTGTTGTCTCTTTGACATATTCCCCATTTCCATTCTCAATTTTATTACATCAAATTTTAAACAGGCTTGAAATAGAACAGGACAGAAGTATGTTCAATGTTCAGATCATAAAAGAATATATAGATCTACAGGTTTTCCAATAATTGTTTAATTTATTTTGCAGTGTTGTACTTGACTACCAGCTTTAATTTAGAATACAAATGATTGAAATTTTCAATGGATAATTATGGTTATTTTTTTTTTTTACAGTTTTGCGTGTTTACATGTATACATAAACATTACTCTATAGAAGCCTGGAAAGAGTTCGCTGTAAAAAATCCAGATGTACTGAAGGTATGTTCATATAATTGCGTCATAACAGTTTCAGTTTGAACAATTCATGTTATTAAATGCATATGGCAATGAATGAAATGCAATAACAATTTACTTAATTTTAAAACAGTAACAAAAGATTTGAAAAATAAAATACAAAAAAAAACCCATAAAAACTTGAAGAAACATGAAAACTGATGGAAAATCTGACAAACAGCTGTTACATCCCTAACCTAGTACAGACACAGTGCACTGATATTAAAAAGAGTAAAAAGCTATAAACTAAGATTGATTAAAGGCATAATGACAAATATTGCATGGCCACTTGAGTAAAATTTCACATTCTGTCATATTAATGGATAAACAAATGGTTAAAAAATCTTGTTTATCTGAGTTTTATATGTAATACAATGATGTTATTCTTGTAATTTAAAATATAATGTATTTGAATAGAAGGAGATATGGGATACATGTCAATAAGACAACACACAAATAACCAAAAGCCACATTCATTCAAATCTTAGAAATTACTGTACAAAGCTCTCAAGAGCTAATGTTTGTACTGTTAACCGAATGAAAAAAAAACTTTCATATTGATATTCATATGCTGAAAAGATGCTCATTTCGATATGAATAAAAAGAGATGTTGGATAAACATCAATGAGACAACAATCAGATGACACAAATGAGAAAAAGACATCTAGAAGTCAACACACAATCTTCAACAATGGATAGGTGTCTATACAATATGATGAACATTCTCTGGTTATATTTTTGAAAACACAAGAAGAGGAATTATATCTCTATGGGTATCCACTATAAACTGTGTTAACAATTGGTTCTATGTTTTTCTGTATGCACATGTAGAAGCATGTATATCTTTGTAGATGTCAACTGTAGACAGGTTCATACTGTTTTTATTTATCCATTGTAAATAGAACTTATTATTGTATACGGTTGTTAGTCCATCCTTCTGAACATTGTACAAAACTAGAGAATGCTAGTGAATTTATGGAAGAAAGCTGTTTTTTTGAGATAAAGAGAAACTGACACACATACCATTGGTGCTATTACATATGTCCTCTGTAGACAGGTTAACATTTCTTGTTGTTTTTTCAGTATGTAGCAGCCAGTACAGGGACAGGAAAAGCTGACTTAGAGAAACTAAAACAAATCATTGAAGCTGTACCAGGTTTAAAATACATTTGTGTAGATGTTGCTAATGGTTACTCTGAACATTTTGTACAGTTTGTTAGAGATGTCAGAAAAGAGTTCCCTACTCATACTATCATGGTAAATAGACAAGTTTGATCATCATGAAATGCATGTAAAAAAAGGTTAAGGATCAATTGATGCCATAAAGGTATAGATCCACTCATTTAAGCCTATTCAGGAAGAACATATAAGAAAGGAGGAAATATTTCAAACTAATGGTTCCTACGCATAGCTGTAACTTCAAAATATGTAAAACATTCAGTGTATTTTGGTATAAAATGAAAGCTTAAGGACCTGGGATCACTGTTGAACCCTTGTTAAATATATTTTTTTTGACAGATGAAAAATTGCATGAAATTGAAATTGAAGGGCATATTCTGCCTGTTTCTATGATCTGAAGTACATGTTTCACTCTGGAATTTCCAGGAACTAGTGCGCTTTTACATTTAATGAAAGGCCTGTTGAATTTTTCAGCACAAGCCAGGCTAATGAATTGTTTTGACATGAAATGATTATCACATTATTTTAAACACAGCAAAATGAGTATGAATATTGGAAATTGCAGAATAAGTGGTTTTATTTGTACTAACTAAATGAATTTCTAAAACATGGTATTTCATCCTTTTTTTTTTGGTTATACATCATGTATACAATTATGCAATATTTTGGATTTTGATCAATGAAACAATGACTTGTTTATATTTAAATAAAGAGTAAATACCAAAAATACTGAACTCCAAGAAAAATTCAAAACGGAAATTCTCTTATCAAATTTATATTTAAAAGATAGCTTTTGGTCAAATTGTTGTTTGAACTGTCAAGTTTTAGTTGTTTCTTATTGTAGCATTTTATTACTTTTGTAAATGGTATATACTTATATCAGAATAAACAAAATGTCACTTAAAAAGCAATTTTCAAGCATTTAGGCAAGTTGTTCAGCATGTTCAGCTACAAGATATATAAATTGTTATTGTTTGTTTATCAGATACCACAGAAGTATGGTTTATACCCAAAAATGACCCTTTTCAAACTTCATAAAAAAGGTGGGAGCAAAATTCCTAATATATTTTATGTTGTGTAAGACTACTGTATTTTTATTTAATGAATACTCTCTGATAAAAAAAACAATGATTAATAGGTAAGACCATTGTTATTTGAGTAGAAATTAACAGATAAGATAAGAAATGATCATATTTAAAAATCATATGTTTACCAGTAATGTCCATGGCAGAAACGTAGTTAAATGTCATACAATTGCTGGTTGCATTTTATTCGGTGCAGGGAAAGTAGTGACATCATAAACATGTGATATTATTGTCGATGGTATTTTATTTCAGGCAGGAAACGTAGTTACTGGTGAGATGGTTGAAGAACTGATTCTGTCTGGTGCTGATATAATCAAGGTTGGCATTGGCCCAGGTAGTGTGTGTACTACGAGGAAGAAGACTGGTGTTGGATACCCACAGTTAAGTGCTGTGATAGAGTGTGCTGATGCTGCTCATGGTCTGGGAGGACATATTATATCAGTATGTATTTATAATCAGATGGTGGCTCAGTGGGGTATAGATCATGGCCTTTGTTGATCTATCTTATAATGATGTATTGATTATGAAATAATTAATGCAAGCCATAGATTTGTTGGAAATTTTCACATGGCGTGGGTGGTTCTATTCGAATTTTGTCTTGAGAGTTATTGAGGGATAAAGTTAACGAATATAACAGCCCAGGGCATGTGAAAATGATAACAAGTCTATGGCTTGCATGAATTATTTCAATTCTAATAGGACAAATAAGGGGTGTTCAATCCTTATAATTCTTAACCCAAACATTTTTTTTCGTTGGCTACTATTTACTGTCAAATCAACAGTTGACATGTCGTAACTAAGGAGTGAGCCGCAATGTTGACTTGCTGAAATCCATGAATGTGCGAATGATGCAATAAAATAGAAAATAAAACAACACCTACCTAAAAACTCCATTTGAATGCGATATTATCCGAATTTAGAGGGTACACGTAATGGAATAATCTTCAGCTTTAGAGTTTTCATTCGTATGACGTCACGTTTTGACATCGTCAATGCGCCAAGATCATTCATGAAATTTCGCAGAATTTTATTTTATTTTGATTTTATACATTTTTTAAGATCTTATACATTGATTCTTTTTGTTATTCATTTGAATAGGAATAACGGTTCTGTGGTTTCTTTTTCTATTTCAATTTGAACACTACAAAATCCAAATAGTGTTTGCACATAGGTTACAATTCATGTGGATTTACGTGGGAGGTAAATAGTAACAGCCATTAATATGTACATCTCTGAGTCTGCTTTAAGTATAGATATTTCAAGAATTTTATCACGCTGTTGTTTACAAAGTGAAAGAAGCACATCCTATTAGAATCAAATTTTTGGAACACATTTCATGGTCTATCTTGAAATATTATATTTGTATGTATTAACTTCCCTTAAATGGCTCTGTGGCACATAATTTGTTGTTGATGTTGATGTTCATTTAATTTGATCCAGACATACTGGATGGTAAAGGAAGTTGAGGTTTTATGCACTGGAGAACATAATATTAAAAAGGTGGTTCAAGATGAATGTACAATAATTTTAGGCTTGAACACTGAATTTCTACCCAATAGCACAGAAAAAGGCCATACAGTGAAAAATTGAGAAACTCTTTACACGTTAATAACCCTTTACTACCTTACTCATTGAATGATTAGATATTTCCAGGATGTTGGTTATACATGTATTATTCTGATGAAGGTAAATCCAGAAAAGTTCTTTGGACGCATAAAATTTATAATGTGTTGTTTTCATTTTTTATAGCACTGGGTCGATACCTCTGGCCTCTTCTGGTGGACTATCAGTCTCCAAGGGTATCATCAGCTCAGTAGTCAGTACTTCGGTACTGACATGATTTATAACAATCCTTTCTAAAACTATCCCTTTATAAATTTGAAATTAAAAAGAAACTAAGGTTTCAACTCCCTCAGGCATTTTTTACGGTTCTTTTCGGTCATATAGCTCTTTAACTGTTTCGATTCTTATACATTCCTGACTTTTAAGTATTCGGCTTTGAGCGTTCCTGATGAAGGTAAATCCAGAAAAGCATTTCGGACTCGTGTTGTTTTCATTTTTTACTGATGTAGTCTGGACATAGACAGCTTGATCTGACTTATTGTTAGCACTACTGTATGTCAATTGGACTGAATAATTTTACAGGATGGAGGTTGTACATGTCCAGGTGATGTAGCCAAAGCATTTGGAGCAGGAGCTGACTATGTTATGTTAGGAGGAATGTTGGCAGGCCATACTGAGTCTGGTGGAGAGATGATAGAACAGAATGGAAAGAAGTTTAAGCTATTTTATGGAATGAGTTCTGCTACAGCAATGAAAAAACATGCGGGAGGTGTTGCTGAATATAGGTATAGAAGCATTATATTCTCAGTATGCAAAACTTTTTATTTATTTAAAATTTAGAAATTTACATGCATATGCACATGCATCATTACAAATTTCTGACATCTGGTAAAATACAACTAGATTTGTTTATTATCCAATTGCTTTAAGAAGTTGGCTAGGGGGCATAATGTTTTGTTGGTCATACATTAATTTGAGTGTCCAGTCCAGATCTAAGCAACTACAAATCATAAAGGAATGATCTTTTGTCACTTAACACATTGGTGGTCTTGTGGTGTTTAGCTCACCTTCAGTGCTGGAGGTCCTGGGTTTGAACATTGACCTGGTCAAACAAGAGCCTAAAAATTGGTATGGTAAATTGTCTGGGTAGGGTGGCATATCTTCATGTGGACTGTTACCTTATGAACTAGCTCATTAAAAAGTGCTTAGAGTGTTGGTCTAGTACAAAGCATCATAGTTTGTGACAAAGGTCACCACTTGCTATTAACATTATTTCATCTTGACCTTCATTTTTGTGTATGAATGGCATTATTGCATTAGTTAAATTCTAGATTTAATTTACAAATCATTGACCTTCATTATTGATTTTGAACAGAAAAGAACAAAAAATATAAGGCAAGGGGATTTGCTGTCATCTACAATGGCTCCATTCCTTTATTTCCTTTTCAGGGCTTCTGAAGGTAAGACTGTTCAGATAGAATACAGAGGAGATGTGGAGAATACTATACAAGATGTACTTGGAGGTATCAGATCTACATGTACCTATGTTGGTGCTGGAAAGTTGAAGGAACTCAGTCGTAGGACAACATTTATAAGAGTCACACAACAGTTGAATGAAGTCTATGCTGCAAATACCAAAGAACATTGATAATTTCTTATGCTTACTCCATTCCAGTTACCAGAAATCCAAACGCTCTCTGCCTAAAATGTCTCTTGTCTCTGATCCCGGTTTACTTTTATTTTTTTATTAAGTCTTGTGAATCTCATCTATCAATAATTTCTTTGCACTGTAAAGATATTTATAATCAAAAATATTTTCTGATTTTCACTTCAGATCAAATTGATGTGAGGGGATATTGTCACATGTTTACTTAATTGCAAAATATGGGAAAATAAACCCCTTGAAAACATTACCCTCTTAACAGTACTGAACTTGGATTTACACATTTATTTATTTGATTTTGTTGCAGTCCTTGTTTAATGTTTTATCTGAGTTTTATTTGTTGTTAATTTCTTAGTAATACTTGAAAGAAGCTTAGTCTTCCCATCTTTTATGACAAGAAAAATAATGGAAAAAATAAAACGTAATTGTATTTTGTGATTTCTTTCATAATCATTTGTATAATTTTCATGGTGTAAATTGTTAAAAATTGTTATCGTTTATTGTAATCTGGTGAACCCAGAATGTCATATATTAACAAACAAAGATTGTTTTTATTTGTTAAAGATCATTTTGACATTGTTGTGAAAAATTGCCTGTTGAAGGTAAGTGACGGCAACCTGACTAGTTCTATAAAATCTTATGGAAAAGGTACTTTTTGACCTATACAAGTTCAGTCTTGAAGTTTATCCTTTCCTTTCAAATTTTATTTTTATTTTAAAAAGAATCTCCTTTTATGCTTGATCATCAACTATGGGTACCTTTGTTTCCTCATATGAATAAAAGTTTTGTAGATTCAGTGATTTAAATTTTAAAGATGAATTTTGAGATAAAACAGCAACTCTCGCACAGATATTTACAATGTAATGTAATCTTATAAATAAAGGCAACAGTAGTATACTGCTGTTCGAAATTCATAAATCTATTGAGAAAAAAACAAATCCGGGTTACAAAAAAGTTTTCACCTGTTTATGGACGGCAACTGATGTACACTGTGTAAAATATTCAGGCAATTTATTATTGAAAACTTTTGTTTTCATTGTTTTCGTCAGATTTTATTTATTTTTTCTGTTAAAATGTAAAATGATTATGGCATTGTAAAGTGAAATGTTGAAAACAGCTTTGAAGTTAGTGGGTAAAATTAAGGTTTAGATATTTTAACTGTCATTTCACAACTGAAAAAAAAATTAAAAAAATTCTAAGTTATCTTTGTGTAGATATTATACAACACTCAATTGACATACTGTAAGTTCAGAAATTATTGCGTGCATTTATTACTGCCATTTTTAAGATATGTTATTGTCATTTCAGGAAAATCTTCATTCAGATATGTATCAGGTATCAGAATGCGAGTTCTTACTATTGAGATACTAACCCAGTTGCTTTATTTGCATTAATGAAAACCTCATAATTATTTCTGAATTTACAGTATTGTTTAAACATTTTATTACTACCTGAATAAAATATCAGATCACTATAAGACTAGCAGAGTAAATATTTTTGTATTAGGGAAGTTAATCATATTTTGTGATCTTATGGTGGACAAATCTGTTTTATTTATTGCAGTATTTTTAATCAGTGTTCGCTTTTTATACAGCATTGTCAAAGGGTATTCATTTTAGTTGCAGCATATAAATTTCATTGTATACAATGGGTAAATGAATTTAAGTTTGCTAATATTAACTATGTTTACAACCTACTTTAAGATTAGCAGTTGTTATTGTTACCCAATTAAATGGATCAGGGATCACACAGGATGAACAAAAACCTGTTAGACAAGTTTGTAACTGTTTTTGCAATACTGTGGATTAATTTATTTTCGTGGATTGGGGTGGATATTTGATTTCGGGGATTTGTCTTTATAGAAGCTTTTAGTAAATGTGTACTTTTTAAGTATTTAAACGTGTGGACATATACCCATATAATCCACAAAAATTGGTGTCCCACAAATAAAAAATGAATCCACAGTATAACTCATAGAGAATTTATTAACTTACAAACAAACTTTAATTTTGTTTGAGTTCCCTGAGTAAACAATCAAGTATATTAGCAATAACAAGTTTTATCAACTGAGTTTCATAAAAATGTAGGTTAATCAACATTTTGATAAACCAATTATCATGATATAGCATTAAGTTGAATTATGTTACTATGAAAACTATCAATCTTGTATTATGTAATAATTCATGAATGTCCAGACTTGTGTGGTATGTTTTACACCTTAATGCTAAAATAAAAGGACAATTTGAATCAGAATTTATCGCACAAGAGAAATTATTTTACAGAAGATTATTTTTGGTAGCCATATTTTTTCATAGTACATTGGTTTTATTTACCAGGGATTCACTTATGTTGGTTGGTATCAATTTTCATTCTTGGAGGGGAAAGAAAATGTGCTATTTCGAGTGGTTTTATTGTTTGTTCCTATCAAAGAAACTAAAAAAAAATTGTTTTGGTAACCTAAGAATGTTATTGATTCTACAGAACATGTTACTTTTAAATTTAGTTATGTTGAAATGTAAATGAGAAATGTTTCAGAACTATTGATTTTTCTACCTCTTTTAAAAATCATATGAGAAACTGATGGCTAGTCCTTTTATTTTTGTGGATAATATTAATATTTTAATAAAAATTGCTGTTATTATGCTATTTTGCCTTATTTCTTTATTTGATTCAGAGCGTAATTATTTGATTACTCTTTGTAGCTGGTCTACTTTTTGTCTTGTTTATTCGTTGCAAAATGCAAGATGAGGGGTGGGCTAATCCCAAGGGTGCGTAATGAAACATACTCTCAAATCAGTGTAAGCAGGTCTATAGATATTTATGCCATATATATTTATATGGACCATATATTGCCAAACACCTGTCTTACCTCCAAGACAATATGTTGTCATCACAGACAAAGCCCCAATGAAAATTGTTTATAATTGAATTAAAAATGATTTTTCTATGCTTTACACTACTATTCTCCATGTTTAATTGAAAGATTGAATACATTGTCTAATAAAAAGAGCTTTTTCTACACGAATGGGAATCATAAATACACATTTCTTGTTTAGGTCATGAAAAACTAATTTTTTGAAGAACCACTCTTGATTCCAAAAACAAATACACCAAAGGTTATATCAACAAAATGCTAAGAATTTTAGATTCACAACATATTTGGTAAGTCAAGTATATTGATATCCCAACAAATAGTTGGTTTTCCAACAGGTACTAATTGTGCACCCCAATTGGCTAACTTGTTTGTTTTACTCGTGTGAAGCAGAATTCATACAAAATCTTTGAAGACAAAAAGACAAACATATTGCAAAGTTCTTTATTTTCACTTTCAGATATAATGATAATGTGGTGTGACTCAATAACCCACATTTCAGTGAGTGCTTTGAATTTAAATATTCCAGTGAACTTGAGATTAAGGATACTACTGAAACTACAACTTGATCTTTTCCTCCATGTTGACACGGACGACTTTAACCTAGAATCTATAACAAATGGGATGATTTTCAACTTTCCAATTGTTAACTCTCATTTCTTAGAAGTAACTTATTCTTGCCTTATTGTATGGCATCTACAGTTCAAAATTGACATGTTATGCTTTTGTATGTTCACACTATATGGACTTCATTAGTGTTTGCATATATCTCAATTGATAGTTTATGCTTGCATATGTTCACACTATATGGACTTCATTAGTGTTTGTATATATCTCAATTGATATGTTATGCTTACATATGTTCACACTATATGGACTTCATTAGTGTTTATATATCTCAATTGATATGGTATGCTTGTGCCTGTTTATATTATATGAGCTTTATTTCAAGGATATGGCCCTTATATAAAACCTGTTCCAAAAGAGCTGAAATCGACCCTACATAAGTTTTAAAGTCGCCATCATGAATTGGTTTACCAATAAGATATGTCTTAACTCATTGGCAATGTGTCTTCAAAGTCTTTAATTCATTAGACTGAGTGTGGATTCACGTGGCAGGTGATGAGTGCATAGTAGAGAACGTTCTCCCTGTCGATGTACCCGGTCTGACTCCTTTTGGAGTTCATGCAATTCCCGCAGTTTGTGTTTGTGTCCTTGATTTGTCTTTTTAATCGATTTAAGAGATTTGACCTCTGGTAAACTACTGTTACCTAAATCTATATTTCTTTGTAACTACATACAGAAGGAAACTTGATCTAGCGGATGTTTATATGAGACAGAATTTATACAAAATCAAGAAATTAGAGGATCCAATGAACCTAATTTGCTTATCTTGGACTCTAAAGGAATATTAAGACTAATTTCATTCTATGCAATCCTATCCAAGTTTTCAAGATAAAAGCCCAAAATGCAAAACTGGATAACAACTATGCTTAGTTGATTAATGATTTTGATTATGTTTGACCATCATAGATATTGTATTGCTGGTCACTTTTCTGTTACTGTTTATATATTCTTATAATGGGTCATATTGACTTATAAGTTGGTCTTGTCTTGCTGATCACTATTGCTTGTCAAAATTTGTACTATAGATTTCAAAATAGCAACCTAAACACCAAAATTTATTTTACTTTGTTGTTTTTGTAGCTTTTTAGAGTTTATCTCGATCCACTAGTTTCGCAAAAAAACAAAAAAAAAAGGATAAATAAAGGCAACAGTAGTATACCGGTATTCAAAAGTCATAAATCGATTGAGAGAAAACAAATCCGGGTTACAAACCAAAACCGAGGGAAACACATCAACTATAAGAGGAAAACAAATGAACAACAGGAACACCAAAGTGCAACAAAAACAAACGCCAACACACATAGAAACGAACTATTTGATAACAACTGCCATATTCCTGACTTGGTACAGGACATTTTAAGAAAAAATAGTAAGATTTGTCATTGAAAGGCGGTCACTTCTATTAGAAGTCGGTTGAAGATTTCGGCAACGTTAACTAATTTGTAGATCTTGTCTAGATAATAGACCAATGGAAATATGCACGGTAACCTCCATGCAGTACTTGATTATGGCTAGACTTATTGATCTTCTCAATTGCTGCAATCCAGAAGTGAAGAACTGGATCTCCTTACTGTTTCCTATGAAGATCTAATTTATCCATCTGTTGAACATTAGGAATGCTGTCGCGGACTTGTGTTTATATATAGCCCGAGTGTCTACATATGTTTGAATGATGATCATATTCAAAAACAACTTTCTATTGATTTATTCTGTACATATATGTCCAGTGTGCCGTGGTTCCTTTATTTTTTTTTGTATCTTGATAAAGCATTCGAATCACCGTTTCCCTTTCAAGTCCTGTACTTAATATAAGAATTGAAGACAAGACAGAAGTAATCCAACGATGATCAGAAACATCTTATCCTGTGGATGTCAGAACATATGTAAACGGATTATTAGTAATATCTGTCAAAACAGTAAATGAATTTCTATATCAACAGTCATGAATCTTTTTTGCTGTTTGTACACTTTAATTCCAAAAAATAACGTCTGTAAATGGGATAATTACACACTGTCTTATTGAGACCTCTACTAGCATTGGCTAGGACTGTATTTCTTTCGTCTTGTACTTGATAGAGAACAGTACCAATTCCTTTCGATCTTGCATCTTAGTACATTTTGAACGGTTTCTTTAAAGCAAGATAAGCTTAAATTTGAGGCGACGCTAATCATTTTCCCATAAGTTCATCAATTGATTTGTCTTCTTGTTCTCCCAATTTTCAATCCGTGATATCTTTCTCGACTTCTAATTTTCGTTGAAGCTGGCATTAGATCGTTTGATGGTCTAATTATTTTTGACAAACTCATTACAAATCTCCCATTTTATCACACTAATCCTAAAAAAAAATCCCAAATGGTCAGGTGTTTGTAGTGTAGGCCAGTTGGTGACTTATTTGTAGTACATTTGTCAAAATGAACAGAAATGTAGAACTGGGTCTTCTGGCTGTTTCCTTATCTATTCATCTATTGGACATTATAAATACTGTTTACGACCTGTGTTGATAAATCAAGAGTGTCTATATCTGTTTGAAAGGTTACCAAATGTAAATCAACGAATATGTCTTCAAAAAGTCGCTAGTGAATTAATGAGTCCAACAGGCAAACGGTAAATCAGTAAAATACTGGTGGTCTAATCGATCGTCCATTTAGTTCTGTCCTCATAGCATTCTTCACTCTCGATCTGGTGTCCAAAACTTTATTTGGCCTTTTTAACTTTTTTTATTCGAGCGCCACTGATGAGTCTTTTGTAGACGAAACGCGAGTCTAACGTACAAAATTTTAATCCTGGTATCTATGATAAGTTTATTTACAGTAAAGTACCGGTTTCATCCAAGGGTCCAACAACTCTTGGTAGTGCATTAGAAATTCGATTTGTTTGTGATTGAGTTGGCGGAAATTTAAACACATGCGTATCTTATTTTATGCGTTGAGCGTGATGATGTGGAGTTGTTTTTATACGATTCTCTCATTTTTTTATTTGTTATCTTGGTTTATATTTCTTAATCGATTTATGAGATTTAAATACCGGTAAACTTCTGTTGCCATGGCGTTGTCATTTTATTTTCGACTTATGAGTTTTAAAAGTCCATTTGGTATCTTTCGCCTCTCCTTTGCCTTAATATATCTTGAAATTAATGTTATGATATATCGAAACAAACTATTTAAAGATATTTATTGTTATAACAACTGGTGCGACATTTATTGTACCATCCAATGTAGCTATCACCTAAGTTATGACTTACAGTAAAGATTGAACTTATAGATGACCTTTGTTAAGTTTTGTAAAATAAAATGTAGTTATATTATAGTTTACAAGGTTTATAATTTCTTTTAGGGTTTATAAGCTCTTAATTCTTTTAATAAGTTTTGGATTTTGAAATATTTTGACCTGAGCATCACTGAAGATACATTTTCACATTTCACTTTTTTTTTTACACTTTTACCTATTATGTCTGTTTGTTTTGTTCACACATTGTTGTCAATATAATGGAATTTTATGCGACTGTCACACAAGTGAGAGGTTTAGCTAGCTTTAAAACCATGTTTCATCCACTATTTTCTACATAAGGAAATGCCTGTACCAAGTCAGAAATATGACAGTTGTTTTCCATTCGTTTGATGTGTTTGAGCTTTTCATTTTGCCATTTTATAAGGGAATTTCCGACTTGAATTTTTCTTGAAGTTCGTTTTTTTTTGGTATTGTACTTTTTATTGTCGAAATGTGCATCTTGTGCAGAAAAATTAGTATCGTTAATGTTATTCAAAATTATAGCCAAAAACGTAAAAACGACATAACAAAATGTAAAACAATTCAAACAAAAAAAAAACAAATACAACGGTCTGATTTATGACAACTATAAACGAACAACATATATATATGATAAACAGCTACAACTATAGGCTCTATAATTGACTTTGAAAGAGAGGCGAAAGATACACCAAAGGGACATTCAAACTCAAAAGTCGAAACTAAACTGACAATGCCATGACAAACAAACATTCTGTGAGTATTGTTTGGCAATACATAGTCCCCTACCGATTAAAAAGTATTGTATTAGAACAAAATTCTAACTTGATCTATAATTCGTCATGGTGTAAACTATATAACAAATATCAAGTCAATATCTTCAAGCATGACGAAAAAAAAGTGCGGAAAACTGATTATTTAAGTGAAATTTCTAAGTCCAAGGACCATATCTCTGCACAAAATCATTAGACCGAAACAAAATTCGAACTTGATCTGTAACTTGTCATGACAAAACTATATACCAATTTTCAAATCAATATCTTCAAGCGTGACGAAAAAAAGTGCGGAAAACTGATTATTTAAGTGAATTTTCTAAGTCCAAGGACCATAACTCTGCACAAAATCATCAGACCGGAACACAATTCAAACTTTAACTGTAACTTGCCATGATAAAACTATATACCAATTATCAAATCATTATCTTCAAGAATGACAAAAAAAAGTGCGGAAAACTGATTATTTTAGTGAATTTTCTAAGTCCAAGGACCATAACTCTGCACAAAATTATCAGACTGGAACAAAATTCGAACTTGATCTGTAACTGGTCATGACAAAACAATATACCAAATATCAAATTAATATCTTCAAGCGCGAAAAAAAAAAGTGTGGAAAACTGATTTGCCGGACTGACGGATGGACAGACAGACGGACGGAGTGCAAACCTCTAGTCCCCTCCCCAAATCCTGGATAGTGGTGTAAAAGCACAATATAAGAACAAATAGTTAAAACAGTTTAAAATAAAACTGACTCGTCAGATCGGCACAAATAAAAAAAACAATAATTTAAAGACAAAATTTAGACACATATAGTGCCGATTTAAAAAGACTCGTTGTTACTGAAGGCAAGCTCAAAGCCCATAACAACTAATAAATAAATCCTGTTCTCACAGACTATGTTTTGTTGTTAAAAAAAGTAATAATGTCCACATTAGGCGTGTGATTTTTAGGTTTCCAATGCCATTTAATTTTACGTTTTACACAACGTCACATTTCCTTTTTATCGTTTTGGATAATCGACTGTCCACACCTTGAAATAGAAATATACTGTCATTCAAATAAATTAAAACACTTTCAATTATGAAAGACATATTTATTTCTAGAGGTATATAATACAATCATAGCTCTTGTTCTAAATAATTGTACACCTGAGTTCATTCGTTACACGTCGAGATCAATAATAACAGAACAATGACCCGGAAATATTGTCTGGTGAACTAACATTCCACCGTCTGACCGATATATTCATACGCCTTAGAGTTGTAAACAAACAAGTGTTATATGTAAACATGACACAGCATGCTATTTATACATTTAGTTGGAAAGTTTTTCATATGCTGTATTATTTTATTTCCATTTTTATTACGCAGTACTAATTAAATTCAATATATTTAATAAAGATTAGAAGTGTGAGTCTGCAACAAACGGTTGAACTCGTTACTCTTTCAGTTTCGATTTCTCAAACTGAATACAAAATGTCATAATAAACCGGGAAGTCAAGAAAATATATCAAATTGTATCATAGTAACAAAAGTCTAGAAATTATATCAAATAGTCAAGTATAAAGTTTATAAATCAAACTTATTAAAATCCTTTTCCAGGAAGCTGCTCATCATGGTAGGAGGCCGGTAAAAACCAGATTGCAAATTGTTCTGCGTTTTTTTTTATACCAAATGGACTGCCAAACTTAGTCCAGGTCTGAATCACTATCATAACTAGTATAATGACTCAAACATTCACTGTTTCCATCTTCAGACTTATAATGATCCACACTTTTAGATTTTAATAAAGATTTGAATTGGAGCCGCCTAACAGCTTCCTGTATTAAAGTTTGTTCCCGTAATAATTTTTCTAATGTTTTAGAGGAGTCCATAATTTTCGCTTGATAAGTCTGTTTTTCTTCATTCGAACAAGAACAATTTCTAGAAAAACATCTAGAACATTTCACCGGCAAGAGTGTGTGCAATCCATTACAAGCACGTGTTCGTCGGCTGATTATTTTCACAGGATGATGTCTCCTACATCTAAATGTCAGTTTTTCGCTAATTCTGTGACTTAAAGATTCCACTTCCTTTGAATTAAATGAATTGTCTATATCCACACGTTGAACATCGTGAAATTTCATTCTTAATAATATTATTAATCAACAGAGCCAATGCCGGATTTTTCTTTGTTTACGATCAAATTGCTTGACCTCAAAGTATTAACCTTCCGAGAGATATAGTTCGATTGTGTTTTCTACGAAAAGTTGTATGGTTAAGTTAAGGATAAAATTATTTTATTCTCCAAAAGCTCTTAAAATCTTGTTTTAGTTCACCTCTAATAAAATATAAAATTAGTAAAGATATTTTCAAGTTTAAAAAACACGCACTTATTCTGATCATCCAGTCAGTGACTGATATTTAAAAGTTGTTTACAAACATCTGTTTTTGGTGATTCACTTCTTGGTTGTTTATAATGGTGACTTAAATTTAAACAGAACATATGTTGTTATTATCACACAGTAAACTTTTTCTGAAAAAAAGAAAAACAAGAATTCAAAATATAAACAGGCAATTATAGAGTTGTTAACGTAAAACATTGCAAACGGCATGTCCATGACGCCCTACATACTACATACTGGACAGATAGCCTGAGATTCTTTTCTGGACATATAATTAAGTTTCAACAAACTTATATTTATATTGATGCGTTTTATTTCTATGACATCAATAAATAATTATATCAGCATGTTAATAATATCAACAATTGCATATGTTAGTGGAAACTTATTTACATATTGATTATTGCAAATAATTTACGCATTTGTCAACATGTTAAGTAAATACATATGGAATAGAAAAACATCTTCCACTAAGAAGCAGTTATTTTCCAGAATAGGTTGCAGAAAGAATTTTTGTTATTTTACTTTTTACCTTCGTGATGGCAACTCATCAAAGATAACAGGCTATAGATAGAAATTGTTACAAATGACATGCGTAATTTTCGTGCTTCTTGTTTTTTTTGTTTTTTTTTTGTATTTAGGTTAGTATGGGAAGAATTGTTACGGGGGAATAATTCAAATTACTTAGTAGTATGAATGGAATTTGAAACGACGATTCCGGTACGTGTCGTTTAATTTCTAAACCGCGAACCGTATTTGAAATCCATGCAAGCATATATATAAAATTGAGAATGGAAACGGGGAATGCGTCAAAGAGACAATATACATACTTAAGTCATATCATGGAAGTATTATATTGACAATATAATACTTCAATGGTCATATGTTCTAATTCGTTACGCAAGCAACGTTACATATGACCGCAAATTCTGATCGAGACACCACTTGTACAGACAAGTGGACCTTTTTTAATTAGTATTTGTACAATAAATGTAGCAAGTTAACGTAGACACCGAATAATAGCAGCTGCAACTGGTTGTTGAATATTAATGGTCAAAAAATTTAAATATGTAATATATATTATTAATTTGATACTAATATGCTACTGTACACTTGAACTTTACTGAACGAATGACTTGTAGCCATATCCTTTTTATTTCCCCATCCCCAATAAGTAACCAAGAAAACTAAAGATAAAAAAGTATTCTTCCTAGTTCAAGGACCTATAGTGTATTGCTTTTATACAATGATAATTTCACTACAGAATTATAGACTTTCACCACAAAATGGACCATAATCAAAACCAAAGGAAATCCAATCAAACCATAAGACAATATTATACAAAGATGCTTGGTGAAAGATAATTTGTCATATTTGATCTCCTAGTGAATCGTCACACATTCTTCGACTGTCCAAAAGAAGATTTGAAGATATATGCAGACATGCTCTGATTTTTTTACTTCGAAGATACATCAGAGTTCAAGAGACTTACTTAAACGGAAATATCGGAATCTAATGTTTCACCTACTCGTTCTTGTTTTAAATTTTACATGTAAACCTTCTTAAATACCGAAGTTATGATTGGATCAATTATTATGTCTCTGTCATATTTTTATGAGCCTCGTCGCAATGCTAGTGTACACCATGAGACACAATGCAAGTTAATGAAAGTGGAAATTATTCAACGGGATTTTTCAATTTCCAAATGACGCTTTATACAAATGTGATGCAATCACACTTTTCAATTTTTAGCAAAAGATAAATTTGAATTTTTATTTTTATAACACTGACAATTTGGCATGTTTGTGCCGAAATATTGTCATGTTTTGTTGTTGTCATATTTATATATATATCTACAATATTATTCATTTAATTTAGAATGCACACATTCATCAAAAAACGATGGTTATAGGTAAACAAAGACAAGGAAAACATTGCTGCATTACAAGGCATCGAAAACGAAGAGTACATCGTATGTAATATAAAAATAACGATTTAAAACTTCAAGACTTTTAGAACAGGATATTTATTAACAACACTATATCTTCAAACGGTAAATAGCGCCGGATACGATGATTAACCAGAGATGGATCAATAGCATTATCAAAAACCCTAGAAACAGTCATATACATACTAGAAGTCGGATATACGGGATTGAATAATTATGAAGCTGTACAACGACCAAGTCAGGAAACCTTTCAAAATACTAAAAGCTCAAATAGGCAAACTGTACATGAATCACCACAACACGACTCATCTAATCAAAGAGGTAAATAAACTCATCATAGATACCAGGCTTGAAATTGTGTACTCAAGACGCGCGTTTCGTCTACAAAAGGCTTGTCAGAGACGCTCAAATAAGGCCACATAAAGTACGCAGTTGAAGAGTTTTGGGTTAAAAAATTCCGAAAGTCTTTGCCAAATACAAATTCAAAGTGAAAACTCATCACAACCAGTACTATCTCATCGGAAATAGTCAAGGAAGAGTTCCCAAATACATTTTTCCAGAAAAAAGGTAAAGAAAATTGAACAAGAACAAAGCTGTTCACATGATTTTTTACCAAGTCAATTTAAGAGCGATTACCGCAACGTAAAATATTGAGAGATCACATCAAATGTTTGATGACGTACTGCTTGTGGTAATGACGACCCCGACTTCTGAAGCGTCATCATTTAGCACAACTTTAACAAGGAGTTTCTTATTGAAGTGTGACAAGGACAAATTTAAAGCAGACTAAGTCGACCATGATTTGGACAACGCAAGATGACAGAATGTATCCCTGTGTGTTGTTGCAAGCGACGGCTCGATGATGTCATGCAACCCAATAATACTTCTGAAGTCCCGGGGAAAACCTCAACTTAGATGAGGTTTATATGAATCGATAAACAAATAACCTAATAGTTATGGGAAAACTGGTTGTAGACGATAGTTTATATTATTGTCAGTGAGTCTAACCAATATGATCGAGAGGCAGACACACACCAATCATGTCCCTGTATGGTCCCAATAATTCACTTAAAAGGAAACATTTATCTTTGAAATTGCGGACAGCAACTATCATATCTCCATAATACTATAAACATCATTGATCTGATCCATAATTTTGAAGAAAAAAAAATGCTTTGTAGAAAAAGATATGGCGCTCCTCGTCATGGAAAAACTATCATTTTGAGAACTTGACTGTTACAATTGATTTTATTGAAAAGCAATTGAATTCAAGAAGCAACCATTTGATACCATTCCTAGATATTTTGCTTAATCATCTTAGTACCTAACTATTTCATTGTACAAAAATAGGGAAATTACAAAGGGAGGGAGTCAATTCTTTCTTCCCAAAGGAGCAGGAATGTGTGTTTTCAACTGTATATATATTTGAAGTTAGCATATTAAAAGCATTATTGTGACTTGACTGTAAGTGTTGCTCTCCACCTATTGCAGGTTATTCAAAATATTGACCAAATTGCAATTTTCTTTATCAAACCAAACTGTTCAACTGGTAAGAAATTTTAATGCACTGCTGAACACAGTGAAGTCGTGAAAAAAGTAAAATAAAAAAGTAAAATCGTGAAAGTGCAAAGTGATAAAATAAAGCATACTTACAATCCTATCAGACTTGAGTTTCACTTTATAGATATTATGAAAATCATTCAAAGAATTTCTATACATATCGTTATTGTAACTGTCATTCGAAAAGTGATAGGTAGTAATTTTGAATTGTTAAAATTTTTTAATTATTTCTTCTTAAATGGTGTTTTTCAATGCATGCTTCAAAGCTTTCTTTGAATTATTAATCTTTAAAATACTTGGTAAAATATACTTTAAGCTTTAATATGACTTGTTCTCTTGAAGTTTTAAAGGGAGATAAGATCAATATTTCAAAAGATCAATGATTTTAGATTATCTCCCATTGAAACTTATAAACAATGTATTGTAATCTCACATATTCTGAATATAAGATGTTTTAATTCAAACGATGTCTGATTCTTATGAATATAGAAAACTTTTTAAAAGAAAAATTGTATGAAAGCTTAGTTTGGACATTTTTACAGCAATTCAAAAATTACTACCTATCATCTTTCACATAACAATTACAATCAAGATTTGTATAGAAAACAGAATGTTTTTTCATAATATCAATGAAGTAGAATTTAAGTCTTATAGGTTTGTAAGTATGCTGTATTTTATCACCTTGCACTTACACAACTTTTTTCTACTGCAGTTCCTTCAAATTTCTTACCAGTTGAACTGTTTGGTTTGATAAAACATGTTGCAATTTGGTCAGAATATTGAATAAACTGCAATAGGTGGAGAGAAACACTTACAATCAAGTCACAGTTATATTTTGGAAATCTCTGCTATTCCTCCATTTAATTACCAGAATATTTGTAACTTGATGTCCACCAACCGGTATTCAGGGTTAAAACATACTAATGACATATGAATGTATAGTTTGATTTGCACTAGACCCACAGAGGAAGATAGTTTAACTACCTAACACACAAGAAAACCGTCTGAAGGAAGACATCTATCCTAAACGAAACATATTTTCTAACAGAGAGTAGACCAGCATTTCTCCTAAATTCTGTACTCTTGGAAGAGAAGCAATAAGTAGCAGTTTCAAAATTTTTGGTTTGGTACTGTCCAGGATTGAACTACTGTAAATTCAGATATTATTGCAATTTTAATTTTTGCGATATTGAGAAAAATCCTGTTTAATTCATATAAAAAATTTCAAAATGCGAGTTTAAATTATTGCGATTATAACCCTGTCGCATTTTTCGCAATAATAAAAACATCGCAATAATTTCTGAATTTACAGTATTGACATTGTGGCATTTACTTCCACAATGTCATTGAGGTAAGCATACTACATGGAAAATGAAACTTCAGGAAGTTCAGTGTAAAGATCAAACTTTAAACATCATATTGTAAGTATTTATTTATTGCTTTTATTGCTTTAACATCACAAAATTGTATAATTGAATACTGTGATCAAATATATATATATGTAAATATTCAACATAAAATATCAATTTCATAACAACCTCTTTAACAAACGTCACAATAAATCTATAAAACTTCACAACTTATTAGGATGTGTATGTTCACACATATAGTATTTGCTTTGATTTATACTAACATCGTTGGATAGCAACATCTATGTTGCACTGTTTAGATATCAATTACATGAGAATTTAACTGGTTATCACTATAAGTAATTAAATGAAATATGAGGGAAAATTAAGTACATGGTATAATGTTAAATATACTTTAAAAATGTAAACACAAAATTAAGTTTTGTCAATATTTTGATTATTTGTAATAAAATTATCACTTGCTCAAAGCTTTTCGAAATCTAGCCATGTTTTAAAATAATGCAAAAATATACAAGGTAAATAAACTAGAAATTACGTTTTTGATTTTGACAAATTAAAATTCAACTACTACTAGGGGGTGTTTAACAACTTTGACTACCATTTAGCCATAACTTAACATTGAATGTTTTTACAGTTTTCAACAAGCACATTTTTAAATAGCTATTATTTTTTTGCATTATATCAAAAATGTTTTTTTAAAAAGGTCTTTTTGTATAAGAGAGAGGCGAAAGATACCACAGGGATATTCAAACTCATTCAATTTGTACCAAATAAACCTGCATTACAGTTTACTAACTCACAACCATCAATTTGGAAGAAAAAAAACACACTTTATTTAATGTATTGTATACAATGTTCTACTGTGGCCAATATACTCTGGTTAGGCTGACATGACCCTTTACTTTTTAACCTTGGACATACCACAAATGACCTTCACTAGTTAAATTATAAACTTCAAATGACCCTGATGATTTAAATTTCAGCATCAAGTTCCTATTCAAAATTTCTGTTATGCCAGGGTGTTATTTGATATTTCAAGGCAAAACATTATATAATCAATAATTTTATGTTTAATAAAACATTATTATTTGTAATATATGTAACAAACATTTAATGTTAATAAAAATAGCAGGATTGTTAAAAGGAAATTAGATAAATTCTACATCAGTAGTATTCAGCCTGGTACCCTTAATGTGATCATAGTGAGCAGGTTGTAACAAGTGAATTATTCTGGTTATATGAATTGCATATTTGCCAACTTAGTTTTAACATACTTTATTTGTTAGAATAGCAAAAGGGACTGGACACAAGTTATAACAATTATTTTCAATATACTTTGTCAAATTTGTCTTTCATTACCTATTATCATATTTCCAGAAATCCAGTATCAATCATTTTTTGTCAGATGATCAGCACTAGTATCATCCACTTTATATCCCATGATCAGGACTACCTTTTATTTTTTTATATAATAAAACTAACCTTGTTTGCAAGATAAATTAAGTGTTAAAACATGCTGCATTGTGTTGGAAAGTTAATATAAATAATGTTCATGAATGTAAAAAAATATGTTAATTTGTTACAACTTTAATACAGAAAAATTGATTACATACAAGCAGCATTTTATACTGTATTCGCAATAATAAAATTAAAATATCACTATTTCTGTTATTGATGTTTGGACCAAAAAACCAAATCAAGTTTGATTATCAAATATACCATTGTCTATGAATAATGCTGATAAGGTTATTTTCAAGAGCCCTTCTGTGTAATGATCAAAGCCTTTAATGGTTGAAACCCCTAATCAATAAAATTATTTTCATTTCAACAAGTATAAAAATACTGACAATTCTTTTCTCATGTTTTTCAATCAATGCTGACATTCAAATAATTCACAATTTGAAGCTAAAACAAATGGCTTGAAAACTAAATACCGGTAGTATTGTGGTCTGGTCAGAAAAATAGTTGTTTAAGGTCCACGTACAAATGTCACACAAAAAGCTTGTCAAGTAGGTTTAATTCAAAAAGACCTGTCAACGGATACATGAGTGTGATCAAATTCTTTGGTATTTTACACAGAGTGGCTCTTAAAATACATGATATTGTAAACCAAGATAAACGCATAGCTTAAATTTTTCAAGTAGAAAATTATTTAATACATAAAATTTTGGATGGAATACTTATGAAATAAAAACATGCATAAAACAATCTTATATACTTTTCTTGTGCAAATAATGGTTATACACAGTGAGTTTCTTTTAGTTTGTGCACATGTATATAGTACTACTAATCTATATATGACCTCTCACCTTAAAACAAACATATACAGCACAAATCATTAACAAAATATCTATAACATAACAAGTAATAAAAAGCTCTGTTGGAAGCATTAAGTTTGATTAGATTATGTCAAAAATGATTTTAAATCATTAATCATATTTATGTATTGATAACATTTAAGTAACAGTTAAATATGTGAAAGTTTTCATAAGCAAATACGTTTCAACTTACAAATCATATAAAGACTTACTAACATCCTTTTAAAAAATTACTGATTTAGGTTGCCTCTTTGATTGTTATGTATTTATGCCTATTCAGAATCTAAAAAATTTGGTATTATAAATTTAAATGTTTGACGGACAAAATCAAAATAATGGTATGCCATTTGTTAAATATCCATTGTTCAGAATGCTTATTCAAATATGTAGAACTAAAAGTAATGAATCAATGTGAGCAAAGTCATAATACTATCTATCTGAGTATATATATATATATATGTATATAATAGAAATATGAATAAAATATTTATATATTGCATAATATCATAAAAAACAGTGTATTTGTTTTCATTTTGAAACTTACTATTCTTGTAATTAAATTAAAACGGCCAATACATTATGGCTTTTAAAATTAATCTATAAATATAACATTTTTATGACATAATGTCATTAAGTACAATACTGGCTTGGCAAGTACCAGTTTTTATATATATACAATGAACCCTGTGATGGCAATAAAATTCATTAATGAGTAAATTACTACAATACTAGTTGGTAATTACACCCCTTATATAAGTCTGTTCATTTAACGCTATATCACAGAAATGGAAAGGCCTACCGGACAATCAATATTACTGGAAAAATGTTAGAATTACTTCTTTAATGAAAATGAAAATCTGCTCTAATCAAAGTTAATACTGCTACTCTTATTTTGGTATGGACAATGTCATTATAAAAATAGGTATGTCTATAGAGACACAATGTATGTCAGTATAGACAACATGATTACTCTAAATATCAGCACAACAATGTTAAATCTGTTAATTTTTGTTCTTCCCTCGCCGGGATTCGAACTCATACTATTGGGATATCGAAACAACATCGCCTGCACCGTGTCTAGTGCTCTAGATCACTCGGCCACCTAGACTGAACTAAAAATTCAGCTTTCGGTGGCATAGTGTTACCTTTCCTCATCAGTATAATCTAGAGTTGTAACACAGTACATGATATATTAGGCATGAAGATGGAATTGATTGCAGATTATCTAAATTATCTATTAAGGATAAAAATTCATATGGACTTTTATGCCTGAAGCCCAAAATTTCTAACAAAAGAAATATCTTAACTCTGAAGTGAAACAAATACAAAATATGCAAAAATTATCAAAATTACCAACCAGCACAAAAACAGGACAAAAAAAGCACAAATATATATATAGCACTTAAGTGTTATAAAAACTAGTGATTTTTTCATTTGACACAGGGGAATTTTGATTGTTTCATGGCACAGAATTAATGTAATATATACAATTTCAAACAATTTTATAAATCATGTGCTAAGTTATCATTGCAAAAATATATAGACAAAGCTGACATTCCAAAACAGTGATAAATCTATTGACAAATATACAATTTTTTAATTAAAAAAATCAACTGTATAAGATTTAATTTTTTTCCACATTACATTACAATATTTTTTCTCCTTTAATCAATGTGGAGAATAAGAAATCTTATTGAATCCTCTTATAAGTCTCTATAAGACATCAAATTTATTTTAAAACAAATTTGACCCTATGCCATCATTTTCAACGAATGACATATAAAATCAATATTCACTAAGTAGCAGTCATACATCAGAGGATAATAGAAAAGAAAACTGTATACTGTTGAGAAATTATCAAAGAATATAAAAGAAAGACCGAATTTTTAAATGAATGTTCATAAAAGACAAATTGTGTATGGTTTTGTTGATAAATGAAAAAGTTATTGCACTGTTCAATAAATGTTTATTATTGTTGAATATGGAATTACTGGCATTTTGTATCTATCTGTTTAATTATGCTATTTCAGAAATACGTTTTCAAAAAGGGGCACTTCAATATATTATTGGTTTTAATGCAATATTTAGTATCATAAGATCGTAGGACATTCAAAATTTTATGCATGGACAAGCATCTGCCAAATGTTGCTCTTTGACCTCAGCTATTTTTCTACTATTAAAAGAACACATGCAAATTTATTTATATCACTTTTTTTTTAGGTAAAACTGTAATTCCTGAAATAACATTATGAACAATTAAAAACCTTTCTGGCATGAAAGTAAATTTTACCCTGACTTTGTATTATTATACACTACGAAATCTACATTATTACACTTATGACATCTACATGTATTACACATTTTACATTTATATATAACTTACTACATACTATACCATGTGCAATCTATACAATGGATTTCTGATTACTAGACAAAACAAAGATATAAACACAATGCTGTCTTTGGTTTACAGTTGTAGCCATCATTGCCTTTATGTCATAATCTAACAATACCTTAAACTCAAAATACACATATAACAACCTAAAAATGTGGTTAAATGTAATTTTTCTATCAAATTATTGTGAAGTAGGAAGACATTTACAAGTTCACATCTCTAAAGTAAAATATCTGATCAATATTGAATTTATTTTAATTTCCAAAAATATATCTGATTAATCATAAAAATAATATCACTGTAATTAGAAACCAATGGAAAAAGTGAAAAATATTCAATTATTATCAAACACTTTAAAAGGAAAAGTAATGAATTATTTTTCCACACAATGTGGCTACAGATCATTAAAAAAGTACATTGTCAGTGTTCTCTCTAGATATTTCATTTAGCATCCTGGTAAACAGGGAAATTTGAAATACCATCTTGTTTCTAAAAATTATAGCATCACATCCATAACACAATCTATAAGAAAACCATTTCAGATAGCATCACATTACCATGATGCTAAAAGGCCCTGGGGAGAACACTGCATTGTCTGTACATTTTCACTAAAGTTTATGATTTCTTAACCTGCTTAAATACTTAGAATTCATAAGTGTGCTATCCAACCAACATTCAACAGTTTAAACAAATTGTTATCTAAGAAATATTTCTCCATCTTCTAACTCTTTACTTTTTTCAGGCTTGTCTGACTTTTCTTTTGAACCTTTCCTCATGAAAATCCATGGAGCACTAAGTCTACTACGGTTACTTTTAATACTGTGACTAGACATACTATCACCCTTCATGTTCATTGGTGACCTTGGGGTACAGGGTGATGATGACCCCCTAGAGGAATCAGGAACTTCCAGCGGTGTTGTCAGTCTAAGCTCTAATGAATTACCACACTTTCTAACATAATTAACAACCTCTTCATGTTTAGACCACTTAGTGTCTCTGCCACAAACAGCCACTACCAAATCACCAACCTTCAGTCTACCAGCCTGAAAAAAAACGGTATCAAATATTCAAAACTGGTTGCCAACATTGTATCAAATTTATAACTGGTTACTGACATTGTGTTATAGTAATGATTGGCCATTGACATTGTGTAATATCTATGACTGAATGTCAAACAATGTGGGGTATTTAAGACTGGTAATCATTATGTATAGTTTTGATTGGTTACCAGCAATGTGTGGTATTTAAGACTGGTAATCAACATTGCATAAACACTTTTGATTGGTTAACAGAAATGTGTGGTATTGATCACTGGTGGTAATCAACATTGTGTATACTTTTGATTGGTTACCAGCAATGTGTGGTATTTATCACTGGTAATCAAAATAGTGTATACTTTTGATTGGTTACCAGAAATGTGTGGTATTTATGACTGGTAATCAACATTGCATAAACACTTTTGATTGGTTAACAGAAATGTGTGGTATTGATGACTGGTGGTAATCAACATTGTGTATACTTTTGATTGGTTACCAGCAATGTGTGGTATTTATCACTGGTAATCAAAATAGTGTATACTTTTGATTGGTTACCAGCAATGTGTGGTATTTATTACTGGTAATCAAAATTGTGTATACTTTTGATTGGTTACCAGCAATGTGTGGTATTTATTACTGGTAATCAAAATTGTGTATACTTTTGATTGGTGACCAGCAACGTTGCATATATTTTTTGATTGGTTACCAGCACTGTATGGTATTTTTAACTGGTAATTTACATTGTGTATAATTTTTATTGATTACCAGTATTGTGTGGTATTTGTGACTGGTTATCAACATTGTGTATACTTTTGATTGGTTACCAGCAAAGTGTGGCATTTATGACTGGTAATCACATTGTGTATACTTTGATCGGTTACCAGCTTTTTTGGTATTTATGGTTAGTTTTACCTACATTTATGACTTACTACTTACATGCAGTAATATCAATTACTTTTTTTACAGCATGATGTAATATGTATGACTCATTACTTACATTGTGTTAAAATTTTGACTGTTAACCAGCATGATGTTATATTTATGACTCATTACTTTCATTTTGTTATAATTGTGACTGTTAACCAGCATGGTATTATATTTATGACTCATTACTTTCATTTTGTTATAATTGTGACTGTTAACCAGCATGGTGTTATATTTATGACTTTGCTACATACATTCTGTCATAATTATGACTGTTAACCAGTATTTTTTTATTTGTAATTTCTATAACCTTCAATTAAATAATGTAAGAATGTACACTTATCTCAGCAACACTTCCCTGTTCTATCTAAGAATGTACACTCACCTCAACAACACTTCCCTGTTCTATCTAAGAATGTACACTCACCTCAGCAACAGTTTCCTATTCTATCTAAGAATGTACACTCACCTCAGCAACACTTCCCTGTTCTATCTAAGAATGTACACTAACCTCAGCAACACTTCACTGTTCTATCTAAGAATGTACACTTACCTCAGCAACACTACCCTGTTCTATCTAAGAATGTTCACTCACCTCAGCAACACTTCCCTGTTCTATCTAAGAATGTACACTCACCTCAGCAACACTTCCCTGTTCTATCTAAGAATGTACACTTACCTCAGCAACACTTCCTTGTGCTATCTAAGAATGTACACTTACCTCAGCAACACTTCCCTGTTCTATCTCAGCAATCCTAACAGGGCAGTCTCCACGAACACTAAATCCAAATCCTTGGTCATGATTCTTCTTCAGAATCACAGTCCGTGGAGCAGACCACTCATTCTTGGCATTAAATATTGCAATAGGACCCTAAAAATTCAATTTATATTCTATTGTTAGCATTGAATATTGTATAAGGACCCTAACAATTCAATGCATATTTAATTGATAGGTTAAAAGATTTAAAGTGTATTTTATAATTCTTACTTACTGAAATATTGAATTTGAAGGTCTTCTAAATTTATTGGACACTAATTTGGTTATAATCTATAAACAAAGAATTTACATAATGATACTAAACTGTAGGTCTTTGAAGATTTTAAGAATATTCTTATCTTTACTTATAGAAAAACAATAATTTTTTTATAATACATAAAAGCAATAGAAATACTGAAATCTTGCTCATATAATATATTTTGTCCATAGCATATTTCCCAACAAATCTCTTCATTTCTAGGAAAACTGTATCATCAGTGTTCCAGCTAGGTCGTTTTCACAGGGCGGTCCGCCCGCCCTTTCCCGAGTGCCGCCCTGTGCCCTTTTTCTGAAGCCCTGTGCCCTTTTTCTGACGCCCTGCCCTTTTTCGTAAGTCCATGCCTTTATTGCCGTAATATTTTGATGAAAATACAATTATTCTACCTGTCTTCATATTTATGACAAGTTTATGACCCTTAGCTAATTAACATTTACAGCAGGTGTAATAAGTTGTGATTACAGATAATCCGCTTATCGACATCGGATGGGTCATTAATCCGTTAATTAAACTTCATAATTTACCATTGTAATAATTTTTCTCATTAAATTCGGTCAGTCAGCATTTCAATTTCAATATTTCTCAAAAGATGACAATTTGCGTATGAAGTATCCGTAGATCGTCTGTTGTTATGTCAAAGATTTTTTTTTATTAAATTGATCTTTTAAACTAGTTTTAATCCAGAAGAAAGTAAAATCAATGCTTGACTGTACCTTTCATTGAATATCCATATCCAAATTAAATTAATTAAAGCTGTAATCCATGATCACAAATTGACTGCTTTGTTTACATTTGTTGAAAGCCATGTGCTTTTTTGGCGGGAAAATTCAGAAAACCCCTTTAACAAGAAACAGTTACATTTCATTGTTATTTATAGACAGTAAGATTTTCATTTTGATTAACTGCTAAGATTATTTCATTAAAAATTAATATTTTCTTGGGGTGAAACTGATAATACTTTAATACTCTACATCTAGGGGTGTGTAAAATGGAAAAAGGGGGGGGGGGGGATTTTTTATATATCTTTATATATAATATTACAAATATAAGTTGAACAGTCTGAAAAGACATGGTTAAATGGATTTTAATTCTGAAAAACTCAATGTGGTTTATTATAATTCATTTATTATTTCTAATATAATCAGAAACACTGGGCTACATGTATATGGACTATAAATAAGTATGTACCTGTAGTAAAAATACCCTGGTAGGGTCTTAAAATTTCTACTGGGCCCTTGGAAAAAAGTTTTGGGATCCAGGTTGGCCCCTGGAGAAAATGTAAGGTATTGTTCCTGACTGTATTTCAGATCTAGTGTAGTATTTTAACTGACATGCACAATTCATTTCACTAATGAAATAAAAATAATTCTACAAAACGCCGCTGCGTTATATACGTCCTTGCATGGTCCCTTCAATACTGTTACCCAAAATAAGGTTGATTTTCATCTAGCGTAAACGTGACTAAACCCCCTCAAAACTCCTAGCTGAAACCCCTGCAGTTAACATAAGACAATGTTTGACATGCCCTTTTTGAAATATCAATCATCGTGTTAAAGTGCCCTTTTCATGATTGGCTCCCTGCCCTTTTGAAATCCTAGCTGGAACACTGATCATGCAATTATAAAATACAGTCAAACCTGCAATAAAGTCACCTTTATATGCAGGTCAGACTGTATAACACTTTATCTGTTCTGGTAAGTTGAAACATACCAGTCTGGAGAATATATCTTTGACCTTGACACATTTGAAGTCTGGTGTAAGGGTTTCTAGTGTTCTCTCTGACCTGTGAACGATGGTCTGTGATAGAACAAAATCTAAACTGAAGTTATCTTCTTCTTCCAGTTCAGAAAACTTCTTTAAACATCTATAAAAAATGACAAATTCTAGTGTAATAATTCATGGTAAAACATTTGAACAGTACTCCGAAAAATCTGCAAAAGAGAGGTGAAAGATATCAAAGGGATATTCAAACTAGTAAATCAAAAACTAACTGACAATGCCATGGCAAAAAGCGAAAAAAGACAAAAACACTACATAGAAAACTAAAGACTGAGCAACACGAACCCCATAGAGAACCTGGGGTGATCTCAGGTGCTTCAGAAGGGTAAGCAAATCCTGTACCACATATGGTACCCTTTGTGTTGCTCATGTAATTACAAACTTGGTGATAAGTCTAATTTGGTAGGCCACATTCGAGAAAAAGAAGACAAGATTGTTATCACGTCAATTGGAACATATCTGTCATCTGTCGTCATCTGTGACACAGATATTCCATAAAGGTCAACCAATTCATGATGGTGGTCGAACAATTTTTGAAGGGATGATTTCAACTTTAACATTTGGATGTTTTGGTTCAATAGCTTCCTTGTAGGCAAATGCAAGCTCTAGAATATTGTATCAATTGGGAGATATATATACTCCATATACAGGTGCTGCTGGAATGTTGCTACATAGAATTGGAAAGTTCACAATTGGGAAGCTGAAATCATCTCTTTTGTAGTAAAGTTTTGTTCTCAACCGACCCTCAAAACTGCAATCGTAAAGGTCCAAATACTGTTAACCAGCTTACTATTGTGAGTAGAAAAATAATGCAAATTTAAATCTTCATCAATATGTTAAAATAAGAGACTCTTTTAAATGATTACACCAAAATATTTAGAAAAATCTTGAAAACAAAGCGCCACAAAAAAGGGTAGAAAAGGCTGGACACAAAAAAGTACATATGTATTTATTGATATATAAATATGTTTACAGGTGTCTAACTTTTTAATGTAAATTATACATACTCATCGTGGGATGTTTTCAGTATATCGAGGAAGGTGTCAAACTTTCTAATGTAAATTATACATACTCATCGTGGGAAGTTTTTAGTATATCGAGGAAGGTGTCAAACTTTCTGATGTTATACTTACTCATAGTGGAAAGTTTTCAGTATATCGAGGAAGGTGTCAAACTTTCTGATGTAATTAATACATATTCATCGTGGGATGTTTTCAGTATATCATGGAAGGTGTCAATCTTTCTAATGTAAATTATACATACTCATCGTGGGAAGTTTTCAGTATATCCAGGAAGGTGTCAAACTTTCTTTTGTAAATTATACATACTCATCATGGGAAGTTTTCAGTATATCGAGGAAGGTGTCAAACTTTCTAATGTAAATTATACATACTCATCGTGGGATGTTTTCAGTATATCCAGGAAGGTGTCAAACTTCCTAATGTAAATTATACATACTCATCGTGTGAAGTTTTCAGTATATCGAGGAAGGTGTCAATCTTTCTAAGTTGTTTACATAAATCATGTAGACGTAAAGCTTCTTCATAGCAGTTCAAAGATTCTTTCAAATGAGCTTTCCCTAAAAATAATGGGAATCCAAAATAATTGATTTGTTGTCATATTTTCTAATATAGAAATGAGAGAATATCCTTGACAATAATGTATGAATGGATGGATTATTTAAGAAATAATTCATTCATGCCATGCTCTATGCTCATTTTAACATGGGCAGGCAGTATATTTGTCAATATCTTTATACCGAGTGTTAGCGAATTGTAAAATGTTGACAAATATAATGCCTACCATGTTAAAATTAGCATAGAGCATGGCATGACAGAATTATTTCGATTCTAATTGGAAAATTTTGAACTTTTGTACTTTGAAGCGAACCTATAATAACGTTCGAAGGGCAGCCATTTTGATTTTATGAAGACAAAACAATATAGACAATCAACCGTTTCAAGATAAAAAATGGACAGATACATGTAAACTTACTTTTAGAATGATTTTATTTAATTTCCTAGCAAGCAACACCAACACAAATGTCCATTTTAATCTCCGGCATGTTTAAAATAGAACTGACATTGCATTTTCAATAGTGACGTCAATCACGTGCAGCCCATGTTTTATTGGAATTAGAACAGAACATGGCTTTGTTTCCAAAGCGAAAGAAAAATATCATATTAGAATGGGCATTAAACATCTAATGTCAAATTATTCATGCATATCAGGATGAAAGCATGTTGATGTGATACCATTATGAACCCTGCTTTGTACTAGACCAACATCTTTATTGTGCTAGTTCACAAGGTAACAATCCACAGAAAGATACGTTACCCTACATGGACACATTCTGATTCTGATCTGACCAGTCTTTGCTAAAACCTCTTAATGCATACATGCTTAACAGAGAAACAGCCAATACCAATTTTCAAGTCTATGGTTTGACCCTGAATTGGTCATTAGGATTTAGCGAAATTGATGTTTTTATTATTTTAACTAAACCTACCTATCTGAAGTCTCTCTTCAGGACTTCGTGGGATTTTCATCTTGCTATTCTCATTTGAATCTTCTTCAGTACTAAGATGAGCAGAAAGGAAATACTGAAGTGAATATTCATCCTCTACATCTGTAATGTAAAAAACTATTCTATACTACTGTAACCAAAGAAGTAAGTTCGGTATGGGCCATATATGGCCCCGTTTATTAAGTTCAATGTTTCAGGATAAAAATGTTTGATGTTGATGAGAAGGCATGTGAGGAAGTTAAATAGAACTTTTTTTATCAACATCCCAAATAGATAAAAAAATAGTTATTTTTGTGAAATTTGACAAAATTGTACTGTATTCAACCAAATTAAGGCCTAGGAAACACAGAGCACAGTCATCGACAAACTAACTATTCTAGTCAGATATGTAAAATGTCATGACAAAGATTATGTTGAAAGATCTGTTTTGTCGACACCTGCGCTCTATGTTTCCTGTCTAAGAATCAATGGAAATTTACATGTTTTCACTGAATTTTCATGGAAAATTAAAATGAGTGCTATTTGTGACGTCATGAATAGAACGCAATTACGTAAATTTTTAACAAATAGACATATTTTCTATCTAGTCAATCATTGTATCAGTTATGATTAATTGTAATATTAGTCACTTAATCCTCATTTTCAATTTCAGCTAGAAATAGAGGCCATTTTAGGGCCTTATCGAACCTACTCCTTTACTTCTGTAATCAGAATGGAAAAACATTGATTATACAACCAAAATTTACATGTGTGATGTAAATACCTGTTAACTGACCCTTTTTTTGTAGGTGTGACATGGGAGTTTACCAACTTGCACAAGATTTTTCAATGAACCACCCTGGTCATCAAATAAGGGATTTCAGTATTTTAGCATATTAAATTGACAGTTGGTTTTCTTTTTTGAATTGTTTCATACTTTGCCACAGGCAGCTTTTTACAGCTTACTATACGGTATAGGTTTTGCTCATTGTTGAAGGCTGTTGAGTGTCCTATAATTGTTTACATCCTCGTTCTTTGGTCTCTGGTGGGTAGTTGTTTCATTGGTAATCATACCACATCTCCTATTATTAAAACATTTTCTTCCATATTCATGTTCATGAGACTTTTGATGTCTAATATGCAAAACTTTCGGTGAAATATTGCCAAACTTTTTTACATTCTTTAAAGTCAGAAATTTCTATGATTTGATCTTAATTCTTTAACATTTAACAGCTGTCAAAACAATATTTTTTAATCCTATTGATGGAAAGCTAATAGTTCACTAACTTTCTCCTTTATTATAGCTTAGAAAGGTGTCAAACTTTATAGGAAAACTGCACTAGGTTGTCTTGCTAGTACTGTTGGCAAAAATCAATAATCCTATGAGAAAATTAATTGATCAACAGCTTGAATCTCAAAATACATAAAAAGTAGGCCAGAGAAAATTCCCAATGCTGAATATATAAAACCATCATTGAATTTTAGTGATATTTTAGGTACTTATAACCAAAATATAGGATACAAATGTTACCTTTTTTATTACTTTTCTAAGTTACTTGCCAAAAAAAGTAAAGATTTCATCTATGAAACATTCATATAAATATACTATATATTTTGATTGATTTTCTCACCATTAGGATCTAATATTGCACAAGCCATATTATGATGAGCCAGAGCTTTGAAATACTCATGTTTAACTTGAGCCATTGATATCCATGAGTAGGGTATGTAATCCTTTACTGGGTCTGATGACATCAATAATGCTGTTTCTTCATAATACACAGATACCTAAAAAATAACATGAATAACTATAAACACAATTACTTGAACAAGAATGTGTCCATAGTACATGGATGCCCCACTCATACTATCATTTTCTATGTTCAGTGGACCGTGAAATTGGGGTCAAAACTCTAATTTGGCATTAAAATTAGAAAGATCATATCATAGGAAACATGTGTACTAAGTTTCAAGTTGATTGGACTTCAACTTCATCAAAAACTACCTTGACCAAAAACTTTAACCTGAAGCAGGACAGACGGACGAACGGACAGAGACCGAAAAACATAATGCCCCTCTACTATCGTAGGTGGGGCAAAAAAATAGGGTCAACTGGATTTATTGAAAACACAGGTACTGGGAAAGAAGAGAGCAAATGTAATTATTAAATGTAAAGATTCCTAAACATTTCTTACAAAAAATGTTAACTGGAAAATACAGATACCTTAAAATAATATGGATTAAAATAACTGAATACAAAATTATCTGAAATATGGCATTTATAGCTCATTATACATCGTAAGGATTTTTCTCGTTGTTGAAGGCCATGACCTATAATTGCTTATATCCATGTCATTTGAACTCTGGTGGATACTTTGTCTTTTTGGCAATCATACCACATCTCCTTACTTTAATAATACATATAATTTATCAATAAATATATTACAAAAACATTGAAGTTGAAAAAGATGCCTTACCATCATGGCTTCTTGAGCAGCTTTAATATAAGGCACCATTCCATCCTGCAGATCTGTCATAACAAATCTTTCAAATACACATTCTTGAGCTTGACACTGAAAGTATATCAACATATAGGATTACTGTATAATTATGTAAATTCAGAAATTATTGCAAGGTTTTTATTAATGCGACTGGGGAGTATCACAAAAATAAGAAGTCACAATCGGATATCTGATATATATATCTGTATGAAGATTTTCCTTACTTAATCTCATATTTTTGTCCATTCTTAAAAAATTACAATAAAACATGCATGCAATAATTTCTGAATTTACAGTATATAATGAATTGATAAGACTGATATCAATGTATAGGAATATACTGTATAGTACATAATGAATCAATACCATACATCAATCTCCAGTTGTTTTATATCAATGAGTTACACCAGTTGACTCAAGGTCAATCAGTGTAAACCACGTCATCGGACAAACAAGTTCTTACTGTGATGTAATAACATAGGCATTTTAACACAGGATATTTACTGGAAAGTGCATGAATTCTAAAGTAGTCTGTTGCTTCTGGTCTTATATTACTAGGGATTTAATCTAAATTGATTGTCAATGTTTTTGCAGTGTTAGGGTGAAGGTTGGCACCTGTTAAAACGTTTAAACCCGCTGCATTTGTATGCACCTGTCCTAAGTCAGGAGCCTGTTGTTCAGTGGTTGTTGGTGTGGTTCATAAGTGTTTCTCGTTTCTAGTTTTTTATATAGATTAGACCGTTGATTTTCCTGTTTGAATTGTTTTACTAATCATTTTGGGGCCCTTTATAGCTTGCTGTTCTGCTGTTCTGTGTGAGCCTAGGCTCTGTGTTGAAGGCCATACTTTGACCTATAATTGTTTACTTTTTATACATTGTGACTTGGATGGAGAGTTGTCTCAATGGCACTCATACCACATCTTCTTATTTATATTATGTCAATGTTTTGGCAGTGTCATATGACAGATATCTTAAGAAATATTGAATATTTGTTTTTTTTTAAGGATTCATATGATAAAGCTCTGTAATAATTAAAAATATGGGTACAAAACTGTTAAAATATATTTACATCACAAACAATGTACATTCTATCATACATACTGACATATAAGCTCTATATTTAGTAACATATTATCATTATGGCAAAAGTAGATTGTTCAATGTGGATGCCAAAGTCGTATGTACTAAATCTGCAATATTCTTTATAATTTTATCTTATTCTAATTCTATATTACTAGCACAGCCAAATTTGTCAAACCATCTCTAACAATGTTAAAACATACACGTGAAAAAAATAAGAAATAAATATTGGAACTTTAAAATGTTGTGAAAAATGAAACATCTTAATATGTTAGTATGTGGCTCCATTCTAAATAATGGTATTTTCACATAAATCAAACTGTTAAGATGTTTTAAAAATTTTTTTATGTTGTATGGCATTTCACAAAGACAATCTATGTCCTCTGGTTGTCTTTTGATTATTGGTGTTGTTAGGTTGCTGTCTCGTTGATGTATAATCCAAAACTCCATTTATTCAAATTGATATCATGTTAAATGAGCAGGATTGTTTGGAAATAGCTCTGCATAAGTTAATGCCTTATTCCTATAAAGAGAAGTGCCACCTACCATCATCAGCTGTACTAACATGGTCAATGATTCTGGTTGCATGTCCATACTGGGAGGGTTTGTAAAGTGATTGTGTATGTACCCTAATGTTCCTGCTGCTAACTGGAAGCTCTTTATAGCAGATTCTATTCCAGATTCCTTTGTTCTATCCTAAAATAAACCAAGTTCTTGAATTTAATAATTTATTAACAATCATTTACATTAATTGAACTTCATCGCTGTCAGATGGATCTTCAGAATACTATATCTACATACACATCCATCAAATCCAAATGTGATAGATCAACATTATATAAGTTAAGGATAAGTGCTCATACTGTATCTGTTGAGAGAGGGCAATATTTAAACAAGAGTGCACACGCTGAAATGTCTCGCCTTCTTTACTAATCATTGATATTATGTTGATAGTCCTAAATATAAAGCTTTATTACAACTGTCACATAAACTTAACATTAACCAAGTAAACTAAACATTGACCAATGAACTATGAAAATGAGGTCAAGGTCAGATGAACCATGCTAGGCAGGCATGTACAGCTAACAATTCTTCCATACAACAAATAGAGTTGACCTATTGCTTATAGTTTAAGAAAAACAGACCAAAACACAAAAACTTAACACTGAGCAATGAACCTTGAAAATGAGGTCAAATAAAACCTGCGTGACTGCCAAATAGATCATAAAATATTTCCATACACCAAATATAGTTGAACTATTGCACATAGTATTAGAAAAAAAGACCAAAACTCAAAAACTTAACTTTGACCACTGAACCATGAAAATAAGGTCAAGGTCAGATGACACCTGCCCGCTAGACATGTACACCTTACAATCATTCCATACACCAAATATAGTAGACCTATGGCATACAGTATAAGAAAAACAGACCAAAACACAAAAACTTAACTATAACCACTGAACCATGAAAATGAGGTCAAGGTCAGATGACACCTGCCAGTTGGACATGTACACCTTACAGTCCTTCCATACACCGAATATACTAGACCTATTGCTTATAGTATCTGAGATATGGACTTGACCACCAAAACTTAACCTTGTTCATTAATCCATGAAATGAGGTCGAGGTCAAGTGAAAACTGTCTGACGGGCATGAGGACCTTGCAAGGTACGCACATACCAAATATAGTTGAACTATTGCACATAGTATTAGAAAAAAAGACCAAAACTCAAAAACTTAACTTTGACCACTGAACCATGAAAATAAGGTCAAGGTCAGATGACACCTGCCCGCTAGACATGTACACCTTACAATCATTCCATACACCAAATATAGTAGACCTATGGCATACAGTATAAGAAAAACAGACCAAAACACATAAACTTAACTATAACCACTGAACCATGAAAATGAGGTCAAGGTCAGATGACACCTGCCAGTTGGACATGTACACCTTACAGTCCTTCCATACACCAAATATACTAGACCTATTGCTTATAGTATCTGAGATATGGACTTGACCACCAAAACTTAACCTTGTTCATTGATCCATGAAATGAGGTCGAGGTCAAGTGAAAACTGTCTGACGGGTATGAGGACCTTGCAAGGTACGCACATACCAAATATAGTTGAACTATTGCACATAGTATTAGAAAAAAAGACCAAAACTCAAAAACTTAACTTTGACCACTGAACCATGAAAATGAGGTCAAGGTCAGATGACACCTGCCCGCTAGACATGTACACCTTACAATCATTCCATACACCAAATATAGTAGACCTATGGCATACAGTATAAGAAATACAGACCAAAACACAAAAACTTAACTATAACCACTGAACCATGAAAATGAGGCCAAGGTCAGATGACACCTGCCAGTTGGACATGTACACCTTACAGTCCTTCCATACACCGAATATACTAGACCTATTGCTTATAGTATCTGAGATATGGACTTGACCACCAAAACTTAACCTTGTTCACTGATCCATGAAATGAGGTCGAGGTCAAGTGAAAACTGTCTGACGGGCATGAGGACCTTGCAAGGTACGCACATACCAAATATAGTTATCTTATTACTTATAATAAGAGAGAATCTAACATTACAAAAAATCTTAACTTTTTTTTCAAGTAGTCACTGAACCATGAAAATGAGGTCAAGGACATTGGACATGTGACTGACAGAAACTTCGTAACATGAGGCATCCATATACAAAGTATGAAGCATCCAGACCTTCCACCTTCTAAAATATAAAGCTTTTAAGAAGTTAGCTAACGCCGCCGCCGCCGCCGTAGCCGCCGCCGCCGCCGGATCGCTATCCCTATGTCGAGCTTTCTGCGACAAAAGTCGCAGGCTCGACAATATACCGAAGCAGAGTAGGATATGTCTTTGCTGCAACAATGGAGACATTGAGGATGAACTACATTTTCTTTTAAAATGTTCTACCTATAAATATTTGAGAGATAACCTCATTAAAAAATTAAACAATGTTCTATTGAACAGCAAATTACTTTCTTTATCATATAACTTCTAAATAGTAATTCTCCAACAGTATTAAAAATTGTTGTGAATTACTTGAATGAATACTTGTTGGTAAGAAACTCATTGTCAAAAGATACTTGATTTTTATCTTATTTTATTATTTTAATTTTTTCTCATACTTATCCACTGTTACTAAACTCATTAAATAATTCAAAATTTGGTGACTATGTTGAACGCATCTATCCCATCGAACTAGAGATAAAGGATACTACAGATACAGTTAAGTCTGCCTCATATCTTGACTTACATCTAGAAATTGACAATGAGGGTCGGTTGAAAACAAAACTTTACGACAAAAGAGATGATTTCAGCTTCCCAATTTTGAACTTTCCATTTCTATGTAGCAACATTCCAGCAGCGCCTGCATACGGAGTATATATCTCCCAATTGATACGATATTCCCAGGCTTGTATTTCCTATCATGATTTCATTGATAGAGGGTTGCTGCTCACAAGGAAGCTATTAAACCAAGAGTTCCAAATGGTAAAGTTGAAATCATCCCTTCGTAAATTTTACGGACACCATCATGAGTTGGTTGACCGTTATGGAATAACCGTTTCACAAATGATATCGGATATGTTCCTTATGTCGTAATTACAATCCACTTCATTTTTCACCACAAATATGACCTACCGGATAAGACTATTTACCGGATTTGTAATAACATGAGCAACACGACGGGTGCCACATGTGGAGCAGGATCTGCTTACCCTTCCGGAGCACCTGAGATAACCCAGAGTTTTTGGTGGGGTTCGTGTTGCTTAGTCTTTAGTTTTCTATGTTGTGTCTTGTGTACTATTATTTGTCTGTTTGTCTTTTTATTTTTTAGCCATGGCGTTGTCAGTTTATTTTTCGATCTATGAGTTTGACTGTCCCTCTGGTATCTTTCGCCCCTCTTTTACTCCTTCATTGTATATATGTTAGTGTAGTTTGTCTGTATTTTGTTGCCATAACCATTTATTGTTAATATGTTAGTGCTAATAAAGTTATCTTATCAATAATTTTAAGGAAGCCAACATTATTGTCTCCACAATCAAAACGGAGTTTATATTTCAAATCAACTGAATCAACTACCAAGGTTAACACTATAAAAATGTATTTTCACATGTGCTTTCTCATTATTCTGACAATCAAAACCCAAAATCAGTATTATTAATGGCTATGATTTTTTTTTAAATCTTCAAAAATAACAATTTACTGGTATATGAAATCTGTTGTTACAATTAACACAATCATTAATGTCAAGTATATAACTAGTATATTGAAATGTGTGAATATGAAGCACAGAGACTAAACAGTACAAGTCTTCTACCATGTGTTAATAACAAACCTGTTTACAACCTATTTGAGTATATAAAGCACCAATATTAAACAGCACGCTGCCTTTCTCAAATCCTATCGTTTTCTGTGTGTTTGGCACACCAGTTAAGGAGTCATACCTGAAAAAAAGAAAATTTTTTTTTTTTAATTCTATCTAAATTTCTGTTGAAAGTTTAATGTAAACTATATTTCATAAGATCAATTTTTCTTAAAAGATATACAAAAACAATTTCTTCCAGTTGTTAAAACCATGAATATCATACACAGTAGTTATATTGAAATTTAAAGAAAGAAGATATGAATTGGTTTCCTTGCAAAATGAAACTTTCCTCATTGTTAAAAAAAAAGACCAATCAAGTGTATTACTGACGTAACTGAAATATTGATTTATTCACCTGTAATAAACAAGGAACAAATTCTATATGAGAAAGACTAAATGATGTTAATAATAAAATAAAAATTTTACCAACAAAAAAGGAACTTTAACATCCCTCCCTTAAAAAATCCCTCTTTGCTTACCAGTGAAAATGTAAACCAGTCATCTTATCAGAAAATCTTTTCTCCACATAATACAACTGATTAACATATTCTGTTAATAATTCCACACCTTCTTCATTTCTCTGTGGAGTTCTTATTGCCTGCAACAAATATCATAATCTGCATTTGCCATTTAAAATTTTAAAATTCAAAGTCAATAATTTATTTCAATTTTCATTTTGATGTCTACATGATAAAAATGCCATGCTAATGTGTAACAAAAGAAAAACTTGCTTTCAACTTTCAGTCAAAAATAATAACAATATAAGAGAGAGAACAATAAGGGTACATTCAATTTTGTGAATTGATTAGCACACATTTCATTTTGTAATTATACTCCTACACATTTATTTTGTGATTACAAATTATTATTACATGTCATGTATTTGTAATACATGTACATTTGTATGCATTTAATTATGTAAATACATAATTGAGTCACCTTGCATGCACTGTGTATAGAGAGTGATGTTAATCAAACCCAATAACAAATATGTAATTGTCAAAGAGATGTCATACCTTTCTAAACAGTAATAGTTCATCTATCTCTGTCTGATAAACAGTTCCATCTTCACTGTAATGTTCCAATATAAAGTCCTGCAATAACATTTATTTCTTTATAAGTTCAACTCATATCTATCTATCTTTCATGATTTATATTTCCAGGACAACAAAAAAACAAGAGCATGAAGAGGCTGTTACATTGACAGCAAACCGGATTTTCCTGCATGAAAATGATATTTGCAAATATGGACCCCCAAACAGGATCAAGTAAAAATAAATGAATTTTTGTAGGGTTCAGAAATGGAAAGGCCAAAATCAATCTAAATATCACTTTTTGCTACTTAAAGGTCTACAACTCAACACTCAACAATATAAGCTAAAATAGTGAAAATTGAACTTGAACTTCATTTAGTCACAGGAAACAACATATATAAATTTGAAAAGATTTGGAAAAAGCATTTTCAAGTTTTTGCATCGACACTGTTTGGTAGCCCCCAGCCTGGCTGCCCAGCGTACATCACCAAATTAATAACGGATATTTTCCTTCAGTAATCCGGTTAAATAAAACAATAGTCCTGGCATTACAATGATTGCTCAAAAGGGGGAGGGGAGCACTGTCAAACAAGCAAATTGGCAAATAGTCTGTTCATTCTTATTTATAAGTTAGAGTCAACATTACAAAACTTTATGATGCCATACCTCAAAAATAAAAAAAGATCCTCCCTATACTTATGGTATTTGGTATAGCCCTAAACATCTTTCATACCACATCTTTTTATTTTTATAATATTAAATATCTTCTCTTATGATGTGTGTAGTTTCAATCTATGTTACTCTGGATTTTATCTAATTTCTAATACTCTTCTGTTTTGTATGCCATGGTAGTATTGAATTATTTCGTTACATTTATTGTTAATAATAATAATAATAATAATGATAATAATAATAATAATAATTCTTTACTTAAAGAGTATCACACAGTTAGATATAAATCTATATTTTTACTGTGTCTGCATTCTTTTCCTTTCCATTTTTATAAGAAGTATGAACTATATCACAGTCTGTTGTTTGGTTTGCTAGTTTGATTATAAGTATGATTACCTTTATAGGTATTTCTATATCACAGTCTGTTGTTTGGTTTGCTAGTTTGATTATAAGTATGATTACCTTTATAGGTATTTCTATATCACAGTCTGTTGTTTCCTTCAGTCCTAATGGTATCATAGGTACATTACTGGTACAGCTAAAACAAGTTGAAGATCTATATAAATCTGAATAGCTTATCACAGAACAACTGTTCATTTTCATTTGCTATTTAAATACCTAGATATGGGTAGGTTTTGATTGACACAGTTTGAGAAGATTGACTTTCCCTTTCTTGCCTTGTTAGAGGTCTAAGTGCACAAATTCCTTCATAATTCAGCCAAATTCTACTTGTTATACTGACCGCTAGATTTTAGATAAAGTAGTTTTCTTGACAATTTTAATTTCTGTAAGCCTTCCTTGATTCATCACTACAATCAAGTAAGGTTGTTAGTACTGCATGTTTCAATTTAGTTAGTCAATTAAGAAAATTAACCCTCAAACCAGTTTATACATGAAACTCAAGTGAAAATTTTCATATGAATTGCAAGTGAATTGAGATTCACATGAATCTCACGCGAAATTTTTCACATGAACTTTACAAAAAAAACTTGATATTTTTCATGATTTTAATTAAATTTGTAAATTTAGATGTTTTTTGAATTACTTTATTTTATACAAGAATGTGTCCATAGCACACGGATGCCACACTTGCACTATCATTTTCTATGTTCAGTGGACCGTGAAATTGGGGTTAAAACTCTAATTTGGCATTAAAATTAGAAAGATCATATCATAGGGAACATGTGTACTAAGTTTCAAACTGATTGGACTTCAACTTCATCAAAAACTACCTTGACCAAAAACTTTAACCTGAAGCGGGACAGACGGACGAACGGACAGACGAATGAACGGATGCACAGACCTAAAAACATAATGCCCCTCTACTATCGTAAAATATTATGTGAAAATAATTCATGTGATTTTCACGTGTTTCACATGAGATACACGTGAAACTCACATGAACTGATTTCATGCGAGTTTCACGTATAAGCTTGTTTAAGGTGAAATTCATGTGAGATTCACATGAATTTAAATTCATGTGAAATTGATGTGAGTGAAATTTCCCTGTGTATGAAATTTTAATTTTTTAAATTAAATCATTATGCTTATAAAATTTTGCAACCAATAATTATATTCAAATGAATTAATTTTTAAAACAATACATCAGGTGGCTTGGAAATGGCAATAGAAAGTAGGAGATCCACATTCTGTGAAGAGACCAGTCTTCAAAAATATCCTTCAAAATTTTTGAATATAGAAGTGAAACATGCCCCACGGTAGTCATAACTAAATTAACTTATAAATCAAGATGCTTTGAATTTTAATTGCTGAGAAAATACAAAAAATATTTGTTACTGACAGATGGATGCAAGTACAGACAAAGGTCATTATTTTAGTGGAGGTATACAAATGGAGTCTCTTACCAATGCCCAGATAAATGACTTCATCACTCAAAATGTTAAGTTTTAAGTGACATTTAAGATCCATTATAGTCTGGATGTTACCATCTGTTTGAAATTTTGCTACCCAAGCTTACAATCAAACATAATGTACAAATAAGATATACAGTAATACATACTTTTCATGTTGGTAAACGATTACATTGCTGTTCAGATCTGAAAGTTCTTCCTTTAATAACTGTATATTAGAATTAAAGAAAGATAACTCTACAGCCACCAACTCCTTCAGTCTTTTATTGCCTGTTGCCCTGTAAAAACAATTATAAGTGTTACATCACAGATACAGACCTGCCAACTATCCCAATTTATGGGGGATATCCTCCATGAGAGGTGTTGACCTGAATTTTGAAATTCTTTATTATACAAACTGAACACCCCAAAACAGGCTTTCCAATGAGTTAAAAAGGTATTTAAGCATATACATACTCATTCAAACAATATAGTAGTAGATTAAAAAAACAATTATGACAATATAAGAGGAGCATTAGGTCCTCTTGCGCTAAAAATCCTCCAAGGACATTTTGAAAGTTGGCAGGTATGCGGATAAATGAATTATGATAAATTTTCATCTAAATAAAAAATTCCATTGAACAGTGTTTTAAGAAAAATAGTACTGAATATTTTGGACCTAGGTTTTATTTCATATTTCCTCATCAGAATGCCTCCTGAAATACAAAGTAAACATTTTGTGCATGACAATGCTGAGAGAATACTAGTAGTTACCGTAAGGGGTCTATTTTTCCAACAAAAGTAAGTCGATTATTTCAAGATCAAAACTATTTAAAGTTGATGCTATAAGTGAGAAAGTGAAATAGAAAAATTTTTGTCAAACTTTTCATTTATAGCATCAATATTCATGATATTTGCACCCCAATAAGGCCAAAAATAGAAATTTTAAAATGTTCCTATCTTAGCAAAGTTATTATGATAACTATGATACATTTTAAAAAGGGAAATCAAATCGATAAATTTGAAACTACAGATAGAAAAAGAGGCCATCCATATTGGGACCTTGCCGAACGTACTCCCTTATCAATGGACTTATCGAACGTACTCCCTTATCAATGGACTTATCGAACGTACTCCCTTATCAATGGACTTATCGAACGTACTCCCTTATCAATGGACTTATCGTGAAGTTTTCATATTAACCATCGTAATGAATGAACTGACAGTATAAGGTCCAAGTAATGTTAATTCATGTAGGTTGCATGGAATTGTATGAAATATATTTGTCAGAAGCAGGATAATCATATATATATAGATAGGTTACCTAAACAGGTTCTCTGCTCCATTTCTCATACGTAGTTCACGATTGATCTGATCATTGAGCTTAGATCTTCGTGACTGTAACTTCCCTCTGGCAGTAGAGATCAAAGGATCTGACCCCTGAAAAATTAAAATATGAAGCTTGTAACATGTTATATGTAAATCTTAAATTAAACCATTGATTATTCAGATCAAGGAATGTGACCCCAAAATAATTCAAATTAAATGGTCAGAAGCTTTCTTATATTACTGCAATTTTATATTGTCTTAAATTAATCTGTTGATCTTTGGCTCCCTGGACTGAATATGAATAAAGGTTTGTTATGATTGTCTGATGAGATAATAAAGTATGTCATACATTTCTTAATTAGATAGGAAATGTTTTACATATATGGATAACAACCTTTCCATGTTTAATAAAATATAATGTGACATTTAAAATTCAATAAATTACATTTATTGTCAATATGTATTTTTCTTCATACTTGATCAGTAATAAAAGTGTCACAAATATCTTGTATTTAGTTTCATAACATAAGTATGAATAAATAGTTTTCTTTTTTTGCTTTTTTCAATTGTACAGGTAAACATGTCAATAAGCCAAAATACTTTTCCGCAATAAAACTTTCTAAGAATCTTATTGGAGATTTAGAATTAAATACATTGTATGTGGGAATGGAACATGTAATTTCACTAATTACAGTTGATCTTGTCATTGTTGACAATAAAGTTCTCAGACTGAATAAATTTAAACAATTTAATTATAGTCCACATAAAAAAGGCAGCAACATTTAAATTTCTGCATACCAATTCACAGTGAATTTAACCTGATTGGTGAACCATGTCAAATTCTATTATGTATACTACAGATAATAAAGACACATCATGTGTAAAAAATAATTAAAATATTTTAAAATAAGAGAAATACCTACATTATGATTACTACATCCATGGATTATATCTATATCATCCATCAAATAATTGTATAACCCATCATGCAAAAATTATGGGATAGATTGAGAGAAATTCCCGTGAAGTGTTAAGATCCAAGACTAATGCTTGTTAAGTCAGGTCGTAATACTGACAGTTTTTGCCTCAGGATTATAACGAATATTACAACCTGTAATACATGATGTTGCAGAATGTTGACATTAAAATTCAACCTTGAATTAAACATGTTTTTACATAATGACAAGAGATCAAAAATTTTTTATTCTCTCCTGTTTTGACCGAAGTCATCAAACACAATCATAAACGATATTAAATATTTTTTTATTCTCTCCTGATTTGACCAAAGTCACCAAACACTATCATAAAAGATATCAAATATTTTTTATTCTCTCCTGTTTCGACCAAAGTCACCAAACACAATCATGAATATTGATACTGTATGCAATATTCTCCCTGTTTTCAAACTTTTTATGTCAAAATAGAAATGTCTAAACATTAAATCCCTCAGCATAGCTGAAAAATCTTTTATTTGATAAAAGTTAATGTGAGCATGGTGAGAAGAAATTGCATGCAAGGATCAACATTGATAATCTTGAGACACTGAAGAAAACATTGATGAACATGGCATCATATATTTCATAATATAGGTACCCTTATTCAAAAGAGCCTTGTTTCAGTCAGCGTGTCTTGAAAAACATACTGAATAACAAACATCATTTGTCACTTTACCTGTTATTGGATACACAATATATGTTATGTTATGTTCTTCAGTTGATGCCATTTTTGTAAAAGGATTATACAACATTTAGATATTTAAGAGGCTACAAAAAATAAAATAGTAACAGCCAGAGGTTCAATGATTTTTATTAATAGTCTTGTTAAATATTTAGTCTGAATAATGGTCTTATGGCTTCTAAACTCCTTCATAAGACCATACAAGAGGTTCAGAGGACTAGACTGGACTAGTGTCTTGGGGACATTTTCTAATGTTCACCTGAAGTACTACAATATACATTAAGAATTTAAGATCTTTGATTTACTACGGCTTTTAACATTGTTGATGTCTGATTTCTAACCTATATCTTCTGGCATATTCTGCAAAACAATGATTCTTTTTATTCTTTGGTGTACATAGTACAAAGTACTATTAAAGAGAGAGAGATGTAACTTTAGATATATACATTTTTGTACCTTTAACAAAGTGAGCTTTTAAAACAGCAACAAGTTAAAGAAGAATATTTAGAATATTGAATACATGTACTATCTTTATTATTTGTTCCAATTGTGAACTTTCCATTTCTGTGTATCAAGATGACAAGTGCCTCTAGAGGAACAGGAACTGCTTACCTTACCGGAGCACCTGGGTTCAGTAATGGCAGACAAATAGCGATAAGGTGTATTAAATACTGATAATACATGTACATGTTACAAAGCCTTCACAACATCACATTTATCAACATTTGTATAACTTTGATCAACAGATCTGCATTTCAGGATTAAGTGAATATTCGGACATCTGTGGTCAACTTAACTGTAACTGCTACACTCTTTATTGTATGCACCTTATCGCAATTTGTCCAGCATTTCAGGAGTTGAGGACATCACAAAGGTTCCCTAAAATTTGGACGTCACAATAGAATATAGTGATAAGGTATATTTGACCATTTGAACATTGAAAGTCAAGAAGTATTGCTTCAATATAATAAATTCTCCCTCTTTAAGAGGACTCCGACTGTCTTAGAAAACAGGAAAATATTTATAGATTATACCATGTCCTTTTCCATATCTGCCCTGGTACATATCCTGTAACTCCCATACATAGTAACAGTAGAAAAATCATTATACTAAAGAATCTAAAATCGCTAACTTTTATTCAGCCTTCCCCATTTGCATGATTTGCGCAGAAATCTTTTCCAGTATCGCTTCTCTCTGGACTTTTCATAAAATATAAGGAAGAAGCATCATATGATTTTCCACAAATTAGTTGTATCTGATTACCAAAAGAATATTGGCAGTTAAACAATTAAATAATTTCTGTATCATTTTAAAATCAGTCTAGTGCTTGTTCAACATACAATTATATGGCAAACAAAATACGTTATTTTATCTGATAAGGAATCGAATATACAAAGATTAATAATGGGCTGAATTTGTTTCTTCATTGTTTTAAGGTATACATTATTATATTTTTAACTTCAATATAAAAATAAAAATTCCCTGAAGATAGCATTTCTTTGCTAAATACATTGAAAATGATGTCATAAATAAAATTCCTAACAACAGGACCAACATCAGATTTGTTATCATATTTCAATTTTTTTTTCTTTTGCAATTTGGTAAATATCATTTATAGTTCAGTCCTCGGTTAGAACCCATTGATGTAGGGTCTCAAAAGTTACGGATTTTTTTTTAAATGTTAGTCATTTTTTAGTATTTTAATGTCATAATTTGTCAAATGTAAAACTAATTGATAGCCTAGGCCTTAGTACATTATACTGCTGTTTTAATTATGCAAAAATCAGCATTTAATTAATAATTTTAATTACTTTTTAAACAATATGAAAAAATCAGCCCTTATACAGATTAATCAGCATGTGCAACACTGATGACGTCACCCTGTTGATAAACACGTAAATCATGAGTTTATATTAATTTAGGCCCAGTCCAATATGAGAAAAAGATGATTGGACCAGGCCGGGAAGCAAAACAGGATTTCAGTTCAGGTTGGAAATATTTACAACTCACCAAATTTTGGACATACATGTACATTTTGTATTCAAAAGAAATAAGACACATTTTTCAATTTTTGAACTAAGAAAAAATTGAAAGGGAAACACTCCACAACCTTTTCTAGTTAAATATTCAATTAATCGTCATAGTTTCATTTCTGTCGATCAAAAACACAATAATGCAGATGATACGAATGAAAATGGTTAAATAGAATAGAAAATGGAAACGGGGAATGTGTCAAAGAGACAACAACCAACAAAACAGCAGAAGTCACCAATGAGTCTTCAAAGCAGAGAGAAAATCCTGCACCCACCGACGGGCTTCAGCTGGCCCTTAAACAAAAATTAATACAAGTGAACAGCTAATATCAGATTTGTTCTTCCCAGGAACAAAATTTGTAAGGGAACCCAGTGTCTCGCCTACTTTTGCTGTTAGTGGCAGGCTCAACAAAAATGGGGAAATAATTATTAAAAATTTTCCTATAGATACTATCTTTTGATTGTAAGAAGCTTCTGTTCAAGTTTGGTAAGAATCCAGGATGGTTTATGAATCTAATAAATGTTCTAAAAACTTTAACTGCAGACGGTATGTAATGTTAACTGGAAGAAAAACTAAGTCCATTTATAAGTAATATATACGGAAAAACAGGAAATTTTTTTTTACAAAATTTCCTTCTAGATACTAGCTTTTGATCATTAACAAGCTTCTGTCCAAGTCTGGAACAAATCCAGGATAGTTTAAGAAAGTTATTAAAATTTTGAAAACTTTAACCACAGAGTGAATGTAATGTTAACTGGCAGAAAAACTAAGTCCATTTATGAGTAAAATACGGATATGGATTTTTTTTTTTACAAAATTTAGTGTTGGATACTATCTTATGATCATAAACAAGCTTCTGTCCAAGTTTGGTAGAAATCCAGGATAGTTTAAGAAAGTAATTAAAATTTGAAAAACTTTAACCACAGAGTGAATATTTGTGGACGCCGCCGATGACGTCGGAGACGGAATGTAGGATCGCTATGTCTTGCTTTTGCGACAAAAGTCTCAGGCTCGACAATAAAATGAATTCATTAAATGTAGCATAGATTAAATACCTGGAAAGGAAATCAGAAACCGTCTGCACCATTAGTCACTAGTCCGATGCTCCAGACTAGTAAAATTTTATTCGGACTAGTCACTAGTTAGTATTTGCAAACCTTGTATAGACACACAAGAAAAATTTGTTAGGGTTCTGCGGAACCCAGTCTCTCGCCTACTTTTGCTGTTAGTCGCAGGCTCAACAAAAATGGGGAAATACTTATTAAAAATTTTCCTCTAGATACTATCTTTCGAATGTCAGAAGCTTCTGTTCAAATTTGGTAAGAATCCAGGATGGTTTATGAATCTAATAAATGTTTTAAAAACTTTAACTGCAGACTGTATGTAATGTTAACTGGAAGAAAAACTAAGTCCATTTATAAGTAATATATGGACATGAAGGAAAAACAGGAAATTTTTTTTTTAACAAAATTTACTTTTGAATACTATCTTATGATCATAAACAAGCTTCTGTCCAAGTATGGTACAAATCCAGGATAGTTTAAGAAAGTTATTTAAATTTGAAAAACTTTAACCACAGAGTGAATATTTGTGGACGCCGCCGATGCCGACGGAATGTAGGATCGCTATGTCTCGCTTTTGCAACAAAAGTTGCAGGCTCGACAAAAATGTCGGAATATTGGTCTTTGAAGAGAAATTAAGAAAGATTTTGGTGCAGACTGCAGAAATCTCATAAATATTGACAAAACAAATGGTCGTGACTAGGAAAAAGTAAGTTCAAATGTAATTTCCTGTACCTACATGTACAATGTATCGTCAGATCATATTTTTGTATGTCATATGAATTTGTACTAAGCATGCGTTTTCAATGGAAATTGTGACGTCACAATGCATTCTAAATAGCATGAAAACCCATAATACGAGGAAACAATGTATTTAATGGTAAACCTCTTAGTTTATAGCTCGAAAGGTTAGAATCATTTGATATAAGTGTTAATTACTGGCTGTTTCTTGGAGTCACAGGACCAATACAGCTTACATTGAAAAAATATGTGGGCCAATACAGAATGTCAGAAACAGTCAGTTAATAAGGGGACGAAGTCTCCTATTACAGTAGAAAAAGCAATAAAAAAAAAAAAACAAAAACAAAAAAAATCATAAAATTTCCCGAAATTTTCATTGTACTAATGAACTCAAAATCGTTAACTTTTTTTTTTGTAACTTTTTTTAATTCCCGCAATTGCGCAGAAATCTACTTCCTTCTTCCGGTCTCGTTTGTCATGAGACTTTGAGTGAAATATATATTTATCAGTCCAGTAAACTATAGGAAGGAACACAATAACAATTTCATTTCTAATTATTCTTTGATATGAAAAAACGTTACCTGATGATAGCGTTTCTTTGTTTACATTGAATATGACGTCATAATTAAAATAACGTCACAACTAAAATTCCTAACAACAGAACCAAAATCGGAAACGTTACGGTATTTCCGTTTCTTTTTTAACAGATTAAGAACTTAAAATATGTTTGAATTAAAAAAAAAATATATATAGAATTCGTCCCCTTTCACAGGTAATGCCTGCCTCATATTAACACTAAAATACATTAGCTTCAGCAATGTTGAGGGGAAACATTGTTGAAATATGACTAGTGCAGTTCTCGCATATGCAAAACCAAATGTACAAGTTTGTTAACATGATACAGTATATATATCTATGTGTTTCATGCCGTGAGCAGGTGAGTGTAAAAGACAAATGTAATTTATAATAGGAAAGAAACCTTTCTCTTGCTTTTGTCTTCACTTTTGGGTGTGACTGGAGCCCCATTTGTCGTCACTCCATTCATCATGATAGGCGTGAAACATAATCCACTTCACGTTTACATTTTAGACATCTTCCTCTTTCACTTGAAACTTTATCTCTGGAAACCAAAGGTATGACGTAAACTGTATACAGGATACCAGATCAGGATATAGGAATCCAGTCAAATAGTAAAGGATAATATGTGTAAGTTAGTCCCGCAAAGTTTGTATGCCAAATGAAGTTAATGTAAATTTTGGTGCATGACGATAAAATGTACACTTTCTTTTAGACGATAAAAAAATCGACTGATTTTGACGAATCACGTTAATTTTTTTCCAAAAATAACGGTAACGATAATAATTTAAGACCTCTCACGAATCACGACAAGGATTTTTTGACGAATCACGGTAAAATTTTAACCAATTTGACGCTAACGGTAGCCGAAAATGACCGTTTGACGCCTGACGGTAAAGGGCATCCATACCCTCAAACATAGAATACATTATATATATTACTGGGACTATTATAGTATAATAGTCCCGGATATATCTGATTCTACGTTAACTTAATTGCGAATTGTCGACCTACAATGTAAGAGAGTAATCAAATGGGCTGCCATCCAGAAAGGGGTACCCCAAGGCTCAATCCTCGAGCCTCTATTACTTACATTTTTATAAATGACATATTCTTTTTTATTGAACATGGAACCCTTTATAATTATGCTGACGATAATACTCTGACATATGCTGACAACGATTTTGAAAATTTATTATGTACACCTGAAAGAGAAAGTGCTGTTTTAATTGATTGGTTTAGATTTAATTGTATGCAGGCAAATCCTGATAAATGTCAAGCCATTGCAGTTGGAAATAAAACATTTGCAAAGAAGCCTGTTTTTAATATACAGTCAGCTAAAATATCATGTGATGAGATTGTCAAACTTTTAGGTATTGATATAATTGATTATTAACTTAATTTTAATCACCACATTAAAAATATTTGTCGTAAAGCATCTCAACAACTGAATGTTTTAAAGCGCATTGGTTGCTATCTTACTAAATTAAATAAATTGACCATTTTTCACACATTTATTCTATCTAATTTTAATTTTGTCCTTTGGCATGGCATTTTTGCAACAAACATATTACCACTAAATTAGAAAAAAATCAAGAAAGGGCTTTCCCGTTTATATATGACTATTATCACATTTAAGACTAATTAACCGTATGCAAGATCGTGTGGTGAAGAAAGACGTAAACAAATCACAGAGCTCAGAAACATATCGTTTGCGAGCACTTGTCACACACCCGAACCCAAACCATACATTTATCTTTGTCTAACGCATCCCACATAACTGACTCCAACATTATTTTGCCACGGAAACCAACACAGGGCCGTAAAACTCCCTTTCTAACCGGTCACCCCATTCCCTGCCATCCATCAAAAGGGCGCTATATTTTGTAACGCCCCACTTTTTCTCCTCCTTCTACTTTACTACAAAAATTCTACATGTCGGAGAATGAAATATAAAAATCCTGTAGGAAATACTATATAATTCTCGAGAGGTGAGAAGAAAAAAAGCTATTAGAAAAGCTGTGACACTAGTTGGCAGCAAAGGAAAATACATAGAAAAAGAAATTTAATGTCACAGTTTAATTTGGTGAAACATGATGTAAACCACTTAACACAAACATTTACTGAAAATAGAATAGAAGATAATTCACCTGTAACAGAAGATCACATGAAAGATGTTTTAGCCTCCATTAAAAGTAATGAATCTGCACCAGATGAAGAAAATATAGCAGCTGAATATTTGAAATATGGTGGACCTGTCATGATAACTATATTGACTTTTTTTTCGTAAATTCTATTTTTGAATATTTACATTTTCCTACTTTATTGAATTGTCCGTTAATATGTTTAAAATTATAAAAAAAATAAGGTTTCAACTCCCTCATGCAAAGTTGACCTTAGATGGATTTGGCTATTTTTTAGGTCTTTTTCCCCGTCAACATTTTCCGTCGTATAACTAAGATTGCCTCCTCTGATAATAATTCATTTTTATAAACAATACTTATATCTATAAGAGGTAGGTCATTGTCGATTTTCTGTATAAAAAAGGCGGGGGGCCATTTGATTAGGGACTTTCCGTTTTGAATTTTCTTCGGAGTTCGGTATTTTTGTTATTTTACTTTTTTGGAAAGTTGGCATTGCTTGTCCTGTTTTATACTGAATGGAATAGCAACACTTAATCCTAACTCATATTGGAAAATAACTTTTACCAGAAGTCCATTACTATGGTGAAAATCTTTTATGGTAAAGAAGATAGTGTTTTAACTGTTAAAGTTTATTCGTGGGCAGGAGTTATTCATTTGTAAGTAGAATAATATATATAGATTCTGTGAAAGGCTTGACTATCGGAATCATTGAGTTAAGTGCTATAACACTAATGCAAAGATCTTCATCTACAGTACATGGCCAAAATTTTTCGTCACCTTCCTTTTTTTTTTTTTTACTGTATATATCCTATAAATCACATTTTTTCTTCTAAAAATTGTTTTGAAGGCATTTATGATGGCCTGGTTGGGGTTTACAGTAAAGAGAATACTGGCAAAAAAATAAAGAATAGAGAAAGATGAACAAAAAATATAAAGAATAGAGAATAATGGGATGCAAAAGTTTAAAGAATAACTGCGGAAAATAAAAGATTTAAATAATGCAATACTGATTTCAGAAATGAATGATGTACAGAACAAAGGAATCGCCAAATTACATGAAAATTTAATGATACAATCATTTTCATGAGAATTTTACAGAATAAGAGTTACTTTTATAGATAAAGAAAGGTGTCCAAAAATAATTTAAAGTTTACAGAAGTTAAGTACCCCTCCCCCTTTCCAAAATCTTGACCCTCATTTATTTTTAATTTTTTACAAACCAGGTGTTAAAAAGACACATAGTTGTCTAAAGTATATTTGTTTATTTGGTCAAAGTTTATAGTTTTGTCGTCAATTGTTTTTGATTTGAATGAACACGTATAATTCTCTCTGTTTCTAAAGCTCGTCAAATAAATTTTATATTTTCCTACACTGTACGCCGTGAATAATGTATATTTGTCTCGATGTTTCAAGGAGTTACTGTCAGTAATATGTTTCAAAAATTTACAACAGGGATAGGTGAGTCATACAGTTCTATAGTTGCTTGCATCATATCTGCTTCCTTTCTTAACTATTTCTGTAACTGGGATTTGCCTGTCTTTTCGGATCTAAGACTAATATTAAAACAATACAAAGTAGTTGCGAGGTTTTCAGCGCATTCCATTAAAATCTGTGCAGGCATTTTATCAGGGACACAGGATTTGCTCTTGTTGTCGCTGTATAATATGCCAATGCCTTTTTGTTGTGCATGTTGTGACTGCCATCTCTGGCATTGGTGGGTATTGTTTATCCGTTGGTTTTTGGTATGTTCTTGTTATCTTCTTTAGTATTATCTTTTCAATGTGTTTATCTATGACGGTATTAGATATAATCTTCCGTTGTCTTTTAGACTGCACAGTTAGAGGGGCTATCCCTATGTTGTCTTTTAGACTGCACAGTTAGAGGGGCTATCCCTATGTTGTCCTTTTTTAATCGGATTTGATATACATTTAATTCCAAAAGCGTTTCTGTTTGTTAGGGGGTCATGATGTTGTAATAAAACCCATAGGGATTCTATAATGTACCCATATAGATGAAGATACAAATGTTCACCTCCTTCTTTTATAATGATGCTTATAAAGTTCTAGTAGGAGTTACGTTCCGTCTTTTGTACCATGTTTTGCTCTCCTCGTATAACCTTATATCCGATGCTTGCTTTGATTATGTATCTGTTTAGGTGCATACAATCTCAACAGTTCAATAGTCCAAAACTTTTGACTCCTCTATCCTTTACACAAGTATTCCTCAATCTTAACGTACAGAGAAATAAGAGTGAAGAACCTTCCATAACATACCAACAGTTGCAACAAGATCTTGTGCAATTTGTAGAATGAGCTAAACACTGGCAGATGACATTCTAAGGAGGAATTCAAACACATGTCCACTACATATAAAAGAGAGTGCATACAAAACGTTAGTGCGACCCTCCTCGGGTATGCATCTGCAGTATGGAACCCATACAAAAAGTGCCACATTGATCAAATAGAAATGGTACAACGAAGGGCTGTCCGCTTTGTAACAACAAATTATTCCCGGGAATCAGGAACTGTTACCAACATCCTGCAGAAACTTGGTTGGCCAACCCTAGTAAAACGCAGAAAAGGAGCCTGGCTCATACTCCTGTATAAGATCCTGCATGGCGAAGCATCACAGAATACATCAAAAGACCAATCGTAAGAACAAGTAATCAACGGATGCCTATAAATACAGCTTCATTCCTATAACAATTGTTACCTGGAATCAGCTATCTGAAAGTGTCATCCAAGTCCCCACAACCGACGCCTCCCAGGTAGTTGATAACAGTCAACAATTGTTATAGGGATGAAGCTGTATTTATAGGCATTCGTTGATGTGCTGACCCTGGAAAATCTGTCTCTGTGATATTGCCTATTGTGGGAGTTCCTGATGTAACTCTGGATATCTGATTTTAACCCTGTACAGTAGTTGCTAACATCACATTAACTTGTCAATCCCAAAGAGTGACATAAAAACAACCGAGCCAAAAAAGAGAAGTAAGTGCGGAGATTGTAATTTTCTTTCTTTTCTTTTTTCATGTTCTTGTAAATACGAGATAGTTTTTGTTTATTTTTAACCTGACGTGTGCTAGTTGACACGCGCGCACAGAATATCTGCGTTATGGTAATTTTCACAGACTGCAGATTATCCACATAGAAGGAAGTAGACACACTGAATGAATTAGTCCAACTTTGTCGTTTCCAAAGCGAATAACTAACGTAAAAACAAATATCTTGTTTGATGAAGAAACAACAAAAACTTTGTAAAAAAGCACTCTTGTTCAAACAAATAACCTGTTTTTGAAACTAACACCAAGATAATTGGTTTGTGAAAGACAATGTCAGTTGTTATATTTGGTGGACATGTTAAAAAAAGAGGGACGAAAGATACCAGAGGGACAGTTAACTTAGTCATCATCGAGTCCGCATTCCTATTGGAACCAGCTGTGC